TGGGGGTTGAGGTCAGGGAGCCTCCGAGTCCGAGGCCGGGCCCTGACAACAAAGTCATGACTTATGAACATCCCTGTAGCTCCCGAGTCTAGCAGGGCAGAGGTGGTGACTGAGGCCAGGGACGTGGTGGCTGTCAGCTTCACCAGGAGGTTAAGGGATCGGGGGGGCGCTTGGACAACACGTAGATCGCAGGTGGGGGGATGGCCACTTCGGCTACTGCATCTGGGGAGCTGTTCCTTGTGGGGTTAGTGGGTGTGGCTTTTCTTTTCTTAGCAATCACTCGGTGTAGTTTAGGTCGCGCAGTAGTTTTGGGATTACCATGGTATCTACATGCAGATACAGTGATGCTGGGGGGCGGCCAGGGCACATCCTTCACCGGTCGCCTTCTCAAAAATCCTCAGCTAGTTCCTCCCCCACTTCCTCCACTTTTGCCTGATCCGGTCCTTGAGGGTGGTCCCTTAGTAGGTCCGCAATCGCCTGGAGGTCTTCCAGGGCCAGGCGAGCTCGCTGGGGTCTCGGTTTCGGGCAGTGTCGGGCCACATGCCCTGGTTGGTTGCAGTTGAAGCAGAGACCCGCTCGTCTCTGCTCCTCCCGGGGAGGGCACATGCGGTCCAGGTCCATAGGCTGGGGACCTGGCTTTGGGGTCGGGGTCGGGGTCGGGATGGTGGCTGGGGTGGCGGGGTGCACGGGTGCTGGAGCAGGTTGGGAGTGGAAGGGGGATGGCTTGGTGGCCGGGAGGCAAGGTTGGGTGGCTTGGAATCGCCGCCATTGGTTGTCGAGAACTGAGGCCTCGCGCTTCCACTCAGCCCAGGTTGTGGGCATGGGCCGGAGGCGGTAGATGCTCTCATGGAGCCGGGGGTGGAGGGCGTGCTCGAAGCGGTCCACCAGGGCAACATCTCCCATCCACGAAACAGGGCCGTACAGCTCGAACTGCTGGATCAGTTTGTCCACTGGTTCATTCCCCTGTCGGAGCGAGACAAGTTTCTGGCGGGCAGTGGCTTGGCGGTTGGGGTCGGCAAACATAGAGTCCAGCTCCGCAGCAAAGTCATCGAAGGTAGTGGCTGGGGCCCCTGGGGCCAGGAGGGTATTGATTCGTTGAGTAGCCCATGGCCCTGCCATGCCTCCTTTCATGTAGGAGAGGACAAATAGGACTTGGCTGCGTTCATCTGGGAACTCCGTGTGCCGCATGCTCATGTAGAGCCCGCACTCGGCCTTGAAACGGTCTAGGTCATCTTGGGACCCGGAGAATGGGGTGGGGGCGGCCACTTTAGGCGGTTTTGGGACTGGGGCATGATGGAGGGGTGGAGGGGCTATGGCTGCGGGTTGCCCTTGAGTGGTCAGCTGGGTCTGGAGGTCCCGGAGCTGGCGTGTCAGCTCTGCAATCTGTTCCTCTAATGACATCGGGGTGGGGGGTGCAACTAGGTTTAACCCTTCTTCTGCTGTCAGGGCCCGGCCCTCGTTCCGTGACGGGCCCAAGGGGATCCTCCGAGTTGCTGGGGTATCTAGTCCCAGTCCGAGGTCTTCAAACTCACTGAGGGGGCTGGCCCCAGCCTTCACAGGAAATGAGTTGAGAAGAAGGGTAACCTTCTCAACCTCCTGTGAAGCCGCTACAAATGGGAGCCGGGAACTATACAGTTTTCGGCTCTTTGCCGACTTTCCATAATTGGCACCCCCCCGTGGGAAGATTCTGGGCGAGCAGCTCGCCCAGAAAGTTCCCACGGTTGTGGCTGTGATGGTTTCTGGGCGAGTAACTCGCCCAGAACGTTCCCACGGTCTGCATGCACGCGGGATTGTGGAACAGTGAAGGGAAAAATAGGAGAAAATGGGGGAAGGGTACCTGAGGGTGTGTGGGGTCAGGGGCTGTGCCCTGACATTTTCCAACTGAAAGTGTCTTGGAAAAAAAATCTCAGGCCAGCGACAGACACAAGATAAAGAAGAGAGAGAGAGAGAGAGAGAGAGAGCGGCGGGGCTGTGCTTCTCAGAATGGACAGCAGGTCGAAGACACGACACATACTGTACTAACATGACCAACAACCTGTCACGCGTCACGCTGGGAAAAAGGTTGAGTTAGTTGTGTCACGCTGTAAACCTGGTTTCAGGGTGGCTGTGCAAATTGTAATTCAAATTTCCCTTTTTCGGAAGTAAATACATTCAAAAAATGGCCACTTCCTTGTCCAAATGGTGCACCTGTCTGGCCCGCTTTCTGCGGCCAAAGTCACACTTGAGGGGGTATCCTCAGCACAGGTTGATGCAACTTGTAAGGTGCCATTGCAGCCTAATCAGCCAGGATCCAGGCCCAATAGGCCTACAAACTACCTCTTAGGTAGGCTTAGCAAGGATATTATTTCTGTATGAAATAGGTTCATTTGTGCAAGAACAAATCAAAACCATCCATATGTGATATCCGGGTGCAGGAAATTTTTCTAAGCACATTTTCAAATTCTTTTGCATTTAGTTACTTTTATGGCAATATCCGATAGTATTGCATTCCTTTTATGGTAAGTTTGCCGGTTGGGTGTCACGCATCAACATGAGCTGCCGGTTCAGTACTTTTTGTCACGCTCCGGATGCAACTGGTAGTTGGTCGTGTGAGTACAGTATGTTTGCTGAGGATCCAAATGTTGGAATATCAACGCTCATCGACAACAGCCGAGCTGCAGCGTGGATTGGGGAGTCTTTATTTTAACTTAATATCGTCGTGACTAACAACGACTATACCTTTTTGTTTCAGAGTCGCGGTACCACGCGCTCCCAATTTACTTTGTCTTATATCGCTAGTTGTCACAGACAATCGCTTTAAGCGATATTGGCTCCAGTCATATAAGTTACGCTGGACGCCGTAATTTTTCTCCCTCCCTCAGTTCTCTATTTCGAGACTGAGGTGATACCATTTCTTTCCTATCTGTGTTTGCGCATAACTCATTGTATTTTCATGTTATAGTTACGCGCGATAGGTAAACATCTTAATACTAGTTCTCTATTTCGAGACTGAGTTACGCGCGATAGCTCCTATTTCATTACCAAATGGCAAGAGTTGGAAGTGTGAGTTACATTTGTCCGATCACGCACAACCCCCACACTGGGGCAATCTCAACGAGTATGTAACAGCCGCGCAATATTATGTAGAGCACGGCCATACGTATGGGAGACGTTCGCGGGAATGAATTGACATTGAGGAACACGTGTCTCCTGGACAGCTTAGTCACCCAAGTATAGCATTAATCTCCGGTGGGCAACTCCTTTGAATACGTCCTGTCACTTCCGGAGATCCGGATCTCCGGTCTGTTCCAAAGGCCTGAAACGGTAACTCGTGAGCCATCGCACGGTGAATGTAAACACAAACCCGAGTGTGTTTGCTTGAGTAGAGGCCAGTGGGATCGCGCAGCAGATCGCGCGCGCCAGGCCGTCGATCGTAAGTTGGTGCTCTAGGACTGCCGTGGTTCGATTCCGAGAGTGGAATCGAAGGTCCTAAATCGCAAACGCGATGACAGGTTGGCTCATACTCTGGTACAGTTTGACGAGGGGGGGGGTGAGACCATTGCATTCAGGCTCGGTATTGAACTGAACACCGGACCTTGGTCGGGTTGACCAATTCGGATTCGGCTCGGAATCGAATCACAGCAACCCTTACCCCTATTGGTGCTTCCTCATAGCTTCGCAGCCCCTCCCTTGTCCAGGTCCAGGAACAACATTGATCAGGGCTACCTCAACGCGGGTGCGGCGATAGAAGCTGCGCGTCCCACTGTATGAAAGATGTCTGGCAGATCGGAGGCTTCTATCCAAACTGCTCACAAAGAGCAACAAGATGCTGACAAAGAAAAGACTGCCATCACACCAACACGAGGAGCTCAGCTCCTACCCCCAAACCCCCGGGTCAACAGACCAGCGAAAGCTACGTGGGGTTCCACCAAAAAAAAAGAAAAGAAAAGACTGCCATGGAGTACCCATTGGGACCAAGGCCAACAGTCCCGTCACGGCCGTCATATTCTGTGAACCCCTCCACTTAACTTGGGCATACCATTTAGCCCTTAAATATCTCACTTACATGCATAAACCGCAATGAACGAAAGCGGAAGATCCTTTCTCATACAATTGATAGGCACTCACATTCCGCTCCGTTACATTCCGCGGACACGGAGTCTAGCTCCATGGTCAACCTAGTGGAACCATTTTGCGTCGAGAAGCTGTTTCCCTCATTTCCGAGAGTGGGGGCTTGAGCAGTGATGATGATCAAGATATCATGGCGCACTCAGGACCCTTCAACACGTTTTAGCTTTTGCTTGGTCAATGTGTTCAAGGGCGAATTGACATTGAGCTAATTATGCTATGTAAAAAGCCATGCGAGGGCAGGAGCGGGCTTGTTGTGTGTGTACCGGAGATTAAGATCGATAGATCTATAATGAACTGTCCATTTGGTGTCTAGGAGGTGTCGGACCCCAACGTCCCTGGGCTGAGCAAGCCGAGACACGCGCTGGCGTTCATACGCTCAGCACGCCCGCAGCGCGCAGTTGGCTGGACAGCGATGGACAGCGGGGGTTGACACTACTGTATTGCGGGATCTAGATCTAGAAATGGCCCCTTTTGTGTATTGTAATCAGGTAATACTAGATCGAGGAAAAAGCGGGGATTCGTTTTCTTTGCTGGAACATGGTCGCTCATCCGATCCGCTCGCATTTGAGGATCTGGGCCGTCGACTAAAAAAGAGAGAAGTGGCACTTTTGTGACTGAATACTATAATGATTTGCCCAGGCCGAGGTTGAGCCGCCTGCTTGCTTACCACGCTACATACACCCATCAGAACGCATCGGCGCAAAATAGTTGCACAACCGCGTTTCTTTGAAGGGTATCCCTTGTCAGCTTTCGGAGAAATGTCTGCGAGATGAGCTCTTTGTGCACATACTTAAATCATGGCAAAGGGGGGGTTCCCGTCTATTGACGTTGGCCGTTTTCCTCGCCAAACACTAGCCAAACACCGTTCTCCCCCTTTCTAAAGCCTCGAAATGGTCTTTACTCTAATTTTACAAACTCTTGCCTACTTTGGCATCATCTCCAACGTCCCTACACCACCATGGGGCGTTGACCAAGCTCCTGCCTCCTTGCCACCGTTTCCAAACCCTCCGAGTGAACTTTGGGGCTACGCAAATGGCATCTACGAGGCGAATGTTGGCCATGGTCTCAACGTTACTAACGGGCGTAGAGTCAACGTCAAGGTACTCGGGTATGTGTCTTTAGGATGACGAAAACTCTCTCTTATTAGCGATTGCTGACTCGTATCCCTTTGATGCGCGCCCCGACAGAGGGAATTGGACGAATCCGGATGGATCATTACTTGCTCACATTCTTCCTGGCATCGGAGGAGATCAAGGGTACAAGGATGCTGCCACATTCCATCAAGGTTAGTCGTTGCTTCTCGGGGGTTTTTTTTTTTTGTTACTTGGTATCTCGTATCCCAAAAAAATATTTTATCCCCAATGAACCTATGTTGATGAAAATGTCTTGCATTAGATATTCGGCAAACCATGCAATTCGTGAGCGATAACAAGTACGGTTACGTGCGGTTAAAAGGCTACAGAAGTGGTGTTAACGTCTGGGTCATCATGTACGTTCGCACACGCACGTCATCTTCTTTTGAACCTCATCCTGAGGTGTTTTCGTTGTGTTAACTCACTTCTACCGTGGTGGCGGCGTCGCGTTCCACACGCCAATTTCTTTTTTTTTTTTTCAGAACGGTCGAGACGGACTCAGTCGCTAACCTCAAATTCAATAACCGACTATTGTACTCCGTTGCTATGTTCAAGGGTGACACCGTGATGGCTCCTATATGGGCACTGGTGAGTTGAAGATCAAAATCATCTCAATCATTGGTCCCCCGCACTTCTACATTTCCTTTGCTCATGACAAACTACCACGCCCCCAAATCATTTCTCTTTGTTACAGGGACCTTCTGAGCACACCCCCACGCTTTAATAATGATGTTGAAGTGGCTTAGTGAACCCCTTCCTTGATTTTTTTCCCCTCCCGCCACGGCAATTTTGGCTCCCCTTATTCCACGACCCCCCCTGTGATGCCTCGTTCCAAATGAACCGCTCTTGTTGTATCCTAAATATCCGTCAGACTTTGGCTTACTAAATTCTTGTATTGAGGGGATTTGAGTCGGTAAAGGGTAATCCCCTGCTTCAGCGGCGCGGAGATCAAGTACGTCTGTGCATATTTGGGTACATATTACAATGAGAAAATCCCTAGCTGCGCAACGTAGTATGGGTGCACAATGCACGCATGCAAGCGCTGAGTAAGCTGGAAATATATAATCCGGCACTGAGTCCGCCGGATGGTGATAACTTCAATTCACAGTCATCACGATTAAAACTTCCGAACTCCCTGGTAAAAAAAATATTAGCGAGCTGTCACATTTCAACCCTTCAACATTGAGTGTCGCGCACGCATCCACGAGCAACAACGACTGGGTGCGAGTCTGGGTCTACCCTTAAGGGTCAATGGGCTTCTTCCCCGGCTGTTTGCTTCCGATACCCACCGAAGATCAGAGGCTGGGATCCTGCCGATACCGAAGCCACTATCCATATACGTCCAATACGATCGGTCAGCCATTGGGTTCTTCCGTCCGGCACCCATATTGTTGTTATGACTAGCCCGATATGGACGTAGCGCTTCAGCGGCTACACTCGCGAGGGATAAATGCAACACCAAAAAGATTCTGGTTTACTGCCGAGTTTTATAGTACATATATCAGGCCTATGCTACGGATCGGGAAATGCACAGACGCGTCGGAGAGGCAGTGCTGGTGTTGGGTAAGTTGTGGATGCTGCGGGCACAGCGCCATGACCTTTATTCCAACACATATCCGGTCGTAAAGGTACCTGGCGTCGTAGTACACCACGATTTGAATTCTCTTGGATGATGAATTCTCGAATTTACTCGGTCCCCTACGCAAGGCGAGGGGGGATTCCATGGCTAATCTCGACAATCGATCTGTTCTCCTAAGTTTCCAAAGGGTGAAATTGGAATCAAGTTATTTTTGTTTGCTGGCTGCACAACTGATTGTTCCTGCACTTCCTCACGAAGGGGCCCGATCTCCACCCGAGGAGTTCACTTGCAATGTCCGTATCAAGAATCTCCCCAAGCTGGAGCCTGATTGAAAATACATCAATTCGTTTGTTTAAACCAAGGATCACCTCAATCACTCAATTTGGCTCTTGGGGGGATCGATCAGTGACCACTCTAATGGTCCAAAGGCAGGCGTGCCCGAGGTTGAGGGTCTATCCAGGCTATCCATTCGATCTACAGAGACTTCCGTGACTGTACCCGTGTTCAAGGGCCGCGTTTCGAAGGAGTGAAGTCCATTCGCTAAAGCACGCATGGACGAAGATATCGTTTACAGCCACATAGGTGCGTCGTGTGCAACAGGGGTTGTACTACTGACATTTGTTTTCATCTTAATCCAGTCGCCCATCTTGTGTGTGCGGAGGGCGCCTGAGAATGGATGGTCCATCTGATTCGTTAGCCCCATATACATACGGATCCTGAGATTCCAATCTATGCAGTCGCAGAAGACCATAGGTTGGATGGATGAATTTTTGCCTGCTCCCATGTCCACAATGCCTGAACACTCCAGTCCCTTGACATACGTGCATTCGAGACTAGGAACATTCTACACTAGAGAATCCATGAATAAGGATGGTGTATAAGGTACGAACTAACCAAATGTGATGATGACCTGTATATACATACAACTATTGTGCCCATGTCGCAAATTTGTGCAAAGATTGAATATGAACTTCTGGTCCGATTGACTGACTGACTGATCCTTTCATGGAAAATACCAATATCTATAAATCACCCGCGCGTTCCCATGCACTTTTCCTTGGCCAAAGACCCCGCGCCCACTTTTGATACATGCCCAAAACCCAACTCGCATGCATCGACAAATCATCGTTCACACACACCATCGCAACCGGGTGAGAACTCTTCTCCTTGATCATCAAACGGAGGCTTTCTAGCTGACGGGAAACTGAGACAAGAGATCTTAACTGGATGAACTCCGTCCTTGTGTTGCCTTAACACAACGGGATCCCATTCAAATCAGTCGGGCCGCAGTTGTGCTGAATACGATACAGGGCCCAACCACTTACCTATGACAAAACGATACCGTTCAAGTGCCCGCATTACCCATATCCGGAGATTGACACTGGCTTCTCCTTCCCGATGACGCGTCCAGTGTGCAAGGACAGTTTCAAGCGAGAAATCCAGTTCTTCCCATGTTGAACCCAAGGGGAGATGAGGATCCTCCTGAAATGTGTGCTCCACGTCCTCCTCAGTTTCCATCCGTGCAGGTACAACACGGTCTCGAGTGGGTAGGAACGCTTTCAACCCCGACGATCCACTTCTTATAATCAACGCTCGAATGACTGGTCACCACCTCACGTCAATAAAAGACACGAATGAACGCGTAAACACGTACTGCAATCCCCGCAGTCGAGATTGGAGAAAGCCACATGCTTGAACAACCCACTTGCAGAATTTAAGTTATTCGGAAAGCATGTCCCATAGGTAATTTTGCAGTCTATGTGTAGGTTGCTGTGTTTCAGGGCCCATATTGAGTCTTGGGTATACTGAGGGAACTGCTTGGTATGTTCGAGCCCCGAATACGGGTATCCGTCCATAGATGCTAACACAAGAAACCATCAACGATCACGTCGATGAGTGAAAACAACCCCGACTCACAGAAAACATACTCTGTAGCAGAAGTCCTGCGGGTCCCAAGTGCATTATCGACGACCTCTTTCCGAAGCGTAGTCCGTCCCGCTAACCCGATATTGAGAACTGGTTCGGATTCCCTCGTCGCTGAAGTGTTACCCGCCAGCTCCTGCCAAGCTTGGACACCTTCGACGTCGCGCCTCCACTCATCGTTCAATCCGCCAATCCGTCCAACAAGCCAGGACCACAACAAAAGTTCTCTCCACCTCTCAACAACGTGGCTACATCGATCGCTATTAATACAATCATTATGATCCCATGTTAAAACCAGTCAACTCACTGCCCAAAGAAGAAGATCAAGTACGCATCGTCATGGTCAACTGTCCCCGAAAACTGTCCACGGAATAAATGGTGGGATGTGCGCAGGAGTGCTTCCCGTATCGAAATGAAGGGATGGGCATTCGATGAATTCGGGTGTGACATCAACGATATCTCGCTGAGAATGGGAAGTGAGAGTGACTTGGCCATGTGAGTTAAATACGGACGGCTTCGCACTCCATAACGTTGGTCTGTATAATTTTTACACCGAGGGAATGAAACCAAAATTCTGTCAGTCCAGATTGATAAAAGAGGTGAAGAAAGTACCTAAAAGCCAGTTCGTGTAGCGCAACGGCCTCCATTCTCCATCCGGATTATCAAGAGATGGATTGGACGACGTAACAAGCAAGTCTGGTTGCACTCGAAGCACAACACCATATTCTGTTGTAAACATGCCGCAGATTGGTTCCGTAACCCGGGTCAATTGAATTAATTGACGCAGGGATGACAGGAACTATTAGCAGTGTCACGTACGTGGAGTGTAGAAGTCGGCTGCACCCAGAGGGCTCGTTAGGAAGTAGTCGTCGTTCTGTTGACGAACGGAATTAAGGTTTATGGCACCCCCCGAATCAGTTGAGTCTCACCATATAGATGCTGTAGGTAGTATCAATGGTCATTGGTTTTGACGCATGGGCAAAGAAGCTCACTTACAAATGCTCTGAAATATCAGGAATACGACTCAATTGCGACTCAATCGCAAAACTGAAATGAAGTGACAGAGTAATTACAAGGCCCAAACCGCCAGTCAGCCACTGCTGGTTCTACGGATAGCACATCGAGGAAGAGCGATGAAGACCCACCTATCGAACACAGTACCCTTGTAATCCTCGAAAAACTGACTGTGATGAAGAACATTGAGATGGGCGCCAGCCCCTGCATCGTCCCATTCTTCTCTGATCTCGCCATTCACTACCTTCCCAGGCCTGAGCCACTGAGGGATCTGTCCGAGGCGATATTGATGAAAAGATCTGAGAAGTTCTGGGGAAAGCGACAATGTCCGGTTCACGGCCTCTGGCGGCATGGCGAAATCGCCCGCAACAACATGTAGCTTCCTGAGATGTCCATGAAGCGCCTGTATCGCCGAACGTATCGAAAAGCGCAGTTCATCATGATCTCTAACAAGGCAACTCATCAGTCAAACGGACAGCCTTCACAAAGCTATACGGAGGATTTCTTACCGATACAATTTTGAGCCTCCAGGCCACGAACTTGGTCCTGAGGAATGTACAGCTCCGTATAGCGGTGATCGACGATAATGGGATTCAAAATCACTTTCAGAGAGGTCACCAGGCGGAAGGCTTCGATTCCTCAGCGTCACCTTCATGTTCTTCGATGCTGCCAGAGTTTTCCAATGTAATGGGTCAGATCCATTTACCCAAGTCCAGACCATGTCAAACTTTGGAGGAGACACGCCAGCAGCAGGATGGGTGTGGCTACGGCTCTCGCTATCTGGAGGATCGAATAAAGCATCTAAGACCTTTCCCGGGAGCTTCCTCTCAAAAGAGGGGAATCTAGAAGATGATTTCATGGAATGTTGTGCGTGGTATGCAACATAGCGGGTGGGTGGATCAGACCCTTGAGAACTTGAGGAATCCAGTGGCCAATACAAGTAAAATGAGGAATGCGGCCCGATGGCGTTGGTTACTTCTAATTCATCAATCTCTTGTGCCCTGCCCCACAACCGTTGTGGGGGGAAAATTATGAAGGATAGGACGAAAACACAAAAAAACAGGAGGAAAAGGGAGAAGGCTAAGTTTGAAGGTCCGAGTTGGAGACATGAGAATAAGCGCGAACGCCAGGTGAACCCCATGTATTTTGAGCGAGGCATCAGCGGATCCATGGACACCGAACGCAACTCGTAGTTGTGTGGGAGGAGTGTATCTGATGAGTCAAGGACGGCCTCGATGTCATCATCAGGTCGGTCACCTGGCGGCGAAAGAGCTCGCATGAATGAGCGCAAGATGCAGCGTCAGAGAGGAAGTGAAGCAACCAGTGAGAAGGAAGGTTGGTGGGAGATAAAGGAGAAGAAATGGGCAGGCGTGTTTTGCCAGAAAGTGGCGGCAGAAAAGTTATTTCTGGTTGATGAAAACCGCTGAAGGTCGTCGCGTTCAAGCCGAGCTGTAGGGATTACTTAGCCTAGCAGGTGCATATAACTAACGATTTAGTGCATCCAGGAAGCCGTTGGCGCAACTGGCTGACAGAAAGCGTTGCGACGACGAGGAGACGTCCACTATTTTTGATTAGCACAGCGCCAAGAATAACATGCATAAAAATAAGCAACACACGCTACGTACAGCCACGGGTTGTTTTCACACCGATTTTATGTATTATGTAATCAGGGCTATTCCGAATAGCTATTTTTGACAAACCTGCGCTGCCGCGAGGATGCCGAACCCCGTGAACAAAGCTGCGCACAACTGGACAAACCAAACTCCGCCACAATACAGCTCAGGCATGTCAGATTTTGTTGTAAATCCGGAGTTCCATATATGGCAACCCGCTTCAGCGGTTCACTCGCAATCCAGGTGTAATATAGAAATGAGAAGAGAAACTGTAACTAAAGAACATACGGTGCTAAAGCACCCATATTTATACTATGCATCGGCAATCCGGAGCTTCCTATGCGCGGTATTTACGCAAGCGCTTAGTCACATCCTCCACATTATCCTCCACATATGTCCCGGATATCTCCGGTGACTCGCCATTTCCAATATTCCCCCTCGAGTCACATACTCCATGGGTTCCTTGATCGGGAAGGGTCCTGCCCTGTATGACAAACTCGAAGCGCCTGAGATCCATCCCATCCTCCGATGTTTTCCAGTCCTATACAGTCTTACCACATCCGGATCCCCCCCATTCCCGAAGTCACATGACGGCACTCCTGTTTCCATTTCGGGGCCCTTCCTATTATTCTCTCGGCTGGGATGCCGGTATCCTCCTTCAACATATCGGCCTCTCTTTGGTCTGCTTTCCCCCTGCATCAAATGTCCCCCATCTCCATCCTTGCTCCCTGCCCTCTGAGAATGTCCATCCCTTCTGGGTTAATTGCGTGGGAAGTCGGGGAAAATGATATGGTAATTGATCTTCGGGTTCAAACACGTGATCGGTCCGTCGGCCAGATCCGAATCGTCGATATTCATTCCGATTCCGAGCATTCTGGTTCCGGGGTACAAGGGAAATGCTGAGGTCATTACTTTCAGCACTGTCCCAGGGAGTTATACGCAGTTTCCACATATTACATAAGCGACGGATGCAGTGATTGAGTATTCCGGTTAGACCCAGGGCTGGGCTCATAACCTGTTGTTAATCCGGAGTTCCATATATGGCAACCCGCTTCAGCGGTTCACTCGCAATCCAGGTGTAATATAGAAATGAGAAGAGAAACTGTAACTAAAGAACATACGGTGCTAAAGCACCCATATTTATACTATGCATCGGCAATCCGGAGCTTCCTATGCGCGGTATTTACGCAAGCGCTTAGTCACATCCTCCACATTATCCTCCACATATGTCCCGGATATCTCCGGTGACTCGCCATTTCCAATAGATTTCCTTTCCGTGGGAAAGTGCAATCCCACCCCTGTCACCTGCGGGACATTAATGATGACCGAAGACCTCGACTTCAGCCGACAGGACCATGGGAAAAATGTTTTCCATTGCCATGCGACCAATTGTGACCATGTCTAGCTGTCGTGTGCACAATTGCTTCAACAAGCAAATTGGTCATTCGGTTTGAGGGGAACACTCATAACAAAAGTAACCTGGTTAATCAGTATATTATATGTACCTACGTCCCTCTCAACACCGGCATTAGTGACCTAGGGGTACCGTGGTTCGGTTCGGTTCAGTTCAGAGGCGAACCTGAACCCGATCACACCGGTTCAAGACTGCGCTCCTGCTGCGGTTTGACATCTTTGGAGTCTCCACATGGCGCATTGAAATGCAAGGTTGAAATAACATGCCGTCTGCAGTAAATACGGTGTACTGCTTCGCGATGACAGTTGGTTCAAATTGACAGGCAAAACCTCTACTGCGGAAAAACCCGCTGGTTTCTATACAGTGCAGTTGATGTGTTCCTGCCGATTGCGCAGCAGGAAGAAATTCCGGAAGGCGAGAGTTGCATCGGACAATCTCCTGCGATGCATCAAATCGTTGTGATCGAGAAGATACAGCTAATATTCCAGGTGACACGTCAATAATGATTTGTTCGATCGCGTCGAAGAAAGGAGCTTCCACAAAGTCCACCGAGACTATTACCATTGCTCATCCACCCGGGGGAAGCAAGCAATGCGCACTATTGATTCATTGGGGAACTTGAGGACGTGGAGACAATTTGACAATACTATACTGTGATAAATTGTAGCGTCCGCGTTGATGATCATCAGGAAGCACATTTCTCCGAAGAGAACTTTGTAACAGAACACCCCTTTGAGAAGGCACCTAGTGATGCCACCGTTGTCGCTGGAGAATCCGGAGATGTCATGGAGTTTACGGAGTGAATCAAGCTCGTTGTTGATTCACGACATGTTGCCGCTCCGGCTCAGGAGCGAGGCAAAAGGGGGCATAGCAAACAACGGCTGCGGCCGCATGCCAATGAAGGGCTTAGTTTAGAAGTAGTCTTTCAGATCTCTTGCATCATCTTCCTGCCACTGCAAGGGACCATTAGAACTGATTTCCATCATTGTGGCGCTGAATGCGGTATTTTGTGATCAATTCAGCCTCCATGCTAACGCCCTCAGTTGCTCGTGGGATTGCTCGATCTTGGACGAGATCGAATGGGACTTGTGTGTCCCCGGCCCATCCTGGTGCTCACATCCTTTCCCTCGCGTCCGCTGCATGCCTCGGGATATCTGGGTGTCCTCTTGTACGCCATACCCGCCTATGGCTTTTCGCACACTGATCATCATCTGCGTATGCTCAGTTCGCAGGTGTCTTGTCTTCTTCCTGGTCATCTGCCTAGGTGTCTTGTAAGTTGCGCACACAAGATGACTATATAGGTTCGAGATGTCTCCCTCAAAGATGGACAGAGATAGGGACTCAGGCGAGGCTAATTCCAAGTGAACGCTCTACATGTTACAGCTGTTAGAACGGCTGAAGGCTAGAGTCACACGTCTGAAGTGGCAGGGAGCTGTGCATGGGAAAGTGAATAGGCGAGGGTGATGTATATTAGGCTTCTAGTGTGGCGGATGATCGCATCAACCAGCGGTTTCTCTTCCTCCAGTACGACGTTCGTGCCCTCTACCAGAAATAAATGGCCTAAAACCGTCGACGTGAAATCTTCGACACAAGCGCAAGTTTCGATCTAATGCCCTCACTTCATAATATCTGGCGCTGCACTGGCGGAAGATGCCACCCCCATCGGTGTATATGTATATGTATTCATGTGCCTGGGGAGTCGAGCTTTTCTTTCAGGCACAATATCTTCGCCTCCCATTTGCCAATGGACAGGGATGAGTCATAACGATCAGCCTGTCTTCCAATGCGAGGGAGTTTCAACTTCTACACCAAATTCCGTCAACACAATGAACTTCAAATTGATGGCCCCGGCCGCCCAGTTAGAAATTTGGGCGCGTTCGAAGGATCACCGAAGCGAAGTTCCATGGCAGCGCCAGTCTAGGGATTGTGTTCATTAATAATACTATGGTACAAAATGGATTTGTGCAGCGGACAGTTCATATGAAAGAAATATGTGGTGACCCCCAACACGAAAAGAAAAGGTCGCAGAGGAAAGTGTAGTGAGGCAAAACAATACAGACCCAATCTCTTACAGCAATAAAGGAAAGAACAGGAAACAGGCTGATGTGAGTTGCGTCGACTGTATGACTAGGGGTTTGGGATGAAAGTGCAATAAGGGTTGAGTCAACGTAATGGCTGGATCATGATTATAGCAGCTTAAAGTTCATCCAATTTTTAAGGGCCCTGGCGAGGCATACACGTACACGGTGTATGAAAACAGTGGGCGGCGGAATCCTCCTGCTGTCTGCCGGCTAATGAGACATTAGATGGTGATACAATCAGTCAGAGCAGTCCGATATCGTGAGAGCGGTAGTGTCATGATGTCGGAGTCGAGATCTTCAGGCTTCAGCATCGATTTGACAATCGCTAGGACTTCAAACGCTTACGGCCATGCCCAATGCCACCCTCCGATGCCACGACCCCCGCCGCAGGCCCATCAACATCATCGAGGTCACGACTCCGACGGCTTCCGACGGTCGAGCCAGCCTTCGACCCAAGTGGGTCTTTTCCGGGGCTGGCTGAGCCAGAAGTATCTTCAAACTCGAGGGCAGATTCCGATTGTCCATCTTCGGCATTGTCTGGGTCCAAACTTGGAGGGGAAATGTTCTCCGCCTCGGGGGATGGACGTGAGGACACCTCTGTCCATCCTTGTGCATGAACAACGTAATCCGCCCAATTCTCAGCTTCTTCCTCGAATTCTTCTTCCTCATCGTCGTAATCATAGAGCTCTTCATCGTCAATTTCGTGCGTCTTGTACTGCCGCAGGAACTGCTGGGTGATGTCGCCACCAGACTCCATGAGCTGCTGGAGTAAGGGCTCATCTCGGGTGTATTCATCCTCTGTATCAACACTGGTGACACCACGTTTGCATATCGAACAAGAGCAAGTGAACAACGGCGTATAGACCTCTTGCCACAAAGACTCTAATAACTGCGGTATTGAAGGGCCGAGATACGTCCAATATACCGGTATCCGAGGCACATGTTCAAAGGGGCGAGGCTCAGCAACAAGCAGGCGTGTCGGGGATGACGATGACCACTCTCCAGGTGTCGATGATGACGTTTGGGAGGGTACGACAGTTTGGCATGTGGGAAGAGATGGTGACATTGATTCTGCAGGGAGAGGATTAGACTCAAGTGATTGTGGTTTAACTTCGGGAGAAGGTGAAGGAGTTGTTCTAAAGGTGGTCGCAGGACTAGAACGACCATCAGTTCCGTCACTCCCGCCCCGACCACTGCCACTGCCTTCGGATGCTGTCGTGGTAGACGCTGTAAGACTAGGGGAAGCTTCCTCCGTAGGCGAGGTACTGGTATATTGGGCTTGCCAATCGTACCCTGCCAACCAGTTTTCAGGCGCGCGTAAGTATTCACATGACAGAAGCTGCTCGGTTTTGATTTTCTGGGCAACTGTACAAGGATCGACACCGGAGGCTTTGGACATCGCAATAAGCCTGATGCGGAGGCGTGAGCACTCAGTCGCGGCACGCGATTTAACCCAAAACGTACCTTCTGAGGCAATTCTCCAAAGCTGGTCGGAGAATGAGCCTAAAGATGCGCAAGAAAGCAAATTGGCAATCACTGAGCAAGCTACCACGAGGTGGAGTAGAGCCGAAGTGCACGTTGCTAGGATACCGCAAGCCCTCCGGATTAATTTGGAAGCCTTCGTGTGGATGGACCACAGCAACCCCTCTGTGTGCTGCAGACTCCAAGTTCTCGACGGCCGCTGAGTATCCGTCTTGCCAGAAGTCGGCAGGAGCAAACCAATAACCTTCCATTACTCGGCACTTCGCCCACTCATGGAGCGCCATATTCCGCAAACTTTCTCGTGCTTTGTAAGTGTAAACCTCGTGAATACTGAGATTGTCGGGAAGAGGCTCTACATGATAGCCTTGGGCCATGCGTTCATGTTGTTCTGCACGCATACGCTGAAGAAGCTCAAATTCCTCCGCACCAATTCTATTCAACAGTACGCTCGATCGGTACTGTTCCATGTGCTCGTCATACCGAGTGTTCTCCTGAAGCCATAGCCGATCATCGATATCAGCAGTTACTCTTTTGATGTCGCCCCGACCAGAACGAACAAAATCAGAATAAATGACGGGAATAATGGAGTCAGTTGCAAGTTGACCGATGTTTGGGCCGAACGTCCGAGTAAGCTTCTTATCGAGTTCTTCTCTGCGGCAAGTCAAGCATGTCATCAAACACTGGGCCCATGTCTGCACGTCATCATTAAGGCAGAGACCAGGAGGTTTCCAACGTCCTTGGTGATCGACGTCGTGCCACGGTCGCAATGTTTGCGGCACATATTCATCTTGAAGACATACAGAGCAAAAACGCTCCTTGTGATGCAGAGCGCATGCAGAAACCCAACCCAGATGGGCAGTTTGCACCTGGTGCTTGGCAGGAGTGGGATTTAATGATGAAAGGTTGAAGAAACATGGAATGCAACAGGTATTGATGATGGCCTGGTATATAGAAAATGGCGATGGGCGCTCCAAGTCAGAAAAGACAGTATGTTGACGTGTTCGGTCCAGCATTTCTACAATCTGTGTCCAGAACCTATGGCTAAAAACTAGTTTAGGGAAGGCAGCACGCGCAACGTCAGAAACGGTGACACGGCAGCAACATGAATTGACTCACGCGCAGATTCCCACCGTCTGCATACCGATTGCAGTGCTTGCAACTCCTCCGCGGCGGATAGCATTAGCCAGAGGGTGCGCGCATGATACTTGTGTGGCTGATCCCAAGTGCGCGGGACATATGGATTGACTAAAAAGAAATCGTTGATGATCTCGGTGGCCACAAGCCTAATTGTAAGGAGAACAACGTTAGCGTCCTTAATCAAGAGAGAAGCATTCGGTTCAGCAAAGGCTCATCAGTCTCACTTTAGGACTTCAGCGGGGAGTTCAGACCAAGAGCGATAAGCGAGTTTCCCTTTGAACATGGTGAAGCCGACGGCGAAACGACGATTTGATCGGAAGGGCTGACGGGAGGCGGGGTTACAAAAAAAATGGGGACAAGCAATGAGTTCAGTAGTGAAAAGAGAGCAGAAAACACCAGAAGCAACCGCGAAGGGCGGTCGAGCTTGCTGGTGAACGTCCTTAGGCGCGCTCGTTCGAAAGTGGAGGGGAAACCAAAGACGAATGTGGCGCAGCTCCGTTTCTTCTGTGGAAAGGAGTTACCCGTTATCTCCGTGTTTATCCCGTCACCGGGCGGCTCACGTGCAGGGCACGACACGTCACTCAGAGAGGCCAGATGAGTCAGAAGCGCTCAAGGCTGTACCTAAAAAAACTAGCTAGCTTAATTTTATTGTGGCGTGTATAGCTATTCATACTTGTTCTACTATGAGCTGGAGTTGCACAGCGACATCTGGCGGAAATTTGAATGCCTCCAACCGCGGACCAAAGGCCGCCGTAATTATCCTTACTCCTCCTCGCAGTGCTGGGAATGGCTTTTTCAGCATCACACATCACAGGAACGCCAAAAAAAAACACATGGAAGCTTACTGCTAAGAAGTGGTCCAATCATTTCGCTTACTGCCTCGCTTTCTTTTAGCTGCCGGTACTCCAGATATTGTTCAAGTGCCTCATCTCCGGATGGCTCGAAAGAATGGGCTTGAATAACATCTCTTTGGATCTCTTGTGAAAATGCCTCCAGGACTGATAGAAAAGACACGAAGGCTTCTAAGATGCGAGGAACATCTCTCTGTACAACCCCATAAGAATCTTCCTCCAGGGATCGGGCGGTGAGGTACGAGAGGCCTGAAAGTGAAGAGGACTCTTGCATCAGTGGCTCAGCGGGACTTGGAAGCAGCGACGACACTTGCTTTCCACAATCCAAACGTCAAGTTTTCGCCAAGGAAGAGAAGACTCCACACATTCCACCTTACTTCCAAATAGTGCCCATCGAACATCGTACACGTTCCGTCGCAAGGTCGGAGTAAGACGATTCAGAACAATGCGGTCCACCTTCTTATCCAGCTGTCGTAGAAGTTGCCTTGAATCCGGGGTATCTCTAATAGTCTGCAGACTTGCACTGAAAGCGGCCGTCACCATACTCGCAACCGAACTCGTGCTGGCGTTAGTGTTGGGTCTGGGGGAAGTTGAGGCCACCAGTGCAGGGGAACTCGAAACTGACTGGCTAAGGAAAACTTTTGGGATTTCTTGAATGTTTGATGCGCCGTCCCTGGCCGATTCCACTAAATGTGTGAGCACTTGAGTACTCGCACCCTCACTGCTAAAACTATCTGCTATGATCTCAGTAGTAGACTTCGCCGGCTGGCGGAAGATACCAGCCGCCGGTCGGATCACAGAATCTTTAGACTTCGCTTGGGGCGTGGTAGGAACGACGAGGGTTGTGGTAGCGGAAACGGGGGTGGAAGAAGCTGCAGGTGGTGCCCCACGCCTGAGGAGTGTCTGATAATCCCGTCCCAAAAGAAGAAGACATTCACGGGAGATGACTGCCCATGCGCCGGCACTCGAAGATCCATTGGTTGGGGCGGAACTGGGTGGATGGGCCATTTTCAAGTCCGAAAACAGTGCCTTTCTGCGCGCAACAGCATCTGGCGAGCTGGACTGTGCCAGGACGTCGAGTTCATGGAGAGCATGATGCTGATACAAGATTATGAGGTGGCATGTATCATGAGGATTGACTAGAAATTACCTTGATATACCGATCTGGCGATGTGACCCCAGAAACGAGGCATGAGTTAGGGTCTGGTGCATAATGGGATAGCACAATCGGCTTTCGTGGGTGGTCATGGTATGATTAATCCCATACGAACATAAAGGCCAAACTTATTACCTGCGAAAAGTACCCATCCACCATCACACGCAGGATCTCCCAAGTCAGTGCCGTTGTTACATTGACAGAAAGGGAACGGCATATCAACTCAAGGGACACCGGTGAGAATTTCGCCCGTACGAACGTGCTCACGTACGGTCTGTCAACGAGTAAGTAATGAAGCCGCACATGGATATCGAAATCGACATACCTCAGGAAGAAAGCAAAGTATAAAACGAATCTCCAGACACGAAGCCGGAAAAGGTAGTAACTGACAGAGAATATGATGGACACACTGCTTGCCAGTAACACTGTTGGCATGATGACAATCTTAAGCTGAGGCAAGTAATTGGGACGATGCGGAGGGTTCGTCTGTCATTCTATGTCAGCATTCGCTATTTGGACAAGACGAGACAACAAACCGTGAAGCTTGGCCACGAGCCCTTGTGGCGCCAGAATATGGCGACTGACGACGCATAAACAATTCCAGTCAGCATATTCGATAATGCTATGAAGAGAAACCGTTCATTCAGATTGAGCCGGTATCGCCTAAAATGTTGTCCGTTAAAGGTCATGGAGGAACGCGTAGCTCACGGAGATACGAACACGGTTGGAGCGAACAATGCAAGACGCGGATCGTCACGTTCACGTAAACCGGCAGAAACGCAATAAGAGAACGCCAAGACCCATCCCTGAAATGCATACAGCACGAATAAGCGCGCGATCGTTGCAGTGGGGAATGATGATAACCGTGCTGCCAACGTTAAATACGGTTTGGGGGCGACCGTATACTCTTGTTGCAGCATGATGCGAAGCAAAATAAATGATGGAAGGACTCCAAAGCTGAATGTGGGGACTATCAGGAAGAATTTCCAAGGGGACAAGCTCGCAATGATCTCATCTTCGAAATAGTAAGCCTTTGAGCAACGAGCCACTCGAAATATTGTGTACATACGAAAAATTCCATTCTTCGGTGAGAATGAAAGAGTATTGCCAAGGATCCATGTCAACACAAATGACAGAGTAATGATACGAATATTTCTCTGCCGCAACACTAACTGTGCCAATGAGTCAGCTGGTGGTGGCACGCTTCAGCGGACGTTTCTCGATCACATACTTTGCATGTATCGGCATACGAAGTCGAGGAAGAGCTTCTGCTCTTTGGGGGTCGTATGGAATAAATTGATGAAGGAGTGTATGGTGACCTGGCGGACGACATGTTAAAGTTTGTTGGAGGATGCTTGGATGGTGGCTGTGATCCCGGTGAATCCCGTTTCAGGATGCGAACCTTTGGTCACGAGCCATCAAAAGGGATTTCGTTTCACGTGAATGTGGGAATCAGACTGAAGCCCAGCCCGAGCCAACCATTACAATGATGAACCAACGAACCATAGCCTTGCACGGCGGAGCTCGGGCGCCCTCATTTCAGGACCACCTATATCACCTGAAGGACCTCGACACCATGAACCAATGCTAATGTCATGTCACTTGGGAGACGGAGTCCGGATCTTGAGGAGAGACATCCGGATGCGATCTTGCATCACGCCAGCTGCATGGGCCCTACTTTTGTCTTTTCGGAGCTGTATATACATGGTGCATCTCAGGATGAAGGCACACCATGTTCCAGTCCCCGGTCAGGGAAGTACATCCCGTGGCATGGCCCTGATAGAAACTTGCAAGTGAGTGTATTGATCATAAGTATTCCCGTTGTCGCGTCGTTCAAGACCGAACAATGAATTTTTGCGTGCTAATATTGAAGTTTCTGCGACAGAATATGCAGGAGGGTATGCCATACAAAAACATCATTTCTAGGTGGGTCGGGATCACGACCATATCAATGTCAATATTGCGCCTGAGAACTCGTCGGTCGACATGCGCAACGACGCGGATCTTATTTTCTAGGTAAGCCGAGTTCGGCTCTGCATGATCCAGATATCACACAGGCCCGCTTAGGCCTTCCGCTTAGCGCCCATATAACAATTTTAAATCAAAGCGAATTTGATGTGAGGTGTTGGATCGATGTATGCAATTCTTCAAAATGTGGTGCTAAGTATCAGCCCGTTACCAAGATCCGCCAGTTGTAAGTTGTAAGTTGGTTCATAGGAACGTCGAATGGTTGCCAAGTCACTTGGAATGCTTGTACTCGCTTGGCTGTGTACATAACAAAGAGGGGAACTTCATCGGCTCGATTTGAGGGGCATGCGCTTTTGGCTTGACGGCGCTTGTTTTTGAGCGCCCGAGAATGCTTGGAACACGGCCGCCCAACAGGGATTAAGGTTGTTCAGGGACCAGCTGACGATGAGAAGTCGGAGACACAGATTGTACAGTAATTGAAATGTCTGAGGCATATACATACATGAAATTCCAAATCAGTGCCCTTTACATATTTGCATGTTGGCCACAACAGCCCACCTATCCACCCACCATTCCCTTCATTCCCTACCATGGCTTATGCAGGCCACCAAGATGCTTTCACATTTCAACGCGACCCTGAGCATAACGATGCAGCAACCAGCCCTGTTTGCTCAATGCTCGACGCATTGATGCATCCCGTTCCACTCTCTGTCCTCGCTCTTTCAGTTCTCGTCGCTATGGGATTCGGCCCGCAGTTATACTACAAGGCCTCTCGTCGATTGCTGCAAATACCCGTTTCTGATCTCCAAGACGAAACTCCCCCAAAGGCTCTCAATGAGTTTTCACCAAAGAAGCTGGAGCAACCGCAAGCTCAGCAGGCGGGAAAGAAGAAACGCGCAAAGGAGCGACAGAAGCGCGCAAAGGAACCTCTGAAGGAGATCCCTGCTAAGCTAACGAAGAGTGGAAAATCAAGCTCGTTCGCTCAGCTTCCAAGAAAAAATGAATATCAAACGCGACATCAACCGCCTTTGCATCGCTCGCGTACGGCCGTTCACAATACTTTTGCCGATGAAAGCACCTTTTCTGGCTCCAGTGCGGCAGGAGATGATGACGGACATGTGGATCCGTCCTCTACACTACCATCAACACCAACCGCGGATGAGCCCCATCAAACCCCTACACAGAAAAATCTCCCCATTTCCGTGCCCTCATTCCCAAAACTCTCTCCCCCACTCCCCGCATCATCACTGACTGTGTCTCTACTCTCTCGATTCGCAGAATCACCAAGTTCACTGCAATTTGCACCGGCTGGACCAAGCGCCGAATCACCGATCGTTCCCTCTCCCGACCACGACTCACGAACATTGACCTCATCTCCCACCTCGCCTTCCGTACTCTCGGGTATCGCATCGACTACCCCTTCATCACTCCTTTCCCCCCAAACCCCTCCCGTACTTCCCCTTCCTACCTTCCAATCATTACCAACGAATATTTCAGAGAGCGACGAATTGTTATTCCAAGACCTTAATAGTCATATTGCACCTGACACCGATAATCTCTGGATCGAAGGTAATAGCAGGGCTCAGCCTCGATATGGCCACGAGGCAGTGCAAGGCACAAAGATAGCTACGTCTGTTTCTGCGCCGGTATGGGACAGCTCACTAGACTGGGACAATGAAAGCAACAAACGGGGTTCCGATAGTACGTTGCGAGGGCAAAGCGTCAATTCATCGAGCGTGGAGACCCTAGTATTGCCCGAAATAGCCGATTCGCCTTACTCCGTCTCCCCCCGGGAGAACAATTCTCTTTCCCTTCGCTCAATGACCCACCGCCTACCCCTTCCAATCTTGATCTCTCTGCCCCTCATGATAGTGTGCCTGAGGGGTTGGACGTTGGTGCTCTTCGTGCGGCTCTTGAGGAATCAAAAGCGAACGAAGAAAGGTGGAGATTGGGATGCGTGAGACGCGGAGAGGAAATTGAAAGACTTAAATGGGCTTGGACCGAAGAGGTCAGGAAATGGTCCAGAAGGGAAATGGAGGTAAGCACGCGTTTAATGCCCAAGGTCCCCGACTGAATCATTGTCTCAATAGATGCAGCAGCAAATATATCGATTTATAAGCATGCAAACTGTGCAATTGCAGCAGCAACAATACGGTGTCCCATCCCCGGTCAGTGGCACATTTCCGCTGGTGATGCCGAATGGAAGCGGAAAGCCTGGCGTGCCGTTCAGCCCTACTGGGTCCCTTCCTGTGAGCCCGCAAATACATGCGCCACATCCCCAGTTCGCCATACCGGGCTCGTTAGGCTTCCCACCATTCTCGATCATCAATGGCATACCTGTTGGTCCCAATCCGCTGGGATCTCCAACTGGTATTCCGTCCCGCCCGAACTCAACGGCGCCGGGTAATCGTCGGGGTAGCAGTAATTTTCACAAACGACCTTCAGCAAGCTCTCGACACTCTTCTCGATCCCGTGCTTCGTCTCCCTTCTCTCCCGTTGGTCCTAACCCCAATGCACAAGCGTCGTCGTCTCAAATTAAATCTTCCCCCGGTAAGCCCAAGATGCAACCGTCCAACTCACTAGGATCAAGTAGTTCCCAAATTAATGGCTTCCCGCCTTTACACGGATCAAATTCTGTGCCACGATCTATTGCATCGCCTTCCAGTCGGTCTTCCTCTGTTCTAGGGGGGTATGATGTGGAGAGCGGTACCCCTATCGATCTCGCTATTGCTGAAAGTGACGAGGGGGCCGAAGAGGAAGATGCTATACCTGAGCATCTTGCCAGTGCTATATTGAAAAATCCTGGAGGGAAAGCAGGTTCGGTCGAAAGCTCCGCTAGCCGAAGTTCCACAGCTTCTAGTCCAAGAAAAACACTTCAGCCTCTTCAAACGATATTCTCTGATTCCCCACCATCGGGGCCCACGCCGGTTGCTGTTATGGAGGGTGTGGTCGTCAGAGGTGATGGTGTGGATGGTGTTGACCACAGTGATTCTCGGAGTGTCAGTCCAGCCTCGTTAGATAGGGACCAAAGGACGCGTTTTTTGGCCTGTATTCCTTAGGTTGATCACACACGTTAATTTTTTGTAGTTTGGTTCTGAAATCGAACTCAAACTCTTTTCTCTCTTTTGTTGATATTTATTCCCTGTTTTTTTTTTTTTAGAAAAACCTTCTCTTATTATTTTCGTCTTATTATCGAACTGATCATTTTTACTGTTCGTTCATCCCACCTACTCATCGTCAATACCTCGTCTCACGCAATATCTGCCTGACCACCATCCACCATTCATCTTTGATTCATTATCATTTTCATAAACATTCAAACCCCCAAGTCCTTCACGCATTGCCCCGTATGGAACGGGTAGCTGCCAGTATACTGTAAGCTCAATTTGTCCCAACTTCATGGCATCCCTTGGCCTTACGCGCCTCAATAGCAATTATCCTACATGGTCATCCACAGGGGGAGCATGGCGTAAGGTAATCTTGATGCAAGGAAAATTAAATAGATACAAGGTACGATGCGAGGTAGCGGTAGCAACGGTAGTTGTTAATGCGAAAAACATCATAGGTTGAGGATCATTCTCGTGAAGCTTTCATAATTGACATTCCCATCCCTGTTGGAGCACGCGGAGCAAGGGGAAAAAAAAAGACGGTAGTTCATATGGGCCGAATGGAACTAAGCGAGGAGAAAAACTCACGGCCCGATCTGAACGCCCTTAAGCAGTTCGTCGACTTCTTCGTCGGTCATCTTTTCCCCTAGTTGTGTGAGGACGTATCTAAGTTCACCTGCGCCGATGAAGCCATTGCCTTCCTTGTCGAAGACTTGGAAACCACGGACGAATTCTTCTGTGTATTTTATAATGTATGTATTAGAACGGAGGAGGATACATTAAGTATCCTCCCCGTGGGTATATGGATCGATAAAAGTGGGTTCACGGACCAGGGGTTCCGGCAGGTTTGAAACCATCAGGACGATTTAGTATCGTAAGGAAGGTCTTGTAATCGACTAATTTGTAACGGAGATTTATGTGGCTTGGGGTAAACCAATTTGGATGGACATACCATCCCGCGGAGCTGCTTGAACGATCTCTGATACTTCTGCCTGTGTTGGATTCTGGCCTAATGCGCGTAATAGGTCACCAAGCGTTTCACGGGGCACGGCGCCCGTTCCTCTCTTGTCGAACAAAGCGAAAGCTTCCTTGTATTCGGCGTTGTCGCTCTAAAGGAAAGAAAGAAAGAAAAGGACACGTTTGTTGGATGTGATCGCCACGCGTTCCGTAGCATCGTAGTACTGGGAGCTTACCATGATCGGACTTGGGTAGCGTTAGCGTTTGGACGCGTTTTCTTCGATATGAAAGTGTTGAGTTGCGGGGAGTGCCGCGTACAATAGCAGGCGTTTGCCGGAATAGGCGGGAAAAGTAAGACGAGCGCAGGCGCGTCGACTCAAGATCGCGATCCGTTTTGTGCTTGGTCAACAGATTGCTATGACTCTCCGTTTCCTGGTTATATCCAACAGCGTAGTCAGATTTCTCCTATTTATCAACACGTACGTCGCCTCTGTCACTCCTTTTGGTCTTCCTTCTGCTTCCTTTTCAACAAATTCCGACCGCCTATTATGACCTATCCCGATCGCGTGTCCATATATCCTCCGTCAACTGGGAGAATGGCTTACTTGTTCCCGCTACACGCTTGGCACTAATTATCGTTCGAGAAGCTCTTCGACGCGATCGGCAACTGGGCGAGACCGAGATGTTATCGTCCGCCCCTTTCAGCTAGGCAGGATCCCAGCCTCTACTAAAGTAGACCTTTCAGCACTCATTGGAGTGGATGGAAACATCGCTCTCGGCCTTCTTCTCTTTAGCCCTGGAATATTTCTGCAAGCTGGGAAGGAGGCTTTATCTTCACGTCCCCTCGCTTTGCAGCAGCAACGTATTTCTTTGGAATCAGTAATTGTACTCGTGAGAACGTTTAATTCTAGAGTATCTGATTCCCACTGGTCAGGATCTTTTGGAACTGGTAGGGCCTGGCGATGCTTCGCATTGCATAGCACTTTTTGGAATCATGTTTGGGTGCTGGAATTTTTACATCTTCTAGTAACATGGGCCATTTTACATTTGGAATGAGTCTACATTTGAACGGTCATCACAGTATGTACTGTGATTCTAGAAGGGGTTGGATAATTGAATCGTCATCAATGGATGATCAGATATTCAATTTAACTGTTTCCCCCGTCTATCTTCGTGTGCCAGTTGGTGTGTCCGATTAGAAGCGGACAAAAATGCGGGGCATTCGCTTGAATCGGGCTGCAAAGACGAAAAGAGTTATTAGGACGGCATCTGGATATATGTCCACAGGCGACATGCGTACCCCAAAGGAAGATCACAGCTCCACATATCTGAACACCTCCAGCGTACAATGAAACTATGTGCCAATTTTGATTGGAGCAGCTCAAAATGGTGCCAGCTAGAGTCGGGCCAGCAAAGTAGCCTGCGTTGGTTTGATCTGAGGAGTTAGAAATATGAGGGTGACGACGAATTAAATCCACGATTCTCACCAGGAAATCCCGAAATCACCAATAAGCCAGAAAGATTCGCAGGCTGATCTGATCCGAAGAGTTGCGCACCAACAGGGGTAAGCAGGCTAACAAAACAACCTCCCCAGAATCCGTATAGAATCGCGAAGAACATGATCATGCCATAGGTGCTCGACTCATTTGCTCCGAAATTGCCAATCAGATTCCAAATGATGACCTGGGTGATACCGGAGATAAAGAGGGAGATGAAGAGCGTATTTGCTGGGCCGAAATTGTCGGCAGTGAGACCGACAATGATTCTACCGATGAACGCCGAAATGTTTGCAATCGTTATCGGGAGCGTGCAAAGACTGGAACTAATTCCAGGAAGCTTCGAGCGAATAAAAAGTGGCAGGAATAAGAAGGGTACTAGGTGGCCACTATGGCGTGTCGAGACATCATTGGTCAAGAAATTGATGCAACATGAGTGAGCGATTAATTTGTCTCCCAATATATGAATGTACTCTCACAAAACTGCAATCGTCAAAGAAATTTCTAGACTCCAGAAAACCGAATCGCGAAACAAACTGGAGTTGAGCCATTTCGTGCGCGGCAGGACCTCAGGTTGCACTCTTTCGACTGATGGGCTTTCGACATCCTCGGAACCTTCGATTTTCGCGTCGGGAGATATTTGCTGCTTCTCGACATTAAATGGTGCCTCGGCTTCCGCCCGTTGAGGATACTCTCGCTCCTTCATCAACACAAAGGAAATTCCAAGAATGACAACTTCCACGCCGGATTGCACAAGATATACACCGCGCAGACTCATGTGTGAAAGCAAGGCGCGGATAATCAGTGCATTCATCCCGCCACCTTCAAGGTGCACAGACCATCAACGCGAACGGAATGGTGGGACCAGGGATATCAAACTCACCGAATGAACTGCCAGCAATGACAATGCCTGTGGCAAATGCTTTGCGGCGCCTGAACCACTGAGCTGGCAGTGCGCACAATATCGGAAACAAGATGCCGTTGCTCATTCCGAGCATGAGTCCCTGGAAGGGCGTGTTGGATGCCCTGACAACATGTCTGAACACAAGTTGCGCACCTGCGTTATGAAGAAGTGCCAAATTTTTGTAGACCAAGCAGAAAGGAATACCGATAACACGTGGAGGACAGATCCAAGAATGATGAAGCGCTACAATGAAGATTAGGGCCGACAACGAGTCCGAAGACAAGGATTTGTTACCCTGTAGCCACTGAAACGGGGAATAAATGTACTGAAGGAGAACAAGTTCACAGTGGGGGGGCTAATGACTTACTATTGGTCTTCCAGCTTCCCAAAAAAGAACGACCCTATCGGAAGCATCTTGCATGGCATCGTGTCAGTAGCTACCAGAGCAGGGAAACAACGAAAGACATACACTTGCTTGAGTGGCACCGAGAAGACCTAATACTGACTGCGAATCTTAGCTAAGGGTCTGGGACTGCGGCGGGGAAGACAAATGACGAACCTCGTTTACCCCTGGGAACGTGTTATGCGACTTGAAATACTCCAAGAACACACCATAGGCAAGTGGCCAACCTCGAATGCAAGTATTACGAGGTGAGCTTCAGGAGATAATGGCGGGAGTCGTACTGATAGTTATGTAGGCTTGAAGGAAGCAACCCAGGACGACGAGCCAACCAGCACGACCTCCGTCAGGAAGCTCTGTATCAGCTTCAGCCTCAGGAACCTGATCCTTGATGATCGTTTGCTTCTCGATCGGCGAGACATTGGAAAAGCATCCACTCTTCTCCGATCGCGGTTCCTGTAAGCTGGGAGTCTTCGAGGTGGTGATAGAAAGTTCTTCGTTGGGGTTGGGCGATGGCATATGGAATCCAGCAGTGGGGAGCCTGAGCTATGGGTTAGTGGAAGCTGACCTTGGTGACTTTTTAAGTGCTTAGATTTTCCTCTCTGGGTTCGGATGAGGACGGTCCGTCTTAGAAAGCCCAGAGTTGAGTACACACGCGCGAGCCTAGGACTTTCAGCCGTCACTCCGCACAGGGCGCCGCAGAACGTAATTGGCCAGGGCAACCATGGCCATATGCGAGTGACCACGGGGTGTAGTGCAATCTCCTAGCAGCTAAAAGAACGAGCATTTCCATGATCAGCTAGAGGAGCCAAAGCCAGGCAGCATCGAGTACAGAATTGTACATCAAGTGATCATGTCCTAATATCACGATTCCGTCTGAATCGGGCTATGAGACACCCCTCAGGAACGTAATTAATATCAACTCATTAGGGCCTCCAGAATGGTAACAAAGCCATCGGAATTGTTAGAATACAAACGGTCCGACCACTGGCTTGAGGACTTGGGCGGCAAACTTGGCAAGGGTCCTGGGATTCGGCACGCTTCTAAGTAATACATGGTCCCAAGGGATGACCTACATCTAACCAATCATTCCTTGATCTATTATCAGTATACCAAGTTGGTCAGTCAAGAGGAGCATTCTCCTTCCAGGCATGCTCCCATGAATGGCTAGAGCGTCAGATATGCTGATTCGCATCGGTGTGACGGCTGTCGCGCAAGAGATGGCCAAGTAACAAGGATAACCGATAGTGGAAGCACATCATGGCAAGTTCCGTGTTAGGCTCTTCGAACAACATCAGTGATGTTTACATCGGATGTGCTCCCCATAAATTTCTTCAAAATAGCTCCCATCATACATGGACGTCCCAGGCAGGTTCGGTAACTTTTCAAGCGGCCCGTACGTCACGTCCAGCCGATTCCACTTGGAGAGACTGCGATCTGATTTCCCGCTCCGCGAGAATCCACAGGAAGTACAACAAAGGCACAAGTGTCCTATTGGTGGTAAAACCGTTGGGCCCTGTGACTGCTGGACAGGGCTCATTAATCAAACTAATACTAGTGCCTGTGCGGCACCAGATCTACTTAGGAAGATGGATGTATCCGCAGGGTCAAAAGCTTCGGCCGTAAACCCGGCTAGGTGACGCCCTATCGCAATGTTTGAATAGAAGTGGGTGTTGTCTTAAGGATAAGGCGCATATCGGGCGGATGAAAGAGGATAATTGGGTTATTGAAAAACTATTTTCCGGCGATTAGAGGCACACAAGTCTAAAGGAGTCGTGACAATGACGTAAGGAAAATAAGGTTAAGCCCGATAGCCTGCAACAGCCGATGAAAGCCGGTTCGTCATTCCCGATGTAAGATATTGTTCTAGGCTCTCTGGTATCCTGGTGGTTCAACCTCTCACTGAAGGGCTCTTCCAAGGTTCGGGTTATCATGACAAGCTTAAGAGCACTTCGGATGCCCCATCCCCGCGACTATGCCTTCGCTAGGCGCTCAGTATTACCTCGTAAAGGATCGAATAGCTCCTATCAAAGTATTGCGAAATAAGGGGGATACAGAAATGTTCGGACCCCATTCAGAAAGGCATGCCGTAGGGCGTTAAGATGCACAACAATGCTGAATCCAGGATGGCGAATCGATGATGCCTTCAGGATGCTGGGTTAAAGTATCCGATAGCCGTACAATTCCAGGGAGCCCCCGAATGCAAGAGATTGACGTACGACAGTCAACAGTCCTGTTGACAAAACGATATATGTCTGCCGAGCGGACTCAACAGTAAGCCGTGCTGATCAATGTGAAAACAATACACCGTATATGTGGTTGTGCATAACAATCCAGCCTAGTTGTGAGTGTCAACCCGGACGTCACACATATTGGCTGCCTGAAAGCACCTGCACATATCCATGAAGGCTTCAGAGGGTGCCTCAAAACGATATGCGAGCCCTAGCCATCTTCTGAGCGATCTGGCCTGTTGACCAAACCCTCAGTCTACCTCCACGAGCCCTGCTTTGAAGGCACGTGCCAGGCGAAAGGCTAGACAGACTTTCAAGTCCAGGCACCTGCCTTTTCGATTGAGGGCTTAGGCGCATACCATTGTGCTAGGCTAGGTTGGGGGTTGGGTGCTTTACCGTGCGTCAACTGTTATGGCGCCGATGATTCCCGGCTATGTAGGCTACTGTAAAAGGACATGGCTCAGTGATCAAATTCTCCACAATACACTTACACAGATCTGAGGTTGCGCCACGAGACGACGGCCGAACCGGGAACACAAACACACCACGACTGCTAGAGGCGGAACTCCCGGCAGACGGCAAAGTAAATTATTTCCCCTAGTCTCGACAAAGTCGCAGGGTTCCACTGCTTGGTTTTAGCATCCTTACGCAGAAATCTTGTCACTTTTCCTACTCAGAAAGTCAGTTGATGAGATTGCGTTTCTTAATTTGGCAGTGGCATATATCTGAGCACGTGTAGGTGGACCCGCAGTCTCACAACTAGGCTTAACGATCGATTCCCAAAGTCTCTGCAGCTAGTCTACGAGACTTTGAAGATTCTTTCCTTATTTTCTTTCGGTGGTGAGCACGACAGCTCTTTCTCTCCCAGAGCACACCTGCATACGTTTGTGACATTTTTTTTTTGTTCTGCGTTGTAGGCCGCTCGATTTCCTGTCACCGCTGGGCTTCTTGCCACCTTCGGCACCCGTTTCTGCGTTCTCGAACGTGCTCAGGAAGCATTTTCACCCTTCAATTTTGCATCTTTCCCCCAATCTCCTCCATCGCAACATGAGGCGTAGCTCCATACTTGCTGGCTTTCTTCTATGCATTCCTTCTTCCTTGGCCTTCTTCGATTTTGGTACGCCCGGAAGCCTTGGAAGCCTCGTTTCGCGTGAATTCCGCACATCATGGGAGACGTTCAAGGACTCTGCACTCGCTCGACCGCCACAACGCCACCGTTTAAGGCGCGCAAGCACCACAGAAAAGTGCCAGCTTCGCCTCCTCCACACCCATAACTCTACGTCCAGTCCTTCACCGACCAAAGTGTCTACGAGTACGTCCTATGCAATCCCAAGTACTACTCGTTCTTCAACGTCAATAATGTTCCCATCAACTACCTCTCAAACGGTGTTGTCTTCCTCAACAGAATCGCCTGCACAGAGCACAACCTCTGCATCTAGGACCTCCTCTTCAGCCTCTCCCGCTACCTCGTCCTCCATGCCTCAGCCTTCATCCGCTTTTACTTTAAAGCAGTTTTATGTGCGTTGACAGATTCACAATGTGGATGCTTTTTTGACCCTCTGCTTAGAACGGCAGCTCTTTCTTCAACGGATGGAACTTCTATTCCAACAATGACCCTACCCAGGGGATTGTCAACTACCTTGATCATGATACCGCTGTGCGTGAGGGTTGCCGGACTCGGATAAGATACTTGCTGAACCGTGATCACGCCCAATTTCAGTTCAGCACCGGTCTTGTGTCTATCAATAGCGCAGGACATGCCATAATGAAGATCGACACAACTCCCGGTAAGCATGTTCTGTTGCTACAGCCCCTAGGCTCTCATCTCGGTATTTCTCAGTTGTATCAGGGAACCGCAACAGTATCCGTATTCAGTCTCAGATACATTTCAACGGTGGTCTCCTGATGCGTGAGTGCCATTTATCTCTAAAATAACATTTTTTTCAGGTGGTATTTAGTGGACGCCGTTCATATGCCCCATGGGTGTGGCACATGGCCGTGAGTCCAATTATTCTCATTGGTTCCCCTGACCGATGCCCCTCAGTGCATTCTGGATGAATGGACCGCATTGGCCCTACACTGGTGAGATTGACATCCTTGAAGGTGTTCATGACTCCACGCAGAACCTGGTTCGTTCTTGCAACCACTTGGGCATGGAAGGCATTGGTTGATTGGCGCATTTTCAGGTGTCACTGCACACCGACAATGGGTGTAACGTCGCAGACAATACCGGCTCCACAGGCGTATCTGTAAATGGGAATTCATGTTCAGCCACTGGGGGCGCTAATACGGTAAGGTGGTTTATTGTGACCGACTTTTTTTTGCACCAAACCCACATTCCTGCTCCTTCATTAGGGCTGTGGAGAACGAGTCACAACCCCTAACAGCTATGGCTCAGCTTTTAACAGTGTTAACGGCGGAGTATATGCTCGTGGGTCTAACACTTTTTTCTGTTTCTCGAACGCATTCCAACCGGAGTTTCCTAGTTCTTTGGGACACCACTGGTCTCAGTGTGTTTTGGTTCCCTCGTGCATCTATACCGAATGATATCAAGATTGATGCACCGCTACCCAATACCTGGGGGACACCGGTCGCGCGCTTCCCAGCATCTGCTTGCAACCCTTATCAGTTCTTCGTGGATCAAACAATCATCTTTGACACCACGCTTTGGTGCGTTTTAGTTACCGACCGGCTATTGCTAGGCACTGATGAGCTCCTTTTTTGCAGCGGTACCTGGGCAGGGAGCAATGGAGCTTGGAATTTAGCGAACTCGGCCGGGCAAGGTGCGAGCTGTGCAACGTCAACTGGAGTTTCGACCTGTACAGCCTTTGTTCAGAACAATGGCGCCGCTTTCGCCGATGCATGTGAGCACCAATTAGAGGTTCCCCCGTCTAACCCGTTCTTATTCATGGTCATGCAGATTGGGAAGTTGTAAGCGTCAAATTGTTCCAGTAATGTGTTTTTCCTAGCGAGATGGGAGTTATTCGTCGTTGCTTGGTCGATTTTTTGTGTAGAATGTAAACGCTAGCGTCTTTGTATCCATTTGTTGTTTAATATAAATAGCCTTTCAGGCTGGAAACGAAAGGACATCGCTTGCGCACTCCGGGAGCCGAGGTAGTCGCTCGGTACGAGCCTAAATTGCAAGGTCCCATCAGTTTACATCTTATGTAAAGCTAAGGATTTGCACAGGCTCCGTTTGTTTTCTTTGCTTTTATGCTGAATGCTTGAGCTGTATTGTAGCGGAGTTAGCCGAATTTCGCCTTGATGATTCGCATGTTTGGTAAGGGGGATTGGCTCGACCACGATAGTCTCTTTCCTCCCGTTAGTCCCCTCAGTCGAGATTGCATATGAAACGTTTGGATACAGTAGGTATCAGTTAACAGGGGAGTTAAGACATTCAAAGCCTCGCCCTACAGCCGGCTTCAAATGAATCTGCCGGTTTCGATTTCATAGGCGGGTAGAACAGTCATCTACCAAAAAAAGTTACTTATGTAGTTGACGACATCGCGAGGGATCTCTCTACTTGGGTAAATCGCCTGACGCCACGGCTCAAATTTGGTAGAGGGGCGCTGCACCCAGACCCCTTTCGCTAGATTGGAACCGGTGGGTCTTTTTGAAAACGGCTGTAGTCCGGACACAGTGAAATGAGGAAAGGGAAAGTGATCCGATCGGCGATTATGTGCATATCACATCGTCTGTAGACAAGTTTGACTTCCATGCCAACGAAGTCTTTTGTTCTTTTTACTTTATTTAGGAGGGGGATGTGAACTCCATTCTATTCCCGTTAAATAAAGGCTGGTGACCCGCCTACCCCGTGCACTTGTGGGCTGTTTCTGTCCGCTTAGCACCCAGGAGTCGAGTTGCAGTGTCAATGATGAACTGTGGGATCCTTGCGTACCCAGATCCACCAGGAAGACAAAAGCACCTCTCAAAGGAGAGAAATCGCCATCTGTTCATCGCCCCAGCGCTTTGCTTTATGTCATTACCCAGAGGTAGTTACAGCCTCATTGCACCATAAAAGCCGTATAGTTTCTTGATAGTCTCTAATCATCAGTTCACCTTCGGCCTTATTACCATAAATACAAGACGAGGATCCATGGATCGGTCCACCCTTTTATCGCGCGTTGGAGCATCCCAAGATAAACAATGGACTATACATTCTATGGACGATCCTGGGACTCTCATAAACTCGGTCACACTGTTCTCATTTTTTACTGTTCTTTCCTTGTCATATGTTTCACTTATGGCGATTCTCGACTCAGCCACGGTGGTGGGAATTGGGCGTGTCTCAGTCGTCGCAGGAATTACGAATTACCTTCGTCGTCTATTCTGTCAGTTCTTAACACTTGATGATCTCGTACAGCCTGAGAAGTTTGGCCGTGCCACGGCCCCGCGGCTGGAGCCTTCCGCATGGAAATGCAGGGCGATCGACGTTGCCTTCGTACTTCAGCTACTCTTGTCTATTGTTCAGGTTGTATCGGCTCTGTCTGAAGGGTTAGGCTTGAGTCGTATCATGGTTCTCATTGCAGGATGTGTTTCTTGGGTAAGTGTGCTCCGATAGCGAGTCGTCACAAATGTTTCACTCCGTGCATTTCTTATAGGTTTATGCATTTGCCAGGTCTCTTGTGCGAAGGAAGCCCACGGTGCCCTACTGGCTGGTTTGCTTCATCCTACTAAACTTGATAGCCTCCTTCTTCGGCATCTTTGAATCATTGTCCAGCTACCCTACACACCCAGCCCTCATATCGATTTACGCCATTTCCGTCTCAAGCATGCTAATCATGCTTGCTATCCTTGCTACATACCCCATGCAACACATCTTGCCAGCTCCCAATGTTGCGCTTGTGGGGGCATTCCTTCCAGCAAACTTTCGTCCCCCGAAGACTCCGTAACTTTGTGGAATTGGATCACTTTCAATTTCATGGAGCCCATTTTTCAGCTGGCTTCCAAACGTACTTTGCGAAGTGAAGACGTATGGGACCTCCCACCCACGTTTAAGCACGCCAATATCTTTGGTAAATACCTCGAGGTCCAGAAGGAACATCCCAAAAGCCTCCTCTGGTCTCTTTTGTCCTCAAATTCGTTAGATCTTTTCATCGATATTGTTCTGAAGCTGTGGAATTCCGTGGCAGGTACGAGACGCCGTAGCAACAGCCCCAGACACAGCTTTTCACAAGGTTTTGTAGGTTTTGTGCCGGCTTACTGTCTCAGCAGGATACTTGGTTCTCTTGAGGACCACTCGCCGGGAAATAAGCACTACGATGCTTACAAGTTTGCCTTTATCACATTTTTGGTGCATATGTTATCTGCTCAGTCAGAGCTGTTCCGTAAGTGGCACTCCAGACGTGCTTATGAGCGGACTAGAGGCCTGTTGTTCTGTATGTTGCATCGGAAAGCGCTCAAGGGAAATGATTCAAGGGGGATAATCTCTGAGAGCAGCGAGAACGGTGTTGATGTGGGATCAGAGGTTGGGGGTGACAGAACTCACTTGGGAGAGAACAGCGCAGCTGAGAGTCAGAGTACCAGAATTGGGAGGATTACAAACTTAATCTCGTAAGTGAATCATTATTTAAGGTGGCACCGCAGAATACTGATGGGAACACAAGAGGTGATTCTGAAGCTGTCGCCCAACGTTTCTGGGGATTCTCTTCCGTCCTCGCTGCACTTGTGAGCCTTGCTATCGCTTTTGGGTTTCTCTACAGGTAATTTTCGTCCGACGGCATGTCATCAACCCCATGAATGCTCTAATTGATTTTGAAGTGAACTAGGATGGTCATCTTTTATGGGTGTCCTTGTTGTGCTTTTAGCATACATTATCATATGGCCTCTGGCAAAGTGGAATATCGCGGTCAGTACTCCATTTGCACCGCTCTTGAGACTCCGTGACTTAGGCGACCACTCCAACGCTAGATTACGAAATCATCCTGGGAAGCAAGAGATTATCGTATGTCTCTTGTCAATGAGCTCATCCAATCTATTCGTTCCCTCAAGTTCACGGGAGGGGGTATGTATCGATCTCTTTACTAGGAGGGTCCCAGAATAACCAATCCAACTTTCAGAATCACACTGGACGCAAAAAATCAAAGATGCTCGAGAAATAGAGCTGTCATGGAGAGTAAAAGAATACATAGTTTCAACCATATCACGGTGCGAACAACCACTAATGAGTATGAAGTCTCTGAATCTGATACATATTGCTCCTCGCATCGAAGTTTCATCTGGTATCTAGGAAATCGGAATTCTATCTAATCTTTCAATTGACATATTTCTTTCAAGGGCTTGGCTACCGAGTGCGGCTGCACTCGCTGCATTCTACTCGTACACCATGCTTGCTAGGGAGCCCCTCACTGTGTCGAAGGCCTTTGTCTCGATATCGCTACTTTCTCGGTTGCGATGGCCAATGGAGGAGCTGCGAAGTCAGATTTTCGCGCTTTTGGAAGCGTCTGTCTCTCTGCGGCGAATTGAATCGTATCTTCAAGAAGGGGAAGTTGAAGACTGGGCCACAACGCTGAAGCGCGAGGAGTGCCAGACATCGTACAGCCAGATGGAAGCTTCCAAAGCTTGGATTAGAAATGGAACATTCGCTTGGCATGCTGGTGGACGTCAGGATGGTCAAGTAACTTTCAACACCCCTGATTCATTCATTCTGAGCGACATCTCTGTGGATTTCCCCCCTGGTACACTTTCCTTGGTCACTGGGCCCACTGGTTCTGGGAAATCGTCCTTGCTTTCTGCGCTTCTTGGCGAGATGGATCGTATGTCGGGCACTTTGCACCTCATGAAAGGGAACAGAAACGTCTCTTATGCTGGTCAATTTCCTTTCCTTGAAAATGCCACCATACGAGACACCATTGTATATCATCAACCATTCGAGGTGACCCGTTATAACGAAGTCCTGGAAGCTTGCGCGTTGCTACCTGATTTACGGATTCTTGATGCTCGGGACCAGACAGGTGGGTCTAGGCGGACGAATCCGAGCTACTACTAATTTTTCGGAGAATACAGAGATTGGAGAGAAGGGCGTGTCCTTATCGGGAGGTCAGAGGGCAAGGGTTGCTTTGGCACGGGCCATATACGCGCCAAGCAAGGTCGATAGTCCCTTCTGTTCTGTTCTATTTTACTAACACGAGGAGCTAGGTGGTTCTCTTAGATGACCCGTGAGTTCTCTGATTCGTGCTTCTCCATGAGTCCTGACCCAAAGACCAGCCTAGCTGCAGTAGACATGCATACTGCACGTCACCTCTTCAATCATTGCCTTAATCCCAGAGCCAAGCTCACGCACGGCCGAACAATAATTCTTGTCACGCACCACGTATCGCTTTGCCTTCCCGCTGCTTCATACCTTGTTGAACTTGGGGGTGGTCAGGTTATTAAGCAGGGTCCAGTTGAGGAACTCCGGCAGTCGGGTATTCTGGACGTCGTGGGAGAAGATGATCCAAGCGTGACTCCCCGCGAGGATCCCCCCTCTTCGGTAGCGGATGACAGCTCAGAGACAGTATATGGAGATGAAAACGAGGTCAGCTTCGGCTCCGGAACGCCCGTTGACGAGGAAACGCATGCGGAGGGAAGAGTTTCGACGCAGACATATCTGTTGTACATTAGATCAGCAGGCTGGCTGTCGTGGGCTCTTACGTTCTTACTAGTGGTTGGTTGCATTTTTTCCTACATTGAAGCTCCACTGAAACCATTTAGGCATTTATACGCGCAGTTGGGTTTGCAGAACAATTATACATCGCCAAATGGGCGGACGCTTATCGGGACACAACGGACAGGCTGGACTACGTCATCAAGCAGATAGGGTTTGGTCTTCTGACCCTCCCGTCTCCTTCGAGCAACCCCTTACCATGGTTACTTCTGTATCTCACGATCACTCTTGCCGGGGCTCTGGCGGTTCTTTTGAACGTCATTGTTGGGTACTGGGGGGGGCTCCAAGCATCTCGATCGCTTTTCATCTCCATGCTGGACGGGGTTGTGCGTGCTCCAACTCGAACATTTGACAAGACTCCAATAGGGCGGATTCTCAATAGGTTCGTTGCAGACGTAGGCACCGTTGATGACGCTTTAAACGAGTCCTCGCGAAACGCTCTCCGTGGAACGCTGGTATTCATCATATCTTTTTTGATTATGGTATTCAGTGTCCCGCGTTTCACACTGTTGGCCATGTTCATCGCCTTCTTGTATATTCGCATCGCGCCTCCTTTTGTCCGTGCGGCAAGGGACCTCCGACGACTAAAATCCATCAGCCTCTCGCCAGTTTTTGCAGGGTTTGATGAACTTTTACATGGCCTTCCTCATGTGAGGGCATATGCTACTGAGCTAATATACCAAAATCGGTTCTACTCACGCGTCGACAAGTTTCAAACCATGGACCATGTATACTGGCTGGCTCAAATGTGGATCAAATGGAGATACGATGTTTTAGGGTCTTTCGTCGTGCTTCTCGCGACGCTGTTCGCACTGATCAGTGGACTACACGAAGGTTCGGTAGCCATCGTGAACCATCAGGCAATCCTTTTTGCTGAGGCTTCAATGGAGCTTGTGGAGTTAGTCCATACAGTTCATGGAGTGGAATGCCATTAATTCTAATTCCTACAACCAGGGTACTCGCACGAGCCGAGATGGACTTCAATTGTGAGTATCAGTATTTGTTAGTCGCACACGTGTGGGTTGCACTGAATGGCCAAACAGCTGTGGAGCGCATCAAGGATTATCTAGAGCTAGATCAAGAAGCGCTTGCTCACAACCCGTGATCAAGGTGGTATTTACATTGCCCACGCTGCCTGGTTTTGGCGTCCATGGAGTCTGGCAAGCATGTGCAGTGCAGTGTGGGAACTGCGCGAAGGATGAAATGAAATTATATTGTATATGTAGACGTCATATGATCCTTGTCTAAATATGTCAACTACATATATATATATGGAAACTGCCGATGCTTAAGCGCGAAAAGCTCATTTCATGTGTCAGGAATATCCATAGAAGATGGCATCATTCCAGCGTCGAGATTTTATATTGCCAACTGTGCAGAATAATTTAGCGGATAGACGAATATGTAGATGACTAATCGGCCTGGGTATAAATTCGGCCAACTCCGCTACGCTTGTATGTCTGGCGGAAAGTGCCAACCCAGGCTCAGTCACGTGTGCTACCTTGATTTTGAGTGCGTAGCTTCAACTTGCGTTACCAGCCTCGATTGGAATAGAGCATAACGTTATCACCGCTGCAGCTGCATTCTCCCTACTGCTACGCCACCACGGAACTATGTCCCACATCATTCGGTCAGCAAAGTCCGGTAGCGACTGGACTTCCAACGAGCTAGAGGCTTACAACATCGTCATTCGAAACCAATCGGCCAAGAATTTCTTTGGCCGAGATCTTCCCGCCACTCTTGAAGACAATATTGACCCTGAATTCGTGAATGCTGACGTTAGTAGCGAAGTTGCGAACGATAATACCCATCGTTTATTGATGTATCTCGATCTCGTCACAGGGGCCAATGCAAGTACGTCACTTGTCTGTCCACTTTTTCAGTGTCCGATCCGGTTCACGTTCGCGTAAATACTAGGTCAAGAGTCTGCGATTGACGATTTTGCTAGGGAATTACTGCGTATGCTGGGTTTCGAAGAACGTAGCCTCGTCCTGAGGTCCCGGTACGCCGTACCTTTGTTTATCTGCGGAGATCCCACGCGAATGGTCCAAACCGGTGTCTGCCTTCTCCATCACGCGTCAACCATTCTTCTTGTCGTACAGGAAGGCAAGACTGAACTGAGTGCCAAAGATCCGGAGCCCCGGGTCATATCAGAGGCTATTGCAGCCTTTCAGATGAATAATAGCAACAGAGCTCGGCTTGGTCTGGAGAGGAAGGACAGCATGTCGATTCCTTGCATCACGATGGTTGGCACGCGACCAATCTTTTACGTTGTCCCTGTGACGCAGCAGCTCAGTACGGCTGTGGCGAGAGGCGAATTCCCTGAACACATTACCGAAGTTAGGAAATGTGAAGTTGTTGGCGACAGAAGACGGTCAAGCGAAGGGATGGAGAAGCCTGACTACAGGCTGGAGGCTTTGAAGCACTATACGTTGTTCCGTTCCCTGGCTAAAAGCCTTTGGTCTGGATTCCTCGTTGATTGATACGGGTCAAGACCGTGCTGCGAGACCCAAGCTGGCTTTCCATATGTTGTGTATCGTATCAAATGCTGGGATGTACAACAGCCATTGTCGATCATTCCCAGTCATCTGCAACACCGTCGTCATAGTTCGCTATCGTATGTGATTCGTTCTGCTGGATCCTAAAGGATCAAAAGATGCTTCTGCAGGTCGGAAGGGACAGCAGCAAGTGATTCCTGTTATAACAGCTGGTCACAATGAGCGCGCGTTGATCAAGGAAAGGCAAAGCATTCCGTGACGCCTTTCCGCTTTATCATCTTCCCGTGCGTGCTTCTTCGCTTGACTCGTACCCCTGTGTTCATCTCAATCATCCCGGCGCCCGGTTTTTCGGGGTGGAACCCGTGCAGACGCGATCGAGCGCAGCGAACCTCTTGGCTGCACCTCGTGAGCATATAAAGGTTCGATACAAAAGAGGCTCGGCTGGGCTAAGCTACTCATGCATCTACTTTCAATGCTTAATTAAACCTGTAGATAGTAGGGCGGAGGTGTTCGGTAGTGCTCGATAGAATGTATCAAGTCCATCATCTAATCTCAGGCGACGTACCGCAGTTTCTATGGTGCAGACTCGCGGTATGAAGCGTCGACATCAGGGCCGGGGGAACCGGATGCGGGAGACTCATGAGCACCAACGAACGTACTCGCAAACGCAATACGCGATAGCTGCATGCAGTTTTTTCCAAGCAGGACGCTCTACAAGCATGCCGGTGGACAGCTCGTAAATTAACCATGCATGCATACATGGGTAGAGGAATGTGTTCGCGGCAGCCCTTGCGCAGTTGAAGTTAGCATGAAGGATTGCTATCATTATGATACAGATGATGATAAACGGAAGGAACTCCTTCTGCTCGGGATCATACCCAATTCCATTCGCTGAGACCAGGAGGTCGGATAAATAGCAAACAGGGGGCTGCTGGGCGCGAGTTCGCTTCTCCCCAGACCTTGTCATAGCCCTGGCGCCTTTCCTTATGTTATTATCCGATGACAACTAGCTAGAGCCGCACTGTACCACAATTAAAGGCCACATAGCCCTCCTTACAGCAAGCGTCCAACTGCGCGGCCGATTTAGATGGAAGGTCTTGCTAATTGACTATTTAATGGTGGCCATTCGTCCAAATGAGGGGTGCGGCTTTTTTTGACGCCAGCTGTAATGATCATCCGTTCGGATCCTGTAAATTTCATTCCCTACAGCCGTTCCTTCCGCACTTAATTCCCTTGCACCGCAATTTGGCGGTCAGCTGGGGTGAACCAAATACGCCAAATTTGGCTGCCACGAAGCGATCCGGAAGGAGAGGGGGGGGGGTGGAAGTTCCCGCTGCAGAATTGGACTATGTCTGAACCATTTGGACAGGATAAAGGGAAAAGGGGAAATTTCAGACAACGTAGATTCACAATTAAGATCGAAGCTGAATAAAATTAAGGGCGATGCTCTGAGAAAATAGATAATGAGGAGATAAAGCCACACCAACTATGTAGAAGAGAAGTGAACGAGGACGTACAAGTTGGTTGGTGAACAACTGATTCTGAGAGAGGGTGGCGGTTATTACACATACCATAAAACCCAGCAGTCCAAAGGATTTGTCCGAAGATGATTTAACTACGAATTATGCATTTTGACTATATGACCTCGGGACCCCCACACATTTAGGCGGGCGCTCTTCTCATTTTTGATTGGTCTGTTTGTTTGTTTTATTCCGGATATTTGAACCCGCGGACTACTACTTTAGGCAGCTAATTGTGAGTCGAGCGCCCTAAGGCAGTGCATGGTAGTGTCAGAATACACGAAAAATAACAAGATAATCCGACAAGCTCTCGTTAAGATGGATGAATCATACTACCGCTTACTGGTAGTGAACCCTTGGACTCGAAAACAGACTATGGCACGGTATGTATGCACGGCGACGATCACGCAATCGACAAGCCCTGGGATACAGTTCAACGCGACTATTGATCTTTCGAATAAAATCAAATGGGCACCAGCTGAGCATGCAAGGTATATGACATGCCTATGATTTTTGGCGTTCCAAATCAAGCAACCCGCTTCTCAGGGGTTCAGTCAGAGTCTAGAGGGAACTGAGAAGTATGACTGATGTACATGCTGCGCAAGCGCTGGAAGCGCACATATTTCTATCATGACCATAACTGGTGGACGCCGCCTGGATGCGGCGGAACCCGCCAACTGATCTTCTGGCCTCGGCGCTTGTTGGAAGAAGAAATTAGTTTTCGACGTTGCAAGGTGACACAAGGCATACATGGAAAGAGTATGCATGAAGACAGGGACAGAGTATAACAGAACAAGAGCATACGAACGGAAAACGGAAGAAGGCGCGAGCCTGAGAAGTCGACATATGAAGCCCTCAGGACAAGCCCCCGACGATGAACGCGGCTGACGGCTATTACTCGGTGTTCACGATGAGAATCGCTTAAGTCTGAAACGTAGTGGAAGAGAATGGCGCCGAATACAGTATGCGGGGATCCAAAGGAAATTAAACGCCGAAGGTCACAACACCTTCTCCTTTAGTAAGCCCGAATACTTGCCGCCCGATGGGGGTAGTAAAATCGAGGAACAAAAAAAGGCAGACAGAATACGAGATTGAGAAGAACGCGTGCCGGACAATAACTCAGTAGAGAAGGCACGGGAAGCCAAAGCGCAATCCAATATCACGTTCCAAGGAATCTGAGGACCCTCGATTTTGGCGAATCGGCAATATGTAATAGAGGACCTCGCGAATAAACACATTCAATTCGGGACCGACAAGACCCGACAGAAGTAGCGGGAAATGATACCTCCACGCGCAGCACCTGGTAATCCTCCACACAACCCCTCCACATGATTATCTACGTAATCTCCCGATATCTCTTCGGCGGCTCATCATATATGTCCCTCACAATCTTGATCCACGAATGAGCGCTTGTTTTTTTGTTTTTTGTTTTTTGTTTTTTGGCTAACCGAATTGCAAGACACCGCTAACAAGATATCTCATCCCAGTTCAAGGTAAGTGAACGTACTGAGGAGAGCAAGAAAAAAATACACGAAAAGTGGCCATTAAATAATTAAATAAGCGGCGCCGCAAGCGTTTATCAACAAATGAAACAAGAAAGGGAAACACTGAAAATCTGAGGGTAAATAAGTATCCGTGCGTGTTCAACGCTGGCACGTCGACTTGATATATATAACAATCACGACGTGGCAGGCAGCTGCATGCGAGTGTTGGGTTCCATTCATAATACTTGTTTATCCAACGCAGCCCGAGCGGCCGCATTGGATCATCCCAATGGGCTGTACAGCGCTTCCTCGGAGGAACTTTTTATCCTAAAATAGAAGCGTAAGCTGGTACGTTAGGACGAATGAAATTGGAACAAGTTGTGCATGTGGGCTTCCACGCGCCAGTACTACTGGGCAGTGGGTGCGTTGATTAACCCGTGGCTGTAAGTCCTACTCATGAAAAGGGGTTACGTCGGATACCTATCGTAGTATATTACACGCTAGCTGGACTTAATCATCTGAGCTACACAGATGCGTTGATTGCATATTGATGTACTACTTAGGCGCACGAGCAACTATTTCAAACAATAGCGCCCACTCCTATTGCATACCAGATGGACAACTTTATAGTCAAGCTGGATAGCTTTGGAGCGCTCAAGATATGTCGTCGGGGGCGTGGGTGGGGGGAAGGCAGTGAACGAACTCATATATACACTAGGGCTTCATGTGCAGTTTTTGTCCACTCATGAGGACAAGAAAGGAGAATCGAGTCGCAACAATGTCACGTTGCGGTAAATACATAACGAACCGGAAGGGGGGGGGGGGTCCTTATGCACGGTTCTACTTGTTTTTAAAGAATATAATATAAAGGCTATGGGGGCGCGTTAGGCTGAGCCAATAAGTGCGTAGGTTGTTAGACACACGTAAAGCGCAATGAAGCCATGAGCTCTCTCCTCGGAGTTCTGAGGGAGAGGAACTTCAGAGGTTTGGACTCCTATACGCGATCGAGCTAGCTATGCATGCCGAATGGCTAGATCCGCGTCGTACAAAAGAAAAAAAGACAATAAGCGAAGTTGCTAGCCACCAAAACTTTCCAGCTTCAAAGCACCATTGTCTGCAAAGTTTTTTACTCGATAGAGGTAGCCTATTGTTGATATTCCAAACACTTGCTGGCGCCAGGAGGACAACACAGGGCTTGGCACGATTCGGAATTTTCCTAAGGTAGGAAAGGAACACCATTGGATTAAGAAGTTATCAGGAGAAGAAGAGACATTTGCAACACGCCGGCGCCTCCCCCCATACGGCCAGTGGTAGTTACAGCCTCATTGCACCATAAAAGCCGTATGAGTTTCTAATCATCAGTTCATCCTCCCCCCCAGACATCGTTCGGGCATATTACCATATTAGGCAATCCACAACACGAACTCCCCAAGGGATCATGGATTGGTCCACGTTATTATTATTTCGTGTTGGAGTACCACAGGATGGGCTACGAATTATACGTTCTGCGGACGACCCTGGGGCCCTCACAAACTCGGCCACACTATTCTCGATTTTTACAGCTCTTTCTTTGGCCTACGTTTCACTTATGGCAATTCTCGACTCCGCCACGTTGGTGGGAATCGCACGTGTCTCAGTCGTTGCAAGAATTACGAATTTCCTTCATCGTCCATTCTGTCAATTCCTAACTCTCGATGATCTCGCACAGTTTGGCTTTACCACGGTCCCACGGTTGGAGCCTTCCGTATGGAAACGTAGAGCGATCAACGTTGCTTTCGTACTTCAGCTAGTCTTGGCTATCGGGCAGGTCGTGCTGGCTCTGTCTGAGGGGCTAGGTTCGAGGTCTATCTTCATTCTCATCGCAGGATGTGTTTCTTGGGTGAGTGTGCTCTCCGATAACGAAGTCGTCATAGATGTTTCAACTCCGTGCATTTTCTTATCAGGTTTATGTATTTGCAAAGTCTCTTGTGCAAAGGAAGCCTACGGTGCCATACTGGTTGATTTGCTTCATCTTGCTCAACTTGATAACCTCCATCTTCGGCATCTTTCGATCATTATCCACCTTCACATCCCCTTCACACCCAGCTCTCATATCAATTTACGCCATTTCCGTCTCGAGCATGCTGATCATCCTTGCCATCCTTGCTACATACCCCATGCAACACATCTTACCGGCTCCCAATGTTGCTCTTGCGTCGAAAGCGGAGTGCATTCCTTCTAGCGACCTGTCGTCTCCCGAAGACTCTGTGACTCTGTGGAATTGGATCACTTTCGATTTCATGGAGCCTATTTTGCAGCTGGCTTCCAAACGTACCTTGCAGATCGAAGACGTATGGGATCTCCCACCCACGTTTAAGCATGCCAATATCTTTGGTAAATACCTTGAGGTTCAGAAGGAGCATCCCCAAAGCCTCCTCTGGTTTCTTTTGTCTTCAAATTCGTTAGATCTTATTATCGATGTTGCTCTGAAGATGTGGTATTCCGTAGCAGGTACGAGATACCAGTAGGAACAACACACCCCCCCCAAAAAAAAACACAGTTTTTCTCACAAAAAGGTTTTGTTTTGTTAGGTTTTGTGCCGGCCTACTGTCTCAGTAGGATACTTGCTTCTCTTGAGGACCACTCGCCTGGAAATAAGCATTACGACGCTTACACGTTTGCCTTTATCACATTTTTGGTCCACATGTCAACTGCTCAGTCAGATCTGTTCCGTCAGTGGCATTCCAGACGTGCTTATGAACGGACTAGAGGACAATTGTTCTGTCTGTTACATTGGAAAGCGCTCAAGGGGAAAGACTTGAGGGGGAGAATCTCTGAGAGCGCGAGCAACAAGAGTGGCGAGATCGGTATGGATGTGGGATCAGACGTTGAAAGTAACGAAACTCACTTGGAAGAGAAGAACGCCGCTGAGGGCCAAACGACCGGGATTGGGAGGATTACAAACTTGATGTCGTAAGTGAATCATATATATTTTTTTTACAGGTTGGCAACCACAGAATACTGATGGGGAACACAAGAGGCGATTCTTATGCTGTTGCCCAACGTTTCTGGGAATTTTCTTCTGTCCTCACTGCACCTGTGAGGCTTGCTATCGCTCTTATCTTTCTCTACAGGTAATCTTCATCAGACGCCGTGTCACCAGTTTCATGAAGGCTCTAATTGATTTTTCAAAGTGTCTTGGGGTGGTCATCTTTTATGGGTGTCCTTGTTGTGCTTTTAGCATACATTGTCACATGGCCTTTGGCAAAGTGGAATATCGCGGTCAGCGTTCCCCCTTTTTTTGTTTTGGAATTTGGAATTTGGTGACTTAGGCGACCATTCCGACGCTAGATTACGAGATCCTCCTGGGAAGCAAGAGATTATCGTATGTCTCTTGTCAATGAGCTCATCCAATCCATTCGTTTCCTCAAGTTCACGGGATGGGGTAGGCGTCGATCTCTTTTTTTACACAAGAAGGGTTCCCAGAATAACTAACCCCAAACTTTCAGAATCACATTGGACGCAAAAAGTCAAAGCTGCTCGAGAAATAGAGCTTTCATGGAGGGTAAAAGAAAATATAGTTTCGACGATACTAGGGTATGAACAACCACTCATGAGTATGATGAAGGCTCTGAATCTGATACGTATTGCTCCTCGCATCAAAGTTTCATCTGGTATTTAGAGATTCGAAATTCTAACTCATCTTTCGATTAACCTATTTCTTACAAGGGCTTGGCTACCGAGTGCGGTTATACTCGCTGCATTCTACTCATACACCATGCTTGCTGGGGAGCCCCTCACTGTGTCAAAGGCCTTTGTCTCGATAGCGGTATTCACTCGGTTAAAAGGGCCAATGGAGGAGTTGCCAACTCAGATTTTTGCGCTTTTACACGCGTACGTTTCTCTGCAGCGGATTGAATCGTATCTTCAAGAAGGGGAAGTTGAAGATTGGGCCACAACGCTGAAGCGCGAGGAATGTCGGACGCCGTACAGCCTGAAGGAAGCTTCCAAAGTTTGGATCAGAAATGGAACGTTCGCTTGGCATGCTGTGGGTGGACGTCAGGATGGTCAGGTCACTTTCAACACTCCTGATTCACCGCGCTCCGTCTCTGTCGCAAAAGAATTCATTCTGAGTGACATCTCTGTGGATTTTCCCCCCGGTACGCTTTCCTTGGTCACTGGGCCCACTGGTTCTGGGAAATCGTCCTTGCTTTCTGCGCTTCTTGGCGAGATGGATCGCGTGTCGGGCACTTTGCACCTCATGAAAGGGAACAGAAACGTTTCTTATGCTGGTCAATTTCCTTTCCTTGAAAATGCCACCATACGAGACAACATTGTATATCATCAACCGTTCGAGATGACTCGTTATCACGAAGTCTTGGAAGCTTGCGCGTTGCTACCTGATTTACGGATTCTTGATGCTGGGGATCAGACAGGTGGGGGGCGGTCAAGGCGGACGAATTCGAGCTATTACTGATGTTTCGGAGAATACAGAGATTGGAGAGAAGGGCGTGTCCTTATCGGGAGGTCAGAGGGCAAGGGTTGCTCTGGCACGGGCCATATATGCGAGAAGCAAGGTCGATAGTCCCTTTCTCTTCCATTCTATTTTGCTAACACGAGGAACTAGGTGGTTCTCTTAGATGACCCGTGAGTTCTTTGGTTCGTGCTTCTCCATGAATCCTGACCACAAGACCAGCTTAGCTGCAGTAGACATGCATACTGCACGTCACCTCTTCAATCATTGCCTTAATCCCAGAGCAAAGCTCACGCACGGCCGAACGATAATTCTTGTCACACACCACGTATCGCTTTGCCTTCCCGCTGCTTCATACCTTGTTGAACTTGGGGGTGGTCAGGTTATTAAGCAGGGACCAGTTGAGGAACTCCGAAAGTCGGGTATTCTGGATGTTGCAGAAGAAGATGACCTAAGCGTGACTCCCCGCGAGGATCCCCCCTCTTTGGTACCGGATGACAGCTCAGAGACAGTAGATGGAGATGAAAACGAAGTCAGCTTCGGCTCCGGAACGCTCGTCGACGAGGAAACACGTGCGGAGGGAAGAGTCTCGGTGCGCACGTACCTGTTGTACATTAGATCAGCAGGCTGGCTGTCGTGGGTTCTGACGTTCTTACTACTGGTTGGTTCCATTTCTCTCCACATCGAAGCTCCACTCAACCCATTTAGGTATTTATACGCGCGGTTGGGCTTGCAGAACAATTGTACATCGCCAAATGGGCGGGTGCTTACCGGGACACGACGAACAGGATGGACTACGTCATCAAGCAGATAGGGTTTGGTCTTCCGACCCTCCCGTCTCCTTCGAGCGACCCCTTGCCATGGTTACTTCTGTATCTTACGATCACCCTTACCGGGGCTCTGGCGGTTCTTTTGAACGTCGTTATTGGGTACTGGGCGGGGCTCCGAGCATCTCGATCGCTTTTCATCTCCATGCTGGACCGGGTTGTGCGCGCTCCAACTCGAATATTTGACAAGACTCCAATAGGACGGATTCTCAATAGGTTCGTTGCGGACGTAGGCGCCATTGATAACGCTCTCAACGAGTCCTCGCGGAACGCTCTCCGTGGAACGCTGGAATTCATCATATCTTTTGGGATCATCGTAATCATTGTCCCGCGTTTCACACTGTTGGCCATGTTCATCGCCTTCTTGTATATTCGCATCGCGCCTCCTTTTGTCCGCGCGGCAAGGGACCTCCGACGACTAGAATCCATCAGTCTCTCGCCAGCTTTCGCAGGGTTTGATGAACTTTTACATGGCCTTCCTCATGTGAGGGCATATGCTACTGAGCTGATATACCAAAATCGGTTCTACTCACGCGTCGACAAGTTTCAAACCATGGACCATGTATACTGGCTGGCTCAAATGTGGATCAAATGGCGATACGACGTTTTGGGGTCTTTCGTCGTGTTTCTCACGACATTGTTCGCACTGGTCAGCGGTGTACACGAGAGTTTGGCAGCCATCGTGATCATCCAGGCCGGCATTTTTGCTGAAGCTTCAAGGCAACTTGTGAAGTCAGTTTCATAAAAAGTTCTGGAGTGGAATGTCATTCATTCTAATGCCTACAACTAGGGTGCTTGCACAAGCCGAGCTAGACTTCAATTGTGAGTATTCGTGTTTGTTAGCCACACACGATGTGGGTTTTGTACTGAATGAGGCAAATAGCCGTGGAGCGTATCAAAGATTACTTGGAGTTAGATCAAGAAGCGCCTGCTCGCTGCTCACCCCCTCCTCCGGCGCGCTGGCCTTCCTCGCATGGTGGGATCACCTTCGAGAACCTCGTGATTCGCTATGCGCCACATCTCCCGCCGGCTCTCAAGGGAGTCAGTTTCACCATTCATTCGCATGAAAAGATTGGCGTGGTAAGTTCGACTCCAGCCTTTAATGCTCGGAAGCACTGATGCAGTTGGTCATGTAGGTTGGTAGGACCGGGTCTGGAAAGGTATGATCAGGTTTCGTTCCAACATTTGCATGTGATGAATTATCGCGTAGAGCACCCTGGCTCTTTCGCTTCTTCGTATTTTGGAAGCGTCTGAAGGTCGAATCATGTAAGTGGATGCAGAAGGTTGCGATCTTGTGCTTACAACTCTACAACTAGATTGGATGGCGTCGACATTTCCAAAGTTGGCTTAGATGACCTCAGGGACAAACTGGTAGCGTCTTGAATTTTTGGAGGATGGGGCCCCGTACTGAACACCTCTGTAGACTATCGTTTCGCAGGACGTGGCTTTGTTTTCGGGCACTGTGCGCTCAAACCTTGACCCATTTTCAGAACATACAGATGCAGAATGCTGGGATGTGTTGGAGAGATGCCAATTGGGTACTTCTATAAGGGCGGGAACTCCACGTTCCACACACGCCGGGGTTGTCAAAAGCCTGGATATGAAAGTTAGTTCAGGAGGATCTAGCTTTGCTGCTGGACAGAGGCAGTTGTTAGCACTTGCGCGCGCTATGCTTCGCCGCAGTGCCTTCGTTATCTTGGACGAGGCTTCATCATCTATTGATCTCGTCACTGACAATCAGGTAAGCCTGCTGAAGCTCGTCCCGACGTACACATGACGCAATTTTCGTCCAAAAGATACAGCGCACAATTAGAGAAGAACTTGCTGACTCATTGGTCATCACTATCGCTCATCGTCTCAAGACGATCATAGGTGAGTGGTAACCTTTCCACATGATTCCAGTTGACACAGCTAATGCTATCTCCGATAGATTATGACCGGGTTCTCGTCCTCGGCAACGGTGAAATTTTACAGTACGACACGCCCCAAGAATTGTTTGCAAGAGGGGGCGCATTCCGAGATATGTGCGAAGAAAGCGCGGACTGGGAGGAACTTAGACAAGCTTTCACAGCAGCGTCATGATAGCAATGCTTGTACGATGAATTTTTGTACGGATACATAGACATACAAGAAAGTCGAACTCAACCAGGATGATCGCACAGGGTGAGAATCGCAATTTGGAAGTGACCATTCGATCCCAGCACGGGAAGAGGACAGCGAACAAGAAAAGGTCAAGAAAATGGCGACTCGAAGTATCTAGTGACCATATCATGACGTGAGCGCGCGAGCCTGAACATGGAGGGCATTTGCGTCCGACCAGGGAGGTGCAAGTTGGGCCATGTAGCCTAACATGAGCTACCAGTGCTCGCCTATTGGCGGAAAATGGCCGGAAACTTCTAGGGTCGTTGAGACCCTATCCGCCGAGGTGGAGGTCTTGGACCCATCGGAGAAATGGGTTGCCCTGAAGCTGGATCGTAGCCCCTGGCCTCAACGGGTGACGTACTTCTGTGAGAGAAGGATGTGTTGAGCGGGCCAGCACTCGAAATTGTGGGTTGCAGGGATGTTTCGGTATGTACGGGGGATGAGTATAGTAGTGAGGCATGTGTCGGACTAGCAACCACTGGCGCTGGATAGGTGGGGGTATGAGGAAGGTTGACAACCCGGGGGGGATGTAACGTTTGTGAATAGGATGAGCTGCTTGCACGTATCCTCTCTGGGTACGGTCTGGTATATCTGGAAGGGCTTCCAAGAAGGGTCCCATTCTCTGTTGCATCTCGTGTTGTCTGGTATCCGGGACCAGGGGTGTCCTGTTCTCCAGACAAAGAATCCGCTGCGCCAGCCGCTTCGTTTGCCAGCGGTTGGTCTGGGGGTTCGGGCGAGTAGGGAGATGATGGATATTCCAATCTCGAAGGGCCCTGGGGTGATAGGATCAAGACAGGAGGGGTTGGGCGTACAGAAATTTCAACAAAGTCATCGTCCTCAAGATTCGAGGAATCGGGTAGCACCAGCGCTAGATTCTGACGCAGGTGGTTTGGTGTAGGTGGATTCTTGACGCTGAAATCGTGGAAAGGCAGTGAGGCTGAATTCCTCGACCGCCGACGGAAACGTCCAGCAGGTAGGAGCGACGGCCTTGTCAACGGATACAGCAAAGAGTTTACGAGTCCACTTGAGCAAAACAGAACGTCTGAAACAACGGTGGCGGCCCAGGGGACATCATGCCCATTGAACGCACGCCAACGGCATATGGCAATTGGGAGGACAGTTATCGTGTACGCCAAAGGGTACCTTCCAATAGCCAAACATCAAAAAGTGTGTACTATCCCTCCATTCAAATAGCACCTACCAAAGCATCGGTCCCGCCCTCCTGCCATTGGTTTGCCATGGATCTGCTGAGGATCGACAATTGGTCCATATCACACGCAAACCACTGACATAGAGATTGCCGCGCAATGAAAAGTAGAGAGGGACGTATACCAACAAGGTGAAGAATGTCGTAATCCACATCCAGGCTAAGAGGATGGGTCAGTGGACAGGGCCACAGAACGCATGAGTCAACGTACCATACTCGAATAGAATGCGCTGTCTTGTGTACTTGGGGCCAATCCAACACCACATCCCAGTGTCAGTAATATATTCTCGGCGGTGGTATAGGGCCCAAGAGATGCCGTTTTCCAGAGCGATGAAAAGCCAAATGGCTAACATAACAACAAGAGGAACGGTAGACCTTCGGGGGACTTTCCATCTCCACAGCAGGACAGCTGCGGTGTGGATGGTGATTGCGAGTATGAACATGGCCACGCCAACATCTCCAACGTTCTTCAGAATGCCCTGCCAGTTGCAGAGGGAACCTGGGTAAACGGCGGCATCTGCTGCCCATTTCACGTTTATGATGCCGCCTTGGGGATGTCGAGAATGAATTTACAATTGATAATTGCGAAAAGCCTGCATCATTCTGACTCACCGATCGACTGGATAAGGTCGAATGCCAGTACGTTGAGAAAGTAGATATCGACATGGGTGTTAATTAGCTTCCAGCGCGTTGAATATGCAGGGTGACGGTTGCGGATGGCGTTGAACTATACGAAGTTTATATAGCCGGAACAAGGGGATGGGGAGGATTTATTCATACAGCGACATATGAGACCAAGCATGTCACGGCGAGGCATGAGGATGACGAGGCTTGAGCAATGAACTGACGAAGCGTTTTTTTAGCACCCATGGCGACGATAAGGCTCGACCGACTCACAATGAGACCCAAGCGATCGCCGAACGACAAAGGAGGTACGGGCTGTTGTACCGCATTGAGGGACTCCAAGGCGCCAACCATGGGTGGAAGAGTCAGCAGGAAGGATGTGCTGAGGGCAAGAACACTAGCACTCGAAGGAGTCATCGGCACATTGGAGAAGTCCAGAGGGCGTCATCCGGCCGGGTGAGAGACTGCGGACCATTGGTGTTTTATATGTACCTTATATACGGGGAATTAGTTTAACTGGCTGTTTGTTTCCTTTTAAAGGGGATATAGATATCTAAGGCAACGAGCGCCGCACTGTACGCAAGGCTGTGTCCACCGTTAGATCCTAGACAAGAGGCGCGAAATCTGATCACTTGGGAGAGGACTTGCACCGCAGACCGAATTTAAAAAGAGAAAACGATTTTTGCCTTCACCCCGCCTTAACGTCGTATGACCGGAAAAACGTAGGAAGCAACATGCATTGGGTTGATGAGCCGCCGGAGCGGACACAGCCTAATACATAAACACTGGAGTTGGATTTCCGTCCACCTTTTCGGGCTGGGCGCTTCGCGGTGCTTGGATACAGCATGTCCACTGAATCGGAGCATTGGACCCTAAACGACAGGAATATTGGCCCGTAGACGCTCAACGTTGTGCTTCGCGCGTCCACCGAGGCCATATTCTCAATTTAGTTTTGGTTCCGGCGAGCCCACACGCCTGCGGTCATTATATTACTACATGATGAACGGCCACTGTTGCACAAGATTGTTGGTACACCTTCCTAACGTTGTCTCTACATAACAATTATAACCAAATCATGACCGATCAGAGAGGTTTACGCACGAAGCACGGTCCTCTTATGTAAAGATCACATCGTGATGTAATTGTTCGTCTAGTGAAGGCAGATAGACTACAATAAAGCCTGATTCGAGAAGATTGTGAAACCAGCAGGGGGTGGAAGCAGACGAGGACCGTTGTTGGATCTCATGAAAGTCGGTCACAATACGTTAAGACTGGGAAAAAGGGCGGAGGTCCGTCAATTCCCTTACGAGTAACAAATGTCTCGCAAGCTCGGCCAATGATGCGCAAATTACATGACACCAACAGCACGAAATAATAGAAGGTAAAGGGACAGGGCTTGTGTCCACTTGTCAGCGCCCGGCCATTGCCGAACACAGATTACGGCTCCATATTCAGCCACGATCCTTGAGACCTCCATCTCGATCTCGGTGAAGGCTGTGAGCTCGGCGGAGAAGTAGACGAGCTCTCGTGGGAAGGGTGTGTTGAATGGGGCATTGCTCTAGATTGAAGGTTGCGGGGGTGGCTTGGCACGTGGAGGGCACGAAAGATGGGGTGATGATGTGCGTTCCAGTTGGCAGCAGCTGCTGGCGTCGGAAAGGTAGGGGTTCGAGGGAGGCCAACGACTGAGAGCGGATGTGACATTTGTGGATCGGGTGGAGAGGATGAAACTCGTATTCCTCTTTGGCATGTTTTGGCACGCGAGCTTGAGAGCCCAGTCTCCGTTCCACCCCATGTTGCCTCATAACCGTCTCGTCCTTCAGAAAATGTATCCGTCGTGCCAAGGGCTTCGTCCAGCAACGATTGACTAGAACGCCCGCGCGAGCAGGGAGATGATGGCCAGCTTTCTAAGCTCGGAGCGATATCAGACTGAGGCGACAGGGCGAGGAAGTCAGGGAGTACGGAGACCTCAATGTGGCCACCATCTACGGGGTTCGGGGAATCAGGTGGCATCAGTGTTGGACCCTTGGGCAGGTAGTTTAAGGGTGTTGAATTCCTTTGAATGCTGGGGCCATAGGGAGGTGATGACATTGAATGCCGATTGTGACGTCCCGCTGGTAGGAGTGACGGCCTCGTTAATGGATACAACAAGGAGTTAACGAGTCCACTTGAACAAAACAGGACGTCTGCGAGAACGGTGGCTGTCCACGAGACATGATATCTGTTGAATGCACGCCAACGACATACGCTGAATGGGAGGACAATTACTGTGTATGCCACAGGGTACCTATTTTGATAGCCAACTATTTAAAAGAGTGCTGAGCCTCTTTCCAAAAAAAAATGCTGACCAAAGCATCGATCCTGCACGTGCATAGCTCGTCCTAGCATAAACTAGCCCTGTATCCGCTGATGATTGACTTGTCCATTTCACACGGAAACCATTGACATGGAGATTCCCACGCAATGAGAAGTAGAGAGGGATGTACATCAACAGGTTGAAAATGGCTGTGATCCATATCCAGACTGAGGGAACGTTTCAATTCTAAGCTGTGAGATGTGCAAAGAATTACAAGTCGACGCACCATATTCGAACAAAAGGCGCTGGTTTTTAAAGTGGGGGCCAATCCAGCACCACATTCCTGAAATATCGATATATTGTCGGCGATGATACAACGCCAAAGAGAGGCCGATCTCTAAAGTGATGAAAAGCCAAATGGTCAACATGAGAACAATGGCGGCCGTGGCTTTCCTAGGGGCTTTCCACCTCCACAGCATGACAGCCGCAGTATGGATGGTGATCGCAAGTATAAACATGGCTACGCCAAGAGCCCCTATATTCTTCAGAATCCCCTGAAAATGGCAGAAGGATCCACGGTTGATTTCGGCAGATAATGCCCATCTCACATTCATAATGCCACCTCCAAGGAGCCAGACGTCAATCGATTGTGGCAAAAAATTTGCACCGTAACTAGCTCACCGATTGAGTGAACAAGGTCGAATAGGAGTACGTTCAGAAAGTAGACGTCGACGTGAGTGCTAATTAGCTTCGGACGGGTTGAACGCGCAAGGCGACGACTTTGGATGGAATTGAACTACACGGAATATGGTGTGAGCGAGGGAAAAAGTGGATGAGGCATTTTTCTACGCACGGCGAAATATGAGAGCAAGCATGTCACCGCGATGCACGAGCACGCAGAAGCTTGAGCGATGAACTGGAACGGAGCGTGTCAATGTCCACGATGATGACGGTAAAATTCGATCGACCAACTCACAATGAGACCCAAGCGATCCCCGAACGACAAAGGTGGGCCCTGCAGCTGCAACGCTCCGGTAGGGTTCAAGGCGCCAATCATGGGCGGAAGAGCCAGCAAGTACCATATGCTGACCACACAAACGCGGGCGTTCGAATAAAGCATTAGCACACCAGCGAAGCTGACCAAGGAAAGTCAACTGGCTGAGTGGAAGAGGTTAACCTTGGGACCGCGTCGGACCAAGGTTCTTTGCATGTTTGTTCCTCCTTTAAAAGGGATGCAAATAGCTCTCAAGGGCCGATCCAAAACACACGCTGTTGTGTTCGTGATTACAAGAAGAGGCTGGAGATCACGGGGGCCAACACTAGCGTTCACAAGGGGTCTGCGTCACAATGGCACTATTGTATTGGATGAATATTTGTGCGCTCAGATCGGCACAAGCAAGAAGATTGTAAAATAAGAATGAGGGGATGTAGGAAAGAAAAGATCGATGTGGGATCCTAATTTCAGTGGTCATCCGGCCGCTACAGGTTAGGGGAACAACGGATAAGAAACCGAGTGGCGGAGATCTTCAAACCGCTCATGGAATACAGATACCAAAGCCATCTGGCACTTGGACCATGATAACAATGCGAGGGAAAGCCTAGATAAGAAAAAGGGGGGGGGGAAGGGGAAACCGATCCGGGCAGGCTGTGTCACTAGGGGCGAGCTGTTAGCAGTCGCCCATTTGTGGGAAACACATCACAAGATTCCATAGAATGGTTAAAACCGCTGAGACCCGATCCATTTTCCCGGAGCCACATCGCAGCCTCTGGGCTCAGTAGGGGTTGCGCTTCCACAAGGAGCGGCGTCCTATGTGAAGGAATGTAGGGGGTGAGGGGAACGGGTATGATGCTGATGCGCGTCTTGGTGGACTAGTAGCTGCCGGCGCCGGAAAAGTAAGGGCCTGAAGGGGTAAGACGGCTAATTGCGGACGCGGAGCTCGCGAATGAGGCGGCCACGATGAATCGCTCAGATGTATTCTCCTTCGCGATGCTCCGACATATCTGGAGGGATATCCATGGAAGCCATTCTCTATTCCACCCCATATTGGCTGGTGTCCAGGACCAATGACGTCTTGTTCCCCGGACGAGGTATTTACCACACCAAGTGCACTATATGACAACGATTGATCCGAAACTCGGACTGAGCAGGGAGGTGATGACGAGGGTTCTGGTCCCGAAACACCCCCGGGCCGTGGCTTATTCGTTATGCTAGAGGAACGGAGAGGTGGCGAAATGAAACTATCTGAGCACCGATGATGACGTCCCGCAGGTAGGAGCGACGGCCTCGTCAATGGATACAACAAGGAGTTTACGAGTCCGCTCGAGCAAAATAGAATGTCCGCAACAACGGTGGCAGCCCACGGGACACTATATCCATTGAATGTACGCCAACGACATATGCTGAACGGAATGACGGTGATTGTGTATGCCAGAGGGTACCTTTCGATAGCCCAAACATTAAAAAGAGTGTGATCCTTCCTTACAGAAAATACTCACCAGAGCATTGATCCTGCAAGAACGTAACCCGCCTTGGCATGAGATAGCCATGAATCATCTGGTGACAGACTTGTCCATTTCACATGGAAACCACTGACAGAGAGATTGCCACGCAGTGAAAAGTAGAGGGGAATGTATACCAACAAGTTGAAAAAGACTGTAATCCACATCCAGGCTAAAAGGATTCCTCGGTGAGATTGGGGCTGCAAGATGTACGGGTCAACACACCATATTCGAATAAAAGGCGTTGGTTTTTAAAGTCGGAACCGATCCAGCACCACATTCCGGTGATATCGATATACTGTCGATGGCGATATAACGACCAAGAGACACCGATCCCAAGAGCGATGAAAAGCCAAATGGCTAACGTAATGACAAGAGGAATGGCGAACGACTTAGGGACTTTCCATTTCCACAGCAAGGCAGCCGCAGTATGGATGGTAATCGCAAGTATAAACATAGCTCCGCCAAGAGCTCCAGCATTCTTCAGAATGCCTTGCGAATCGCAGAGTGGACCTGGGGAGATTGCGGCATCTGCCACCCATTTCGCATTTATGATGCCACCTGGAGCCAGACATCGATTATAACGCCTGAAAGCTTGCGTTATACTAACTCACCAATTGACTGGAGAACGTCAAATGCGAGCAGGTTCAGAAAGTAGATATCGACATGGGTGTTAATTAGCTTCGGACGTGTTGATTGCACCGAGCGACGATTGTGGATGACATTGAACTGCGCAAAGGTAATATTGTGACTGAGGGAGAAAAGAATGAGGGGTTTTTGCGCACAGCGAAATATAGGAGCAAACATGTCACGGCGAGGCATGAGCATGCAGAAGCTTCAGCAATGAACTGACGGAGAGTGTTGGTGCCCACGACGACGGTGAGGTTCGATTAACTCACAACGAGACCCAGGCGTTCGCCGAACGAGAAAGGCGAGCTACTTGATTGCACCGAACCTGGGGATCTGGAGGCACCGATAACGGGCGCAAGGGTCAACAAGAACCATGTACTCAGTGCAGAAACACTGGCACCCGAAGGGGTCATCAGTGTCAGGGAAGGCCACTGGCAGGGACGTTAGCCAGGTAGGCGGGAACAACTTTGAGGCAGAGCCAAGTATTATATATGCGTGGCTAGTGTAAATTGTGGGGGGCATGGCCGGGGATCGATGCCAATTATGAAACGATGCAGAGGTGACTTGGAGGATCCACCATAGAGTCAGGATCATTTCTGCGGAAAAAAGTAGTGGTGAGGGGTATTTGCTACAAACGGCGGCAGAAATCGCCCACTTAAACACCTGTACCCCCCATCGGATCCCTGGTTATAAGTAATCAAAAAATACCTGGCATAAACTGCATCGTTGGGAGACTGAATACTCACGCCAATTTAATTTTGCTTCCGTCGACACACTCAACGTTATTCGACGGAGGGAATGCAGTAATGGCGCAAGAAAGCACAGTTTCCTTTGCTCTCGGTCCGACTCTCTCCCCAAGTCCCAAAAAGAGTGGGAGTGGAGGGATCCCGTTGCCGCAGGTGGACTCATTCTTTCATTCACTTTGCGACATGCTGACAGTCGATTTCCTAGGAAGCACTGGTCGGTATCTTTGTGGGTGTAGCTGTCTTAGCGAGCTGTATGATAATGCTAGTTCAGTGAGTGAGACTGTTAAAGAGTATCTCCAATACTCAGTCTTACAACATTTGTCCCTCCAGCTTCCTGAAAGTATCCCCACGCGCAAGGGGATTTAGGAACTTCATATCGTGTTCTCGTGGGCGTAATCCCCGGCCCCTTGACCCCAGGGAAAGATCAGGATCTGAACACAACCTATGGACTCCTGGGAATGGCATGCTCCACATCACTCCAGAACTTTTGCACTCAACGCTCAGTCCAATCCCGACCATGTATGACCCTACACAGCCCCGGCATTATCCTACTCGAGCAGCTGATGTCGATGAAAGAGGTCGCAGGACGGGACCACGCACGGACGATGAAGGGAATTGGGTTGACGAAAAAGAAGAGCTACCTGCCTACTCGCGACACAGCATCGGCCTGCCAACATATACTGAATCGGATGCCCATTACTCATCTGAGAGGTTGCCTCCACCTGTCACCCATTCATCACCCTAACCGAAACCACCTACCGTACCACCTGCGTTCCGCCTTCCAACCACCGGCAGGACTCCGTGGCGTCAATTTCTCACCAAGTATCATTTCCATCCTCACATCACCACATTTTTATCGCTTGTCCGAATTGTTATTGAATTGAGCCACATCTATGACTCCATTTTGACTCGATTTCCATAGCCCCATTCCAGCAAACTATCACACCAATCGCAGATTATGCCCTTTCTGCTCGTATCCCCTCGTTTGTTGATCTGATACCTACGCTCACAACTTGTATTATTTACCCCCCGGAATTTACTATCATCAAACGCCTGCAAGTACGATGGGGTCCATGCACGCATGAATCCACTATGAAGGTTGTTCATGCGCTTCCTCGGAGGCCTCCCCATCCGCATCCGGTCTGATGAGCGTGCCGACTATCGCATTACACCAGCTCCCAATGATCGCATCTTACTGTGTGTGTGAACTCTGTCTCGTTGTTCCGGGGCCCCATTGTTGGTGGCAGCGCGGCTTCCCTAGCTCTATGGTTACACGGTGCGCACAAGAGGGGAAACATCCGTGGAGCTAGCGAATAGGCAGGTTACCAGCCTCTATTGAAATAGAGCTAGCGAACTGAACTCGTATGTAGCCATTTTTGGGGTCGGCAATTAGCGCATCGGCCGACTCCGCTACATTCAGCGCTAGGCCGTCACCAGCCACCATGGCCACAAACACAAACACGACAGGCGACGTTTTTCACGGGTAAGTGTCTGTGCGCCCTCTAAATGCCCCTACTTTCTCACGAGGCCACATTTGTCGAGATAGGTCAACTGTATTTGTTTCAAATCTTTCATATTCTACTACCGATGAATCCTTGCGAGCCGCGTTTGATGACTTGGCACCCGTTCGTTCGTGCTTCATTGTCCTCGAGAAGCTGCAAGCCTTTTCTGAAAAATCTGGTGCTGAACCGTCCTCGAGCCAACCAAAATCGAAGGGGGTTGGGTTCGTCAAATTTGCTTTGAGGGAAGACGCAGGGAACATAATTGCTAAATATGGTCCCGGCGTAAAGGGGGAAAAGAAAGAATTTTTGATGGTCGATGGGAGGAAAGTAAGGGTTGGTTGGCCAGGGGTGAAGGTAAAATAGTTCATCTATTTCGTCGTATCTTTACATTCTCTGAATTGGCCGTCAGCCCCCTACTAATGAGGTCAAGGCGGAGGGACGGAAGACGACAAAGAAACCCGTCGCGAAATCCACCATAACAAAGGACCCCGAAGCCAACAGAACCCTCATTATTACCAATTTGCCATCGACTGGGCTAACGAAGTCAACATTATGGAAGAAGATACGGAAGTGCGATGGAGCTAAGAGTATCGAATGGCCTCTTGATGGCGATAACACCAAAGGTCAGGCCTGAATGGACTTGTTTCGTCTCCGTCTGGGATCACTCAACGTTTATTTTGTCTCAGTCTCCGCCATATTTGATACTCCCTCTGCTGCCACGGCTACTCTTTCAAAGCTCCATTCTCATGTGTATAAAGGATCTACTCTGTCTGTAACCCTAAAGAGACCGTCGGGCAATCCCAGTCGCACCAGCGAACTGATCGTACGAAACCTGCCATGGGATGTAAGCACCTTTTACCTTGCTCTTCCATTTCGCTCATCGGATGGTGTGTACAGATAACTGAGGCTGACCTGGAAGCTTATTTTTCCTCTTATGGCCCTGTTCATTCCGTCCGCATCCCCAGTCTGAAGTCCGAGCACAACAAAGATGATGATGCTGCCACTTCTCCCAAAAAGAGGAGGCGCATCAGAGGTTTCGCCGTTGTAGGGCTGTTGTCAAGAGAAGGCGCAACGGACGCTATTGCCAAATTAAATGGCACAACGATGTACGGCGGGTTTGCGGATGACAGAGCCGCTTCCGAAGATAAACATGGAGACAAGGATGTGTCGAAGCCGCAAGGCAGTCGGAAGAACGAGAGAGTTGTTGCGGTAGATTGGGCAGTGGGAGCAGATCGATGGCGGCAGATAGTAGAGGAGCAGGCACAAAAGGAGGGAATTGATGATGAGGACAGTGATGGGGAGGAAGACGAAGAAGCTCCGGAAGATTGGGATACCGAATTGGGCACAGACGAGATGTCGGAAGGGAATGCTCATGATCATTCTATGAGTGTTGATGGAGAGGAAAGGTCACGACCACCCCCACCCCCACCTGAGGAAGGGTCGGTTCTTTTTGTTAGGAATCTTCCATTCGAAGCCATAAGTGAGGACCTGAAGGAAGTGTAAGTTTTTTCTGAATCCTCATTTAAAATCTCATGTTTGGTGTGCGTTATATGACAGATTCCAGAAATTTGGGCCAATACGGTACGCGGTTGTCACTATGAATCGCGAAAGTGGCAAGTCCAGAGGGACCGGATTTGTCTGTTTCCGGAATCTGTCCGACGCCAATACGTGCCTCGAAGAGGCACAGCGAATGCGAGAAGACCTGGATCCAGAGCTGACAAAGAAGAATCCTTTCTCACTTCTAACTGTGGACCCCTCATCGTCTCGTGCTGCTCCTCTCGTTCTTCAAGGTCGCACTCTGGATGTCGTGCGTGCGGTGACGCGAGAAGAGGCTCAAAAGTTTAGCGATCGGAACGAACGTGCGCGAGAAAAGGAAGATAAACGGAATCTGTATCTAATACGCGAGGGTGGTGGGTAGCATTGTCAGAAGGCCCATATTTAACCCGAGCTAACATCCACCACATAGTCATCTTTCCTTCCACGCCCTCTGCAACTACTCTTGCGCCGGCTGAACTCAATCGACGTCATCAATCATGGTCCGCGCGCAAGACTCTGTTGCGCAACAATCCTTCCCTGTTCATAAGTCGAACACGCCTCAGCATTCGCAATCTTCCTCTCTGGGTAACAGACCGAGGACTCAAGCGGCTCGCGATTCATGCCAAGCAAGCCTTCTCCGAGGAAGCTTCGCAGGGACATCGTGCTGGACTAACAGAGGACGAACTGGCAATTCCGGCTAATGCTGCCGGCGAGCAGGGTTCCAGAAAACGTAAATGGAAAGGCATGGAATCAATGGGGGTTAAGCAAGCGAAAGTTGTTCGTGATGCCAACCGCGTTGATCCTCTCACTGGGAATGGTCGAAGCAAAGGGTACGGCTTCCTCGAGCTCGAAACGCATGCTGACGCTCTCCGAGTTTTGCGGTGGGCAAACAACAATCCAACCGCAAACAAACTCATGTGGACCTGGTGGAAAGATGAGTTGCAGGCGCTTAGCGAAGGGCGCTTCGGGACACTCCGTACTTTGGGAGGGAAAGAAGGAAGTACTGGGGTGGAGACACGTTTGAACCGTCTAAAATCGCGATTAGAGGAAATGGACGGGCCCGGAGGTGACAAGGAGGCAAAAATCAAAGATGGGCGATCTCTTCACATAGAATTCGCGATTGAAAACATCCTTGTAATGAGACGGCGCCAAAACCGGCAAGAAATGGCCAAACAGAGACCCGATAAGGGTGCCGATGGCTCCGAGGTTCGCATCCTTCTATCTATGTATGTCCTGTCTCACTCTCGCTAACGTACGATAACAGGGCCCAGAACCGTCCGTCAAGTCATCTCGGAAGCGTAAAAGTCGGGATGACGAAGACGGAAAACCTCCAACACCGCGCAAGAAGCACAACAGCAGTAGAATGGCCATCAGGGAGGATGGTGATGCGGAGTCGGCGTTGGAGGGGCACAACCCCAAGATCGCATCAAAAACTCGCGTTCCAGTCGGCCGTATCATAAAAAAGAAACGGATGGAACGGCGCACGAAGGCGTTTGCGAAATGATATTGCACAACCTTATATTATTCTACAACCCGCACCCATACTTACTCGTTGAATTGGCTTCCAGTAATTTTTGCTGTCCACTTATGGTAGTTTATCTTAAAATATGACGGGACATGTCATGAATCATGAAGGGGCGAGTGGCATGTTCTTCATCGTTTCTGGAGAAGAGAATGATGACGGAATAGTAACTTCTGGTGTGAGCTCCTTGCTAAATTCCTTGCTTGGTGGTGGTTCGTCCTTAGATGGATGGTCTGGCATGCGATTGGGATACTCTAGCACATCTCGCAATGAAGCGTTTCTGGCAGCGATGTCAGGAAGTACGTCAGAAGATCGTGGTGGCCTCTCGCCTTTGTTTAAATCGAGCAATGGCACCAGACGGGTCTAGAAACCAATCGTTCTGTGCTTCTGACGCTGCATTGCTTGATGGACTGTAAAGTGGGGGGTCACATGAAACTCGGAGCAAATCCCAGAGTCCACTGACCGATGTGAAGAATTTGTAGAGACTGCCTCAATGACGAACATATTTGGGTTCCTGTCGACTTCGACGCCTTTTATTACACCCGGAGCCTCAGTGACTTTGATGCCTGTTACCGCTAACCCTTCCGACACACTTCGAACAACTGGCAGTTGACAGGATGTGGGATCACAGTCTAGAATAATGTATGGCTGATTCTCGTGGTCCTTGGACGGCATTAAGGATAATGGTGGATCATCAGCGTAGTGGTAGTGTATAATGGGGAACGTCAAACGAGGCGCCGGAGTGTTTGGCGCACCCACGACTCCCGTAGTGCTCGCTGGGAGACTACCCTGAGAAACAAGGACATAGTGGGGAGGCAGAGACTCCGGGACTGATGCCGATCCCATTGCGCTTAGCTCTTCAAAAGTAGGCCTTAGGTGCGGAAGTTGTCAGCTGACGTCGAATGGCTGAATTTAATTTCTAAACAATGATCAGAACCAACAAGCTCCATCTTAAAGGGGTGTCCGCTGTAGTCCAACGGCTAGGATATATCGCTTTCACCGATGAGATCGGGGTTCGATTCCCCGCAGCGGAATTCACTTTTTGGCAAGTGACCAACCAGCCCTCGATCAATATTTTTCCATTTTAGGATGTAAGATCTTTGCATCCCGTGGTCCTTCATCTTTATTTAACCTTATCATTTAGGGGGTCATGTTCAGAGTTTTGATCGGTCAACGAGGTCTAGCTCTTCAGTTATGACCTTAGCTGTATTAGGGGGCCTCACGGTTGATTAAAGTGGAGCTAAACTGGGTTCTGAAGTGGTTCAAATTTGACCTAAATTCCACCTCAAGTGGGGCCTCAGTTTAGAGCAAGTTTAGGTCGAGTTTAGGTCACTTCAAGGGCGCTCACAGTTGGGGCGGTTCTAAAGTGCGTCCAAAGTAGCTCGGGCCTGGATCTCATAAGTCCGTTCCATTCTGTGTCACGCAATCACTATACATCCGAATGCCATCTACTTCCGACTGCCAGCTCCTCATACACGCGGTGTGCTCCGTTGGAGGAACAACCTCAGAGCATATTTACCTGTATTTACGTTGAACACGTTACATAGAATCAATTGCCATCCCGACTGAGTCAAGCCTTTGAACTGGTTCTTTTGATGAAGACTTGGGTGAACGGGAGCGTGAAGTCGGGCTAGAGCGCGATATAGGTGCAATGTACAATCCATTGGGCTAATGACAACAAAGGAAACAGTGAACGTGAAACTAGTGCCTCTGACGCTTTGGCTGAAGCTGCCCCCTCCCCCTTCGTCCTTGTGTCGCATCTGCCATGACAACATGCAGCCCTCCAGCATACTCTGTGAATACATGCACGTCACCATCAACAATGCCAATGTCTAAAATTAAGGATTCACTCTTGAGTTCTAGTTCGGACACTGATGACAACAGTGACAATAATATCCACGTCGAGCAGCAGCAGCAGCATGGTGAAGGGAACGGACAGGTGACCTAGGTAGCAAACTGTACAGTTAGTGTTAACGCGGACTTACTCAGTTTTAAAGCCGAGTTTAGATGGGTGACTTTAGGCGAATTGGGGCTCCTGAGCCCCAAGTCGAGAAGGACCTAAAGTGGCGACTTTAGATCTAGTTTTGACGCACTTTTGTCACTTTAGGTTCACTTGAGAAATCTCACTTGAGATCCAGTTTAGGCGAATTTATTCAACCGTGAGCCCCCCTATTGTAGCGGAGTTGTCCGAATTGATTGTTATATTGTTATATTATATCTCCGTTCTCTTTCATTCACGTCATAGCTCATTCCGTGCGCGCTCCCTTTCCCCCCGTCCAGATCCGCAACTCTTCGAACAGCCGGTTGCCCTGTCTCATCCGGAAACTGTCACAAGTGGGGAAGTAGAACCAGGTGTTTGACAATGATGCAAGTACGAAGAACACAATCTTGCATGCACGACAGTAGGGATTGGTAAAGATGTCGGGGGGTTCCAGTAGGTACAGCATTCCCTTCCGCCCAAACATGGAGACCCCGTTAATCCGCCCATGCAGCAGCCAATCTCTACGCTTCCTGACGGATTTGGAGTTGAACACCCTGATCCTAATCGTGGAAGTCGCTGTCTTCTCTGTGGCGCGAAATGTGTTTCAGTGTGTGTATAGCCCCCGATCATACTTCCCACCGCCCCAAGAGTTTGTGGAGGTGGATACTTGCTGCGTTCAAGTCGGACTCGAGAGAATTGGTGTGCACTCATGCTGCCAGGTCGATGTCGACTTCGCCCCATTCACTTTTCGCCAGATACCTAAGAACGGCCTTGGCGCTTATTTATTCGTTCGCTTCTTGCCAAAATATTCGTCCCGTTCTGGTTCGCGACCTAGGCGATAGTCTGAGTCTTGGAAGCACATGATTGGCGAGATGTAGTGAGTCACATTATCGTGTTCTATGAATTCTATGAAACCTGCTAACTTGGATCTATTCAGCATAGCCAATCCTGGTTTGCCGCACACATCGTCGTTGCATATCTACTTGTAGGTCATCCTTGCATCTATTTCCCCGAGTATCGCGGATTTCCGTGCACCTTATTTCCGATAGTTTACGTGCTGTGGCTTCGTTGGGAGATGTCCATTTTTATACGTCTCAGGCACGTACAAATACCTAATTTCGTCGAAGCTCGTTCAGGCAAAAACGGTTCTCATTACATTGCTCCTTGACGATCTACTTATGTAACAACTGAATCAGATTTCAGGCTACTTCCATCCTTGTTCTTGGAGGAATAGGTAAAATTTGGGTATATCGTCGAGCTGAACTCATAAAGACAGGCTCGACGCATGCCAGAAATCTGAATCAGTGAATTACTTGGTACAGCAATGACTGAACAAGTCGAGGCGGAGGAAAAGAAGAAAAAGAGAGCTGAACTGCGGACTGGTGTTGATGTCACCTGGAACCCTCCCGCAGACGATGTTGCCGGAGACGCTAGAACGGACCAGGGCAGGATTGATGAAGTGGATGTTGAGGCCGCAAACCTTCTGCCACCGGTGACTATATTGGCATCGGCAAAACGACCAACACATCCGTGACACAATTGACTGGGTTAAGGCTCGTGTGCGGCAGCTTATTGACAACCGCAATGGAGAAGAGGATCTTCCACGTGCAAAACCGTTCGGTGCGGCAATGATCATGTGTACTCTTCAGATGGGGGCGCGTGTATTGGCTCAGTGCATTGGCTACCACGAGGTGGGTTTCAGATGATGCCTGCAACAGAACTCGACAGTCTCATCCAGACACTCTGGCTCCAGTAGCCCCTGATAAGTGGGTCGGACTCTATCAATATCGACTCTTCGTATCCCTACTTTTCTGCCTGTCGGTCCTCACCAGTACGGTGTCGGGTACGAAGTGCGGGCCCGCTTTATCATATCGTGGGGTCTGACTCTCGCCATTACATATCGTTTTGTGGTCGTTCCTTGTTGCGTTTTCAGGTAGTTATGCTCTCAAGTCCAGTAGGCGGGTCAAGAAATAACGGCCCCGGTTTTTGTTGATTCAAACCGTTCTCAAGCTGGCTTCGTTGGGTTTGTCGACTTCCCACAGATATCATACAAGGTGTTCTTCCCCCACTATCATTCTATGTCCATTACGCTTGTTTTCTACGGTGTATACCTCGATATTACTCATTTCTCTTGATGTCGGGTTTTATCTTTATCTTGAATTAGTGTATCGGACTGAATTTCTAGTCATTCGGGCGTGATTTCTTGATCGTTACCCTGTCTTCTGGACTACAACAGCGATTGTTCAGGTGAGCGAATGCATCCTTTCATTGCCATTGGGAGTGTTTTACTTATTTTATCATAAAAAAGATCATTCAGCATCCGAATACAGCTGTCGATCTGGCCCAGAACCTGCAGGCCTTCGGCTTCTGCATTTTCCCTCACGTACATAATTGCGAAAGGACCTCGGCAGCCGTCTTACAGGTACATGTGATACCCAGCGTTATCACTGAAAGCACGCTCTGAACCTTTTGATACTCAGCTGGTTCGTTTAACTCTCCATTACATGATGTTTGGCAAGACACTGCGACAAGCATACGAAGTGGAGTGTCTTGTGCCTTGCACTGATCTAGGAACAAAGCTACCACGAATATCTCTCCTTGCCACCATTGCGATAGCGTACAGCATCATTGCTACAATCATCTGTGGCTTTTCATTTGGCCTCTTGTGGTGGGTTCATTTCATTTGGGAGAATCGACATCCACCTTTTCTAGGTTTGCATGGAAATTTTTGTTCATTTGGGTAATGGACCAGCAGAGACGCGAGGATTATAGTGCATCATACTAACTGGAAATCCAACTCCTCATTCACCATCTCTCAGTTTCCCGTCAGCCTTTGCAAGCTTCCTCGCAATCCCCACACTTTGAACCCCCAATTCGAATATACCAATCGCGGGACTTTATATCAAGCAGCTCTGAGTCGGGCATTTGATCGTACGTTCTGTGCTCAATTTAGGATATTGTTCTTAACTTTTACATTCGGCAATAATTGACTATTTGCCTATGAGTTTGGCGATAAGGGATATGGCGCAGTGATACGCCAAACGTAAAGTCCTGGGTCATTATTTGCACCAGGAGATCGACCAAGCTATAGTCTTATTCCGCCGCAACCGTAAGGACTTCAAACCTCACCCTTACACAGTTGAGTTAGACATCAAGTCAGTGGAACGAGATTCCCACCACAACACAAAAATGACTGACTTAGACGTTCATCGTGGAAATCCTGTGACATCCACGGTGGCAATAGCACCCAGTGTTGTCGAGGACTACAACAATAGAGACATGTGAACCCCTCATTCTTCGCGCGCGCGAGTAGATGAGCCCCCATACAGTTCGAAAATCGCCCCAGCAGGTGAAGCCCTGAATTTAAACGCTCCGATGAAATGGATGACGATGATGATGGTGTGAAAGAGCACGAATTCGATCACCTGGCGCACGTGGGATCTGGATACCCCAAGATCCATTAGGTCTGAGCAAGATGAACTAAAAGTGGCCGGAGTCGATGCCTCTGATATAGGGGCTTATGTCAACGAGATCACCGCAATATTCTGTTGTTAGATCTATTGGTTTATCCGTTACATTAATAGTCGAGATCCTCTAGATGAAGGCTGACAAGGGGGTCAATATTTGTGATTCTGGGCTAGGGATGGTCTAGACTCTATGGTGCGAGCTTGTTGCTCGTTGGCGCCTCGCCTCCAGTTTGTTCGACAAAGACTAATTCCGCTTCTTCATCATCCTCTGATTTAAAGGTGTACCGTCTGACTGCAATACAGATTCATGCCAGAACCACATTTCGGACGAGATACTGCTTACCTTCTGCGTTTCCCCATGCCTGGAAGAGTGGTTAGATCCGAGAGGTTCGGGAAAGGGTAGAAAACTTACGTGGTCCAGGCCCACTCCCACGAGATTGCGTAGAAAAGTACCATGCGATACGACTAGATAGCAGTGCTGTACATGCTGTTCCCCGCACCACCTCAATTAGCAGACTCACCGACAATGTTTTTCTCCGATCTGTCCCGTATCCATCTCCGAACCCACTTCGCCCGTTGGAGTACATTTTCTGGCGCGTATATGCCTTGCTTCTTGTTCCAATCGTCTTCGAGAGTTGAAAGGTCGATACCGTTAAATTCAGGGATCTTCTCTAACTTGCATCTATCACTCCCTGTGTCGCAAGGGGCGTCACCAACCTCTTGGAGTTGAGGCAGCACGATCAATGGCTTGGGATCTGGTTGAGATTCGAGACGTTGCTTCAAGTGGGGATAGCCCAGCAGCGCAGTTTGGAGCGTTCGAATCAGCGGCGAAGTCACGAGTAGATCCGCTTGAGACTGGATCGCATCCCTGGTCGTGCGATCTAGTTTGCGCGCTTGGGAAACGCCTAAGGGAGTGAGCGGCGCATCTGGGATCCCACAATCCTCATTCGCATTGTGTTGGGCCTTCACGACGGCAAACGGGTATAAATTGGAATTGCTCACGTCTGCACAAATGATAACCTGCTAACCTGGGCATGTCGAGTGAGATGAATTACCGACTTCACCATCTGGGGCCCTTGGCAAGTTGGGCTCAGCAACAGAAACTGGGGAAACGTCGTGCGAGAAAAAGAATTATATTGCAGATCAGAGATATAAGAGACATCTGGGTATTTACAGCAGCAGCGATCCAAGAAGTTGTCTCTAAGCCGATGCCTCGAGGGCATTAGCAAGGCGGCGTAGGGCGTTGTTTTGGATGTTATGCAATCTGGCCGCCTCGGACACGAGGTCGTTGTGTACATTTGTGGCAGAAATCTTAAGGGGTCGATATGAGGTAGTGAGAAGCATACCAAGGAAGTGAACTTACAGTCGGTAATTGCAATTCCAGCAGTCTTGAAAGCATACGAGCCAAGCAGACATTGTGCCGCCAATTTGTTCGGTCAGGCAGAATGCCTGGAAGAAGCTGAATCAATTGCGGTACAGTACGCTGGAATCGATCCAGCCTCTCTGCCTCTGTAGCGTCAGGTATGATATCATGTGAGGCTCCAGCCAGGGAGGGAATATCCGTCAAACACTCGACATAATCCAGACACAGCTGCCATAAGTAAAATAAACCCTTCAGTCGCTAAGCTGAAATTACGAACTTACTTTACCGCGGAAAGACCAATCCTTGATGTCCTGTGGATTAAACGTAATAAAGAGGGACCTCAAGAGTTCAAGATCATCACGAAGAATTGCTTCCAGTGCCAATTCGCCCAATGCGACATCATGAGCCATCTGAGGATTTCCAGCGCAGAGATAGCTGTTATATGCATCGAAAGCCTTGCTATGATATTGGCATAACGTCGCCTTCAAGGAGTGTGAAGAGGTGAAACAATGGGTAAATAAGGATTTCCTTACCTTTGCTTCATATATCCAGGTTTCTGGAATTTGCAACGTGTTGCAAAGGAATTGTTCCATTTCGTCAGTTAGATATTCTACGTGTCTTGAAATCACATCTTTGACTGCTATCTCACGACTGAAGTGGGGGATGAGAGGTGCTATAACTAAAGGAATACGATCGACACGTACTCAAAAGACCTCTCGAGATGTAGGAGTAGGAATATAGCGTACTCCCAAAGGCCTTGCCTTTCCAGCTGAAACGCGTAGGATACCGTAAGCTTGTTTGCATTCAAACTGAGCGGGCGACTTCCGGGGGAGTCCTTCTCAGTAGACATATCTTCAGTCACTCGATCTCCAAAATCACGGAAATTCAAACAACGAGAGAGGAGAATGGAAGTGTGCCAAGGTAGACGGCTGTCGAATGGACTTGGCGAAAATGACCACGGCGATAGTGCACGTTCGAGAGGGGCTGCTGGATTGGAGCTCAGAATCATCAATTGAAACAAGCCATCATTTTCTTGGGTAGCCATCTGCCAAGAACGCATGATACTGGTAGTATCGTGTAATTCTTGGTACCACGGCAAGGGGCGACTCGCGGTCTCAGGTCGCGTGGATCGGTACGACTCCAGAGCATCGACGTAAGGAGTGTCAACCCCAATCCCATACCACAGGTGCAGCCCGAAGACACGCTTCCAGTCCAATCCCTCCGCTACGATAAGCTCACGACATTTCTCCACCGGATCGATGCTCTTGGAGGCAGGCAGAACATCGACAACTCCAGCCAGGAGGGAGTATACCTTTCGATAATGCTCATCAATATGAGCGTCTATGTTCTGTTCCCTCCATTTTTTCAGCTGACTTTCGACATCGGCCCGAAAATCTGGATCCCCTCCCACTTGAGAGACGAGGGTTGCAAGATTGAAGTCTCCTTCAGCCAATGCAGCATCCACGGCACGGTTAATCTGATGGCCTGTCAACATCGTGAAAATCTTACGCGATGCGCGAGCATTCGGAAAGGAGCGCAATTCCTCCTCAACCGTTGAAGCGACAGCGGTCTTCAGCCATGTGGAGAGATTAGTATGTCGTCGGAGAGCTACGATATGCTCGCGGGCGTCTAGCGAAGTGTGCGTCTTCAACTGCAGATCCATTTCATCAAACAGCGCAGCTCCCAAACGCCAGACGGTTGGTTCATAACTCTGATCATCGGGACTGAAGAGCTGAGCATAGCGAAAGAAACGTAGATCCGACAAAGGCGAGGCAACCGGATATCCGCGTTCATCCACCTGAATCGTCGAATGCTCCTGTTGAAATTTAAGCAGCCTTAGAGCATTCTCTTTTTCATCCAACTTAAATACTTATGTGAGATCATCTTCCGTGAAAAATCCTATATACATTACCTCTGGCGCTGAAAGTACGGGGACGGAAGTTACGCGCACAGTCGATGAATACGCTATGGAACTGACAAAGGAAATGAACACCATGTCGGTAAGTAAAGGAGAACTCACCCTTTTGAATGCGCACCACTGAGACACCCAAGATGGGCCAGTGTCCCAGAGGGGCCCCAACCAACACGAAAAGATCGTCCCATAGCTAGTCCAGCGTCCAGAAGTTGTCGCTCCTGTCCGATGACGGCGGAATCCGACGCATGTAACACAATCTCAGTGTAATTTCTGGCGGTTGGTTGAGCATAATCACGTTGTGCCCTCTTCCGATCAGGATGTCTAGTGGTCTGTTCGAAACAAAGGGAAATGAAAGATAAGAGGCTGTCAAATTCATATTCACAGGGGCCCAAAATATTATAGCTATATACAAAGATGCAGCATGCTCACCCCGCGTTCGTGAGTGCCAGGTGACTTGGCCGCGCCGGGGACTCGAACGCCAGCTGTCCTGTCATTAGGTGGTGGTGGGTAAGCAGAACTGGTCGAACGTGTAGCTGGTGGTACATCTTCATCTATTGCCTCGGCGAAGAGGGAAGCTTGCATGATGTTGACGCGGTGAGGATCAAGCCCGAGGTGAGAAGCCCAAGGACGAGGGGTTTCATGATCATTTGCTTCGTCATCTGATGAGGGACTCTGGTCACTGAGGTCGGGACTTGAGGATGAAGTTGGTTCTCGAGCGAGGGCTGTAGGGGAGGCTACACGCTCATCTGGCGCCTCTTCAATTAATGCTGGTGCCAACTCAGATTCCATCTCGATGGGGCCCTCGTCATGATCATCGTCTTCCTCATCATCTTCCTCATCATCAAGCCCGTATCGTGTGAAGTGCTCGACACGGAAAGTCCAAACACCAGTCTGACTGTCAAAAGATATGAAGGTTGTGTTGGGCATATTCTGGAGCACCTTGAGGTGCTTCTTGAAACGGGGATGATTTTCATCCTTGACAGTCTCGCCGGTATCTTTTGTACGAGCCCAGCAATTTTCTAATGAAATCCTCGCTGGGACGTTAAGACCTTCACCAACGGGGGGCTTGATGCTTTCGTCTACGTAAACTACGCAAGCGCGTTCCGTAAACTCCACGACCCCTCCGGGGATGTCCGCGATGACCTTGAGGGTGGTGAGATTGACGGGCTGGAGGAATGTAGCTTCGCCATACCCGATGCGACCGACGGTGAAATCCTCCACTTTGGAGAGATCCACCCAGTCACTCTTCTGGAGCTCGGCGATGGTTGGACGAGTCCAATACTCCCCTTCGGCAGGATTGGATTGGGAGGCAGAAGGGACAACGATCAGCTCCGATCTCGGAGCCGAGGTCGATGGATGGCGCGCAGATGGAGCTATAGAATCGGCAGCAGAGGTTTTGGCTGCCATTTCAGCAGCAACGTTCCACCGAACCTTCGAGGAAGGCCCTGAGCTTGGAGGCAAAGAAGAGGCACGGAAAGATTCAGTACCACGGTTCACACCATCTCCGAGACGTTCGCCGTCAACCCGATGCGGCATCATCAACTTCTTCACGCTGACCTTTGGTCTAAATGCGTCGAGGCTCAAGCCTGGAGTTGCACGCGATGACGCTGAAGCACTCAGTGCCTCACTCAATGATCCACCAAAGGCGGGGCGAGAGGCGAACGGGCTTGTATCAGCTTTGCCCTGACCAGCTGGACCTACACTGCTCGCGCGCAAGGGCGAGCCAGCACGATTTGGAATAGCACCAGCGTCGCCTCCTATGGCATTCGAAAATCCCCTTAAGCGCCCGATGGTTGGAACGTGTGGTCTGGGCACATGACGCATAGAGTACGCAAACGGCGATGCGGGGGGCAACTGCTTCTTGTCCTCTAACTCGCTGAGATTGACAACATGGGGACCTGGTCCGAGAGATGACAGGAACTGATTGTGACCAAAGGCATTTTGGTCAACTGAAGCGGAGAGACTCGGAGCTGGGGAGGCTTGAGCACCAGTTGCCGCCGGACGTCCGAAAAGAGGGGGAGGTGCAGCTGCAGACAACCCAAAAATTGCTCCACTGGGGGCCGGACTCGAGCCAAAGATCGATGGTTGGGTTTGATTCTGCTGCTGCTGCTGCTGTTGCTGCTGCTGATTGGTGCTCTGGCCGAATCCACCGAAGATGTTAGAAGTGGTGTTCTGCGGCGCAGTGGAAGTCGTACTGGTGCCTTGTCCGAATGTTCCAAACGGACCTGGCTTAGCGGTGGCACCGAAAATATTTGTCGTACCAGGTTGAGTTGATTGTTGCCCTGTTGTCGAGGCATTGGTGCTGCCGAAGTTGCCAAAAGCAGGTGTCCCACCAAAGGTATTCCCAGTAGCTGGCGTTGTGCTTCCGAAAGGCGACGTCTGCTGGTTTTGGTTTTGGTTTTGCCCAAATGAACCGAAGATGTTTGTAGTACCAGTATTCGTGGCGGGTTTGCTACCAAATGCACCAAAAGGACTGGATGTATTGGCTTGCTGTTGCGCATTGTTGCCAAATGTACCGAAAGGGGAAGATTGTGTCGAAGGGGTTCCAAAAGCTGTCGGACGATGCTTCAGGCCCTATAACAGTCAATTCACAAAAAAGGCACTAACCATTGGACTGTTGCTGTTGGGGTTGTTGTGATTGTGCCGATTGGCCGAACATATTTGTATTCCCAGTAGCAAATGCCCCGAATGGACCCGATTTGTTTTCGGTGGTTGGACCTGGTTGGGGCTGGCCAAAGATATTGGTTGCTTGTTGTGGCTGTTGTGCGGGTTGACCAAGAGCACTCGTTGTGTCTAGAAGGACGGCATAACGTTGAAATTTGAAAGAGTGAAAGAGAAAGCAAAGTGCGAACTTGTTTGACCGAATGACCCAAAAGCATTCGTAGAAGGCTGGGAACCACCAAAGGCGCTAGGCTGCTGTGGTTGCTGCTGTTGTTGTTGTTGTTGCTGTTGCTGTTGTTGGCCAAAAGATCCAAAACCCGTCGCAGGAGTCGTCGTAGACGATCCAAAAGATCCAAAACCCGAAGCCGCCGGTTTGGCCTGGGCAAATCCACCAAACCCGCCCGCCGAGCCGGCAGTCTGGTTTTGTGTCTGTCCAAAAACTGGAGTTCCTCCGAAACCCGAGTTAGTTGTTGTGCCACCAAATGTACTGCCCGTCGTCGGCTGCGCGCCAAACACATTACTCTGTTGTGGTGGCTGAGTCGTTGCACCAAAACCACTGAATGGGTTAGGCTGAGTCTGCTGTTGCGACTGCCCGAAGGCTGAACCACTGCCAAAAGCACCGCCAAACCCACCCCCAGAAGCCGGAGGTTGGGTTGTCCCAAAGCCAGAAAATGGACTCGTAGTAGGTTGGGTGGCAGCAGAGCCAAAGGCACCGGTACTCGGCGTGTTAAACTGATTTGCAGTTTTACGACCCTGAGCATAATCTTGGAGGCGAAGTTCCTATTGAATCAGTCAGAGGATGAACGTGGGAGAAGAACGTCATAAGTCACCTCAAATGAGTTATTCCGATAAGCAGGCATGGCAGTGATCGCCTGGAATTGTTGAGTTATCGAGATGCCGGCATTATTGGGGGCGTCTTTCTCTTGATAGGTTTGGTATGGTGCACCCCCTGTCCCACTTGCTTGGGCTGATACAAGCAAGGTGAGTGAGGAATTAGAGCCAAATCGAGAATGACTCACTGGGCGCGGTGGTCGAGGCACCGAAAATGCCGCTGGTCGCCGGTGTCGTGGAGGAGCTGCCAAAAGCTGACGCAGGCCGTGCAGCCCCGAATGTGCTAGTTGAACCAAACGCAGGGGTTCCAGTATTTGTACCAGTATTGGAACTAAAAGCGCCAAATCCGGGGCCAGGTTGCGTCGAAGACGCGCCTGCGGATGCACCAAACGCGCCAAAACGATTCTGGGGTTGCCCAAAAGCTGAAGTGGTGCTTTGGGGCTGCCCAAACGCGCCTGCAATCAAGAGTCAAAAAGTCAGCCGTCTTTGAAAGTTCGCAGGAGGAAGATTGGGCGTACCAAAACCAGTGGATTGACCCCCTTGAGGCTGCTGCGGCTGCCCAAAAGCGTTGGTTGGTGGCTGGGCTGGTTGTCCGAACGCTGCCGGCAATATGGTGCGTACGTGAGGATGGGATGACCGATTGAGATTGCAGTTTACACACCACCAAATCCCCCAGACGGATTATTCTGCTGCTGTTGGTTGTTCTGATTACTTCCCCACGCTCCGCCGAACATCTCAAATCTGCTAGAGCCCTCGAAGAGGTTATGTAGTCCAGCTAAAACCGCGACAAAGGTCCACGGGTTGACTCGAAGTTGGTGAGTCCTGTTGACGGTCAAGTCCGACGCACGTGATCTCGTGACTATATATATATGGCAATATTGCATTGTCATTACATAATATCACATCTGATCATTTTCGACAACATTCTTCACACATTAGGCAGGACTCTGACTTCGTAACATTATACTCACACATCTCACGGAATGCACTCGAATATTTGTGACCCAGCTAGGAATCACTCGTTGCATGGAAGAATACAGATCTATGGAAACAAAGGGGGGAACGACATTCGTGGTAAACGTAGGACATTATTACTAGCCAAAGCCAAGTACTTAATCGCGCTTGGCACAAAAGCACTGAGGATGGAGGCAAGTGAGAAAGAGGGACAACTAAATACGCCCCCAGCTCTAGCTCCTCTGAGAACTTCCAGCACGTCGTCAATCATGGCCACGACAATCTCCTCCTAATGGCGCGGAAAAAAGTTGTCGCGCTGGATACTACGAACTGAACAGGATGGATTTGGACACCTTTTTCTTGGTATGTTCGCTTTTCTCCTGCTTGTATTCCTCTTTCATGATATTCTGGGCTTCGTCGCGATTCACGCGTGAGTGGGGGCGACGAGCCTTGGTTGGCTGATGATGAATCGTGGAGATCCAAGAATGATTCGGGCTCCACACGATTGTGTCTGTCAGACGTTTCCTCATCTCTGCCAGCCGGGAGTGCTTCTGCATGCATTCCGGCATACGCACTCAATGATTTTCTGAGAGCAGTTAAACCTTCCTCCACTCCAACATTTGGCGACTGCTTCAAGTGGGAAGACAGGGGGCGATCCTCAAGTACAATCTTGCCTCCAGCGTCTTCAGATGGTGAATGATCGCCCTGTGTTCTAGGGCTTCCACCCCTGCCGACCAACGGCGGCCGCATGGATTCGGCTTCATGCGACAAAACCTCTGCTTCGTGATCTATGTCTCCATCAAAGGATGTCTCAGTTGCCCCTCCATCCCCAGCCCTTGGCGCTACGGTAGCTTTAGATGCTTGCGGGGTCGTTTCACACCTGATCACTGATGATTTTGATGGTTCCCCGTCAGAAGCGTCCGGTTCTCTATCATCACCACCAGCCACCAAGCCCAGTAAACTTGGATAGTCATCCCTCCGGAAGGATCCTGCTCTTCTGGGTCGTGATGGCCGTGTATCTGCCGGATACATTGGTTCTTCACTGCTGTGACGGGGCTCTAAATCGTCGTCCTCACTTTCTGACACTCCCGTATGCCCATACATTTGCGCGAATAAAAGCGATCCAGGTGTGGGTGTTACGGCTCCCAAGTCAAATCCTTCTTCCGATTCCGAGGATGAGGATGAGCTATCCAGAGAATGGACATCATCATCCATGTCGGAATCCTCCACCATATCAGATCCACTGTCCTTTGAGGTACCCATCCATACGCGCTTAACAAAGTTGTCTTCAAGATATTCCTCCGGTTCCGGTATCCATACTACACGAGGTCGCATCTCTTGCATTCGCCTAATGCGTTCGGGCAAAGGGAGCGTGGTGCAGAACATTTCTTTCCAGTCGAAGGACAACGTAAGAGTATTTCTATTGACGGCAAGCGAGGGGAGGCGGACTTGTCGGTAGTATCGGCATTTAATGAGGACGATGACTTGAACCTCCATCTCTAACTTCTCCAGGATAAGATCATGCTCTTCGTCTCGTGCTGGAACATAATGCGCAATTTCGGGCACTCTTGAAAATGCAGATCGAGAATGCAAGTTCAGAAAGGTGAATTTTTGGCCTCGATGGTGATCTGGCTGGACTGGAGTAGGGTTCACAGGGAGATCGGCGGTACTTGGTGGGGGCGTGTAATAATCCGGATTAGGGATATAGAATACCCAACTTTCTGCTCTGCGAATGTAAATCCGTGTTTGCGGTAGATAGACACGAGGGGCGAGCACTCGGAGAAGATACGAGTCGAAGTTCTTGCACACAAGACGCAGGGGCCAAGCATCCCAGGGTTCCAGTTCTGAAAGAATATTCGTAAGCACCTCATTGGGGAGTATCTGGCGGTCAGAAGCGAAGGAAAACGCAGAGGAAATAGTGCGACTAATCATCGATTCTGCCATGAATGGTGCAGCAGACAAGCCCGATTTTGTAGTAGTCGGTTCCGACGGCACCGAGTTTTAACACCGAGAGCCCGGCACCGAACATAGCTCGATCCTTACGTAATCAAAATTTCATTGTCCCTTCGTTCGACTCCGTTGCATGCCCGCCCAATTATGCCCGTCACACCTCCTATCAACCTGCCCAGGTGGATATCCGAGAATGTCGATCTTCTCAAGCCTCCCGTCAACAATTTTTGCCTGTATTCTGGGACCGATTTCATCGTGATGGCTGTGGGTGGCCCAAATGAACGATCAGATTACCACATCAATGAGACAGAGGTTTGTACGGCTGGCAGCCTCGGTCTGACACATTGGTAATATTCATTTTAGGAATGGTTTTACCAGTATAAAGGCAATATGCTTCTACGGCTGGTTGATAGTGAAGAGTTCCTCGACCTACCTATTAAAGAGGGAGAAATGTTTTTGCTTCCACGTAAGAAAATTGAGCCCATATTCTTGCCTAGCGCTTGTTGATGTATGTTATGCGCGCAAACCCATAGCTAACACTCCACATAATCCAGTCAGGTTTCCCGATACCATAGGGATCGTTGTTGAGAGAAAAAGAGCACCTGAAAACATAGATCGACTTCGATGGTACTGCAGAGAGGAGGCAACTCTATGCAAGAATAAGCCCACCATCATCTGGGAGGAGGCATTCCACGTCACGGATCTTGGCACCCAGCTCAAGCCAATCATACAAAATTGGATTGACAATGAGACCGTTCGCAAGTGTCCAGCGTGTGGAACTGTAGCGAAGCCGATGTAAGATACCTGCCAATGTACAAACCCAAACCTGTAGCAATACTTGTTGTGTCCAACTAATGTATATACATCCTGTTAGGAGTGTGCCAATATGCTAAACTAAAACAGACCCGCTAGATCCGCAAATGGGTCCATGTTTTTCGGAGGGTTCGCTGCTGACGTCGCAGGCGCGAAATATTGCTGGGGAGAAGAGGATGGCAACGTCCTCAATGGGCCATTGCTAGCTCCCAACGCAATGCCACCGCCACCCGGCACAATCCCAGAATCGAGCGGGCTACCCGAAGATGAAGGGCCTGACTGTAGCGAGGACGGAGAAGGGACCAGAGGTGCTCCAGGTGGAGGATTCGTTTGAGGTGTAGTCTCGAATAAGGAGAGAAAGTCTCCAGAATTCGTGCTCACGGCCGAAGGTGCCGGTGCATCTATTCCAAATTCAAGGTCAATCAGATTTTGTTTTGTGCTAAATTAGCGAAGTGTTAGTATCATTGATAGGCAGAAGATATGAATCAGATATACCTCTGTTGCGCCGACGCCTTGAGAGGGGAGGGGTCCGTAAAATCCCCTTTTTGATATTTTTCATATCTCGATAAGACGCTGTTGATCAGATCATTCATGGAGAGGAAAGTATCTGCGAAACGAGACAGTAAGTTTCTCCATAGGTAAAACATGAAACCACGTTAGGGGACCTAATGACTCGGGATCGTCGGTTTCAGCATCAGAAATCCACTTCTGGATTTTTGGTCGCGCGTTGCGGCATATCAAGGCAACTTGCTATAAGATATCGTTGAATTCTTGGAAAATCTGGAGGATGGATGAAGTACATACATCATACGCATCCCCGGACACCATGCGCTCCGGTCGTGCAGGATCCAAATTGTCCAGCATATCATTGAGAAGCATAACGTGCGATTTCAGTTTCTCAAGTTCATGGAGTGTTTTTGAACGATAGTCGGGTTTAGAGTCGGGGTCCTTACGGGAAAGTTGAGGGGAGGGAAGCCGACACTAGGGAAAAAGATATACTTACCGCGCCCGCCATAATCTTCATCAGTTCCTGCGCAGCAGCAAGATCCTTCGGTGCTCCCCTTCGAATGAGCTCCTGCAGTTTCTGCGTACGGGAGAGGGCTAGTCAGGCAAAGACCGCAGATGGAAGAGTTGGACTTACAGCGGCGTGGGCTTCCCGATCCTCTTTTTCCAGTTCCTCCGGTGATTTGAGATTCTGTTCAGCCATTTAGCTATGATAAGCTGTTCTAACAAGAGAACGTACTACGGTGGCATCCTGAGGATTAAAGTTTCCATTTCGGCTGGCCTCTCGAAACCGATATCCTAGGAAATAGAAACCGAACACCTATCAAGACATATTAAACATAATCAAGGAATCCACATAGTCATACCCTTGAAGCTTAATAGGCGATGCATATCTCTGATGTTTCCAAAGTCTTCTTTGAATCGGCTGTCTTTGCAAATACTCTCCTTCCATGAGTGTATCAAGTCCAAGATACGAGACATAATCGGGCCCGGAAATGGCGGTGGGCGCTCAGGAAACCGTCTCACAAGTTCGTTCAAGAATTCCTTAGTCGAAATCTGAAGATGAAACGGGTACCCACACTGCTGCATGAGGGTTTGCAGGAGAGAAATGGCAAGGATTGAAATGTGGGGGTTTCGGTGGTTGACCAACCGAACGACGGCCATCGCTGCCTCTCTTGGTGTGTTTGCCTTCTTCGTGTTGAGGTACTCAGCAAGTTCGAGATTTAAAGCATAGTTAGGCTCGGGAAGAGAGGGGTCGCATGCACGATAGACGTACACCTCAACGGGTGACGCGGACCACGAGTTGCCAAGCATTGTGTAAAGCTTTGAAGGACTGTAAACGTGATCGGATCAGAATCAATTCATTCGAATCGCACAAGTTGAAGCTGTGACTTGACGGCCGCACGTCTCCGCGCATCTTGCCCACTTACACCTAACCATAGGATTTATGCGCCCCTTAAACCCATGGATGCTCCACCCTAGGATGACTCAGCACACTGTCACCCACCCATCGTGGTTGCGGTCGCCGGTAATCCTGCACGACTTGTATATCTGGATTGATAGGAAATATGGAGCTACTTGCTGCTCACATTCGTCTCGATATTCCGAAGTCACAGAACCATCGAACTCCGCGGCGGCAAAGAGGATGGGTTGGCACCCGAAGCCGCTGATTCCTCTACTGCGAGCAGCTTTCACCGGGATATGTGACGCTCCCTGGAGACCCTCCATGGATTCGACTATCAATCCGAGGTCTATATGGTAACACTATGTGACCTCGCATTCCGCCCTGCCCAATGTTCCGAGGGTTGCATCACAATTTGAACAAGCCTCACGGTGCTCGGAAAACTGAAGCCGTTTCAAGGAAAATCGGGGCTCTCGTTAGGTGTCGGCCGACACTTCTATTGTTACATGGACATCATGTCCCTGGCTCTTCAAGCAAATGTGCCCGGACCTTACGTTCATGTTCTATGCATACAAAAAAGCATTCCTGAGATTCAAGATTTCAGTTCCAGGGTGGAACGAGCACATGGTCCTCAAGCTCCAAAATACCTCTGCCTTCATCATTCAACAGTGTTTTGATTCCAAATTATTTTTAATGTAACACTCAAATTAACTGTTCTTTGCTAAGCGAAGCGTTTTTGAGGACCTGAAAGTGAGCGTTGACTCATTTGGCGTCCATTCTAGGCATTCCTATAGATCGACATTCACGCGATGAGCTTGCGAATGTGATTCGTGAGTTGGATGCATTCGTGGGCCTCGCGTACGAGATGAATTTGTTCCTCTCTGGCGAACAGCTTTTGCACCTGGATTCGTTTTCTAACATTCAGGTGGATCTTCTCTAGCAAGGCTGCGCCTCTTTTCCCAATGCTGTTCTTTCCCTCATCTCCCACCTGCATTCCATCACCGGCCCAGCTGTATCTGGAAACCTTCCATAAGGACCCTTGGGTAACGTCATTTATTCTCGCCGACACATCGAGCTGGCCGATGCGGTGTTCTCTCGTATAGGCGTGTCACGATTGGGTTACGTTCAGTTGGGGACCGCGGAAATACCGGAGGTTGCAACAGAAAGGCGTATAGTATGGTCCTTTGCACCAAGGTTAGGAAGCGGGCTGCGATCGGCCCGCAACAGCGTAGCGTGAATTAATGTTTGCAGCGCCTGCCCATTGGGCCGGAAGATACGCCAAGTGCACCGATAAGACAAGAATATTTTTGCCTCGTCGTTACCATGAGCAGTCGTTTGGGTCATTAACATGAGATTCTCGTAGTATAAAGCAAATGTCGTGGGTTGTCTCAAATAGATATGCACAAGGAAAATCAATCTCATGAAATCGAGGCTGCCTAGGTCAGAGCGGCGCAAAAGATTAAGTAAAACTACTTGCCACACATTCAGCCGAGTATGCAAGTAGACGTCCGGTGCAAGAGCACTTATCACCGGAATGCTGCTGTGAGATGCATCCTGGACTGCTCCGGGCAATGCTGGCCCACAAAGGATGCGCAGAACCAGACAGGGGGGTCTAGGCTGAGCTGACATGGAATGAAGTCATGATTGATGCATATCTTTAATCACGAATCGTGTGTTGACAGTAAAGTCATTGCATCATTGGCCAGGCCCCCAACCGGGTCTATATCTCATCCTCCCCAGGCTCGCTCTCATCTTCCGCCTCGTCGCCCGATACTTGAGTATTTTCCTTCGTGGCACGGGCCATGAGGGCAGCAAGTTCCATGTCGTCAGTCTCTGATACTGCCTTTGGCTGAAGAACACAAAGTTTGAGAAATGGTGAAGGTAGTTAGTTGATCCGCAGGCTCACCTTCATCTTAACGTTGAGTTCTCCCCCTTCAGATGTTATCGATTGGTTGATGGCTTGAATGGCAGCTTCCAGCGTTTCGACACCGGCATGCTGTTAAGAGTGTTAGACACGAATGTGCGCCACGCTGTGCAACACCACCACCACATGCCTTGTCGGTTGCGTTTGTATCCAGGACGTAGAATGGAGGTGCAACTAATTTGGCTGTAATCGGTACAGCGGGCGTGCTTGCGGCTTCACCCGCAATTAATGCTCGTTTTATCGCATCGATTCCAGCAGGCCTAAAACATGTCAGCTCAATATCTGCCCGCAATTTGATTGGCTGAGGGGTGAGACGCCGGGCGACAGTTGCCATCAGAAGCTTGGTGATTCCCGGGGATAAGTTCAATTCCTGAAACACTTCGTCCGGTTCGCTACATTTAATGAAGATGAGCACAACGATGGGTACCAGGCGGTGGAAAATACGGACGTAAGGGCAAGTTTGAACGCATCGTGTGGATGACCGTATTTCCGACTGAGAGGCCAGGCAATTTTTTCGTACAACATCTCCATAATTTCTTCGCCACTCCCATGACCAACATCCAAGATACCACCGATAAGATCTTCATCTTCATGGTCTTCTACATCGTTTTCAGGCGCTGACTGAGGAGCGGATATGCTCGACGACGCCGATGGGAGTTTGGATGCGACGTGACGGAGAATGGAAGCCACGGTTTTAGACTTCATATATCGGTCTTCGCACTTAGTTATGTCTTCGGGAGATACTCGCCGTTTTGAAAGGTCAATGTACCCTGATTACAAGTAAGAGAGCGATAAGGGATCGAGGTACAAATGTACACCACCTTTTTCCTTGTCAACACGCAATACAACAACAACTTCATTACGTCCCACTCTAATAAGCTTCTGGATACTCCTTATGCGCCTCCTGGAAAGCTCGGAGAGAAGGATCATCCCTTCGACGTTATCATATTCAAGCTTTTCGTGATCAGCCCTGTTCTTGTTATATGAAGGCAGAACCGCCGTACCAGCTTCACATATGCACCCATTTCAGCAATCTGCCGCACCTGGACCATGACAAGCTCCTCCACTTCTGGATACTTTGGTTCATAATACCTCATCCTGGTAAACCGAGAAACGTAGATGTGACACGACAGCCACAAGTACAGCAGTCCTGCACGTGCATCATGTGATCAGAACTGCCGATTTGAAAAAGTCCAAAAACGCTTGCATGATTATCCTCATGAATACTAGCTGAGCTTCCTGGCATCGGGTGAGGTGATGGCATGAACTTGCTCAGAGAACGAATTCTGTCGAGGCAAAAATATATGACCTCCGTGTGACTTGAACACACAACCTTCGGATGAACCAAATGATTTTCCAAATTTGGAATCCGACGCGCTACCAATTACGCTAGGAAGTCAACCGGCCAAAGAGTCCGAGTCTTCTGAATGTGAGCTTTTATAAGTGTCATTATTCAATCCTGTAGTCAATTCAGGCAGCCTCTGTCGTCACTAGAGTACGGCCACTCGCAATGCCTCGCATAATGCTGCACAGCGTTCTGCGCGCGGTTTAGGTTGCCACTATCACTACAGAGAGAGATATGCATAGCACCGCAATGAGGGGATCGCCCCTAGACAGTTGTCACACTTTTAACTCGCCTACGCCGCCGCGGGGTAATAAGACAGATCTACCACGGCCCCATACAATACATGCAACGATTGGGGAAGCCGCACTGCCACCACCATAGAATATACGATCATGTGATGGAACATAGACGACAGCACGTGCCTCGCGACACGCTTGCACTCGCACGTCCGTGCATTTACGTACATGAAATGTATTACAATGGAAATAAACCACGCAAGCGCTGGATAAGAATTTACTTGAATTGTTTGGACATTTCTCACGACAATCCAGAACATTCCGGCAGGTTGCGGTGATCGGAGATTGCGCAGATTAACTAGGCGGGCTGTCCCTTCAGCCCACAGATATTCATGCCGAGGGTGGTGGTGAAGGGCTCGCGTACGATTGCCGTGGGGTCGATGATGATGATGTTGTTGTTGTTGTTGATATCATATTTGTTACCCCGCGGTCGCGTTAGCACGTGACAGAGCGGCATATCCCAATTACATCTGTACATCAGGGGACTTTCACAACGTGGGGTTAGTAGGGTCGGGGTGACGGTGTCCTCTGGGGTCTGGTTTCGGGTTGATTTGGTTCGTCTGTGGATGGGGTTACTCCCCGGGCTCAGTGCTGTCACGATGGGTGGTTTTCTTGAAAGTTTCGGTCGATGGGAACCGAGGTACGATCGGCAAGTCTGGGTCTCTTATCGATGGCGTGTGACTTCTTTAGGTACTTTGCCAGCCTGAGGATTCCTTTCGGTCTCCCCATCAGCACCATGGGTCTGGTTTGCCGTCCGCTGCCCAGCAGGTGTCGAAACTTCCTGAGTTGCAGGCAGTTTTGTAGGACGTGAGTTCGTGTCTGGACCGCTGCGCCGCACTGGCATTCTTGGCTCTCTGTATGAATGCCGAAGCGCTGGTAGTATTCCCCAATGTGCGCGTGTCCGGTGCGAAACTGGATTAGTCTGCTGAAGGTTTTCCGGTCTAGTGACTTAAACGTGGCCCGGACACCAACTTCCAGGTCCTCCTTTTCCTCAAGCAGCCCACCTATCGTGTTCCTGAAGGCCCACGAGTGTTCTTGTGCCTTCCCGGGTTTCCCCTGGAAGATGCGTTTCACCGCACTGGCGTTGTCTGAGTATAGGACGATGTTCGAGGGGCTGTTCGGGTTGTTCTCTAGGTAGCGTTTGGTTAGTTCGGCTGCTGTGCGTAGGGGTCGATGATGTCAGTGGGCTTAAGGAGCGCGGGATTGGCGGATTGGACGAAGTCGGATTCGCGCAGCTCAACGTCAACATCCTGTATGCCGTAGCTGAGTAGAGTAAACGCCAATCCATAGGATAAGGTTTCCGTCAGGCTCGCCGACGTCGGCAATTCGGACAATCTCGGTACTTGACCAGTTGACTTGATTCTGGTCGAGGATGCTGTGCACCTTGAGGGCAAGGTTATCCTCCCAGACGTCGAAGAGCTTGTGTTCTCCTAGGCTACGAGGCTCCTTAGCCCTGGGGTATGCCTCCAGGCCGGAGGGCGGGTCCCACGGCCCGCTTGTGCGAGCAATCAACCAGGGGTTGGAATGCAGGGCCTCGAGTTTGGAGACACGGGGCGGAGGCGAAGGAGCAAGGTTATGACCAGTCATGTCGGTCATGAGCTGCCACTGAGCTTGGTAGGGTCGGAGGGAGTGATGGAAGATGCTGTGCATACGAATGTGGAGATTAGCGATGGTGCACAAGAATGAGATACATCGCATAAATGAAGGGGAAAACTCAGACTCACCTCAGTCCGCTATGCGTGAACTGAGGAAAAGTCGTAAGGTCCAAAAAGTCCTGTTTTATAGTCAGGCGCTAACTAACTTTAGCAGCAACTGACCCAAAAAGGGTAAACAAGGTAAATCTTAGCGCCGCAAGACTCCACACAATTATGTGATGCCATGATTGACACGTTTTTTGACACACAACCACCACCACCACCACCGCCTCGATATCATAGTCCTCGCTTTATTCCCATCACTATATTCGCGCTATATTTACACTTTAGCCTCACTATTATCACCGTCTACTATTAAGTCACGTTGCCTCCGCAGTCAACAACAACTAAGCGCTCAACAGCGTAACCTAGCATGTCCGACCCAACTTTGATGTCTAGCTTGACCCAAATGGAGTCCGATGTCACTACCGGTTCCCCACTGCGAGTCTGGCCAATACAGATGATGAATCTACTGCGATCTTGGCTACGGAACTTCATTTGGAACAAGGTTGCGAATTGCTCGTTCGTGGACTGCCTAATACTTCCCATGCGTCAGCCTCTCGTCACCTACAGAAACTCCTTGAAGGCTTCATAGCTGAAGACCCATCCTTAATAAAAGTTACTGCCGCACCTTCTGGCACCAACCTTACTAACGCCGTTGACTATGCTTACGTCAGATTGGCCCAGTACGCTCTTCCTGTCCATGCAGTTCTGGGAAAGTACATCAAACTTTTGTCTGACGGAGGCTGCGAGACGGTGTGGAGCCCATGCGGTGACAGTGACGATCTAAGGATGGTAGATGTCATCTACAGCAACGATAAAGATGTTCGCCCGCCAAAAACTTGGGAGAATCAAGTACTCCAGTGCATTCGGGCCAAGGGTATGAAGGTAATGGTGCCGTAGTCGTGGGGCGGAGCATATTGCATTGGGAAAGGTTGCTCATGTGGAAATGCTAGTGAAGGAAGGACTGACTATAGGGGGTCACCTTTATGACGTCGTCAAGAAGGAGTGCATTGAGCCGCAGGGATCTTATGCGCTGGCGATCAAAGGAGTATCCAAATACCCCACCCTTCGCAATCATTTCGACAAAGCCTTGCGTCGTCGTTTCGGGACGGATTTCCTAGGCTCCCACTTGGGCCTCGAGAGCAAAGATGTCTATGTGTTTTACCTATCAAACTGGGCTCTTACCGCTGAGCTTCTTAACCAACCGGCCTTCCTTATCAATGCGCTCAATCTATCCACAGTCCCCAAAATATCGCTTATTAAACTCCTTTACGAGTTCAACAAATCCAACCTCTTTATCAGGAACTCCGACATGGTTGGATCGGTCCTTTCCGATGCTCGTATTTCGAAGTTTAGCGATGACGTCATCCAGCTTGCAGAGACTGTGAAGGAAACTCGCGAGGATACCCGTAACACCGTTAAGGCCCTAGCTGAGCGTATGTTGTCACAGGACCGTTCAATTGCTATGCTGGAATCAACGGTGGCTGAGAATACCAAATTAACCAGATCTTGGCAACCTCTTGTCTTGGCCTTACCCTCACAGTTGGCGAGCAGTCCCAAGCAACCCGAATTCTGGAGGATATGGAGTTCCTGCACACGCAATGGGCTGCCGCAACTGACTTATTGGCTAAGAAGGAGATTGAGCAAGAACTAAATGCGCTGAAGGAGAAGAGAAGGAGAGTTAATGACGAAATCGCCCAAAAGAATGAGGACAACGCTGCCATTCTCAACTCCGCTCTCAGTGCTATGGTCCCGCACACTGATGTTTCAGCCTCGTCATCTTCCTCTCGTATACCAGCTCCTGATTCTGATGCCTCCTTGAATGGTCGATCCAGGAAGCGGACACATCCTGCGTTGGAAAGTGAAGGGGACGCTACTTCATTCGCACCTGTTGATGAGGATACCCCAATGGTAAGCCTTCTCTTGCATCTCGGTCACATTATTCACATTCTTGATGGCGTGTTGCTTATGTTAACCAAAATGTCCTCTGCTTTGACGGCTCCTCGAAAATTCCTATCGGGTACCCTTCCTGCAGCTTTGAGTGACTCTGCACTCATTCCTATTGAGGGAGACCCTGGGGGGACGAGGGTAAAGCGGAGTCTTTTTAAAAATCTTGCAGAACCAGTGTCCTTTTCCCATGTTGTATCCTGTCCCAATCCTTTCTCTGATTCGTTTTCTGGCTTGTTGTTTGCAACACGTCCCGTGCGTTTTTCTTCCACTTTTTGCGGCTTGAATAGGGGCTGCCATTTTCTATTTTGGGCTTTGGGGGTTTTTTGTTCCGCTTGTTGGGGCCATGCCGCTTGGGGGTTTCAGTGTGCTCTCTGCAAACCTTAATGGTTCCGGAAATGCATATAAATTGTCTCTAGCCTCTTTGGCTGTACAGACACACCGCCTAGCGCTTTTGTTGTGAATGAAACTAAGTCTACTGACCCTTGTGCACACTTGCTGGCGTCCTTGCTCCGATTCCCACGCCTGAGCGCCAATCGGCCAATGACACTTCGCATTGACAGCATGACGCTTATGAATTCGATACTGTGGGCGTAACTTCACTCTCGGACGCAAGCTTCTCTGCATCTGGAATGGTGTCTGCTGCTGCACCGGAGCAGCTAGTGCTTGTGCATAATTTAATGAGACAATAGGGGATGCGACATCAACGTATCGCGAATAGATAGGGGCAGTCATTACCAAATCCCTATGGATCAACAAGCGTTTATCACACACTCATCTACGAATGCTCCACTGATGTCGGCCAATGGCCTCAACGCTCGAAGATTGCCACACCTGACAGCAACGGTATCTATACTGATGGCACCTCCAGGACCCTAACAGATCGAGGTTCGGGGGTGGAAACTAATTCTTGGGAGTGCCACAAAAAGCAATGTAAGAACGGATAACCGTATAAATGAGTAAGGTCAAAGTGTCACCGTGCCAGATAGCGAATTATCCCAGTAGCATATTTTGCACTGCCAATCGTGCATCATCTTGTCTAATAATTGCCATTTCTGGATTTCCTGTGAACATCTTGATACATTTCTCTTGCAGCTTCGACGAAGAGGCTGCGTGAACGACCAGCCTTGCCGAGACCTCACCCTGAATTGCAATCACTCAATATCGCTGAAAACGTAGATTATCTCTGATACTCGCCAGTTCGACAAGGCATGCAATTACAATCAGCCTATATGGGTAGCGATAAGTCTCCACCTGGAATAAAGGTAGTCACTGACCATATGATGATCCAAGTGATCTTGTCCATTGCACCGGTGTTAAGGTGTTCGTGGATCAAATCCAGCTTGTGATGCTTGAGCATTTTCCCGTCAGGTTCATAAGGGAGACATACCAGATCCGAAGCAACGGCCAAGCGATCGTTTAGCACTTGCGCTCTTGAAGTAATTTCAAAGTAGTCCCGACAGGCATCATAAAGGTCCTTCAAGCTAGCCTCGCTCCAAAACAATTCCGGAGTGTCGAGGACATTGGATACTAAATTCACATCTCTTCTCAGCCTGAATAATTTTCCTGTCAACTTTAGGGCATCAGCCCTTCGCAGTTGCAGCGATCCTGTGGTCGCAAGTCGACGAGGTATCGCCACTGTCTGAGGATCCAGCAACACGGTTTGGGCTGTTGTCTCATAATGAGCCAGAAGCGTGGATTGGGCCAGAGCGTGTGCCAAAGAAAGGGTGAGAAGGTGAGAAGGGGTTTTAAAGGCTGTGGAATGTCAATCTATCGAAGAACCGGTGGTAGTTGTAGTGACTCACTCACTGAAGAAGTCGTTATAGATTCGGGGATATTGCACGGCTGCATCGTACTGAAAATGCGTCCATGGGTATCATGACACTGGCTATTGCTGCGGACACTGACCATGTAATGGTGTTGCTCGATCTCCCAATCGACCTCTGGCCGCAAACGAATACATAATTCCGCCTTGGCAAGGTGATAGATGAACAATAGTCCAGATATAAAGCAAAATTTCTCACCTGTCGCACATCCTCTAAGATTTCATGCTCCTGTTGCTCGTGGAAGCCAAGGAATACTGCGACTCCGTAATCGAATATAACTACTTCCCCGATGCTCTGTTCGAGGTTGAGAGTTGCCTTGTCCTTCCTACTTCTCGCTTCTGACGGGATCCCAGGAACACGGGCTACAACGGCAGGAGATGATTCTGGCTCCGTCGAGGCTGAGTCTTGCTCTGCATCAGTGTCACTGTCCAAATAGTCTCTGTCCCGATTCGGAGAAGATGAAATATAGCCGTCTTGGTGGACGAATCCCGCGTTAATTGGGGACGGAGGGGTGGTAAAGTACGAGCCATCATAGCCGTATTCTTCGGCCTGCGACATCCCAAAGAGAATATTTCTGGTCCCAGGGGACTTGGATGGAGCGGAGGACCGTACGTTGACGTTTGGGGCGTAACCAGGGAGGAGAGGAAGGTGGTAAGCCTCAAATGCGGTATCAGCCATATAAACCAAATGGTCGCGGTGATATGATTCACCGCATAAATCGCCTCATCGAATACACGGGGACTAACGCCATGTTCGCGTTTGAGGAACGCTGCGAGGGCCTTTGAACGGAAACCCTCTGCGATACAGTATGCCGTTAGACGAGGATAACCCTGTTGCTCCCTTTCTTCTGTACTCATGCGCTCGGCTTCGCTTCTGTGATGGGGAACGTCGGTCAGTGGGCCGGTCTGGGGCTCCAGTGGCAATTCCACGAGTTTCTGTGACACTTTGGATGTTCGTTGGACTTTTGGCCCAACTCTCAACCCTATTACGGATGTCAGACACAAAATTGCCAAGACGATTATTAAATGGCAGTGCCCTTCGACAACGAATTCCGGCGCTGCAGCCTGTTGACGGATTCTGGTATTGAAGGTAATGCTGGACCGCGCAGTGCTCTGGACAGAAAGTTCAGAGATAACACACGCCATTGATCCATTGATCCATACTTTGCAAGTCCTGGCATCGGTGCAGTGGCGCGATGCGAAGGCGGAGGACGAGATGCCATGTCGAGTGACAAAGTATTGTGGGTTGTTTATGTCGAGGCGAAGTCAGTCTCTCGCTCACAACGCGCTCTCAGCACTGTCGAGCGCGCTCCGAGATACAAAGGACTACAGGACACCAGGATATATTTATAATACAGCACAAGGATATTAAGCACACGCGAAAAAGCGCGTTACGCACACCATGGCGCCAAGATTGGAGGCATTAGTTGACGGGATACCGGGGATCTTCATGCAGTGCCAAAACTCATTGGCTACACACAGAAAGAACATAATACATCTAGCCAAGATACATTCCAGCACTTCTGATATTTGGGAGGATGCTCCGCCTCGTGGAATCAAGTTGACTGGGGAGAAGGCGTTTAATGACCAGTTCCTCAACATGGTCAATCGGATATTACCTATTAAGAAGGGGATATCTAATGCTGATCGAGTAGTGAAGCTTATCGGGGCGTTCATTATGCACATATCCCAGAAAGGTTTGACACTCTTTCCCGGTACTTGTCTCCCAGCGTGACCAGTTGGATGCAGCTGCCGAGGAGAAAGAACGCCAACACGAGGAGAACCCCGACGATGAAGATGATGAGGATACACCGAGTTCTCGTCTAGTTGCCGTCTTGCTGAAGCATCTTATGAAAGGCTTCCATGCTAAGGACAGAGTTGTTCGATATCGGGTTATGCAGATCGTTGCAGAACTAATTTTCTCCCTCGGAGAAATGGAGTAGGTTGGCAGGCGTCTTGTTCTCCGTTAACTCGCTCACCGTAGCCTGGTAGCGAAGACCTTTATACCATGCTTCGTGCCTCACTACTGGAACGTGCTCGAGACAAGGACTCCAATGTGCGTCTCCAAGCTGTCATTGCTCTCGCAAGACTCCAGAGGGGAGAAGAGGGCTCCGGGGATGTTCCCGATGACCAGGAGAATCTCACGGATTTCCTCATTGGGGTTCTGCAGTACGATTCGATGCCGTACGCACAGGCCCGTTGTCCCGAAGATGGCTTTGACACAAATCCGTTTACAGAGAAATTCGGCGCGCTGCGTTGGTAAATCTGATGCCAACACCTTCAAGTCTCCCTGCTATTTTAGCTCGCACACGCGATGTTGATGCCACTTTGCGCAAAATTGTTTATCATCATGTTTTGGCTGAATTGCCGTCCCCTCTTGTTCTCACAATCGCTCAGCGAGAGCAAGTTTGTCAAAATGGGCTAGGTGACCGCGATCCAGCAGTCCGCGCAGCAGCGGGGAACATGATCGGAGGCTGGGTAGAAAGTGTCAGAGGATTGGAAGGCGTGCGTTCGTTTTTTTTGCAATATTAGATTACCACAGATCTTTCCCATTGCAGTTTCTCAAAATGCTCGACATCACCACCTCCAAGGTTGCAGAGGATGCGTTATTTTCTGTGTTTGTTACTAGACCCGATATATTCGAATCAGTCGAGTTTCCGGACTCGTTCTGGTCTGATCTAACTCCTGAGAGAGCATTTCTTGCTCGTGGCTTCGTAGACTACTGCAAATCCAACAAAGTGCGTCTCGTCATGGTATATGTGCTTGGGACTCTCTGATCCAGGATCTGGCAGGATGAAACTAGCCTGGAGAATGCCCTGCCCGTCGTCACTGCCCTGGCTTTTCGAATACAGCATGAGTATAACGCATTGACGACATTAGTGGGGCCTGACGCTGGGATTAATGACGAGGATGAGCTCGAAATGGCCAGGGGAGACAAAGAATTCATAGTGGCCGAGCTGTTGAAGCTTGCAGTGAATTTAGATTATGCCGATGAGACTGGGAGGCGCAAAATGTTCGCCCTCGTTCGTAAGTTCTTTCTCCATTGTCGCCTTTCCCTGAATTGATTGATGTATTCACAGGCGATATGGCGTCTGCCGACTCGCTTCCTGAGGGCCTTATCACTCGCTGCTTGGACGTTCTACGAGTGTTGTCTTCCAGCGAGCGAGACCTGTTCCTCATGATAGTTGAGATAGTGCATGAACTGCGAGATACTGTGAAAGGACCGGATGAAACGGTAGGCTCGATGCATCAAATTCCATGATGTGCGCTAAATTGCTCCATAATTGCCTAGATCAGAGACAGGGAAGAAGTGATGGAGGACGGGGAACGAAGTGCCGCGGACGCACATGCAGCCATCAAGGCTTCAGTAAAGGCTATGGAAAAGTTGGATCCCGAGCAACGGGAACAGCTCGAGGATATTAATTTGAGATGCTTGGCACTTTGTATCGCGGCGTTGGAGAGGGTCAACGGAGTATGTCTTCAGGCATGATCCGAGAGGCGGGTACTAAAGGCTCTGCTAGACGCTGGAAGATCACTCAGCCCTCGACGGCCTCCTCACGGACTTCGTGCTCACCGCTATCTACCAGAAACACCCTGTGTGGCGAGAGCGTGGGATGACTCTCCTTGGCCTAATGTGCCTTATTTCAAAGGCATGAACCATTTGGTTACCACAACTGAGTTTCGCCTGATCGTTGTCACTAGCCCATGGCCAAGAAGTCTGCACAGCTATTCCTTGGCCAGGCCCTTCCAGCTGCTGGGCGGAATAGCTCTCACGCTCACAGTGAAATCCAACTTCGCGCGGTGCAGATGCTATTTGATATTGTAATGGTTTTCCACTTTGATGGTTTGGAGCGGGAAGGAGGTCCTCATGATGGGGTAAATGACTCTTTTTCTATTCACCATCGCAGTAACTAAATGAGATATATATTCCAGGAAAGCAAAATACTCAGCGCGTTCGAGGGTGCTCTCCAGGACGAATCATCTTTGGAGGTTCATGCCGCTGCTTGCGAGGGGATGGCGAAGTTAATGCTCTCTGGGATTGTGACAGACGAGAACGTCCTTGCACGCTTGGTGGGATTATACATTGACCCTGCAACTGCAGACAATCAACCTCTCCGCCAATGCCTGAGCTATTTCTTCCCAGTGTACTGTTATTCTTCCCTGAGCAATCAAAAAAGAATACAGAAGGTAAGAGAACTGACAAGTTGATTTTTTCCACGGCTGAGAGGCTGGCAGATATTTGTCAAGGTCATTGAAGCTATGGCCGACTTATACGATGATCTCGAAGAAGACGAGGAGATGGTCTCGCCACTTCACATAGGAACAATGCTTGTCGATTGGACAGATTCAACCAAGACAGTGTACGTATCCCGTACTAAATTTTTGTTTGCGTTTGATTTACACCTCGGACAGGGAATTCAAGGGCAAAGGAGCCGATCCCTCCGTGCATGTAGATGTCGCAATAGACATAGCAAAGGTTCTCTTCAGAAATGATGTAGACAGTTGAGTACATCCTTGACTACCTAGCCGCAGTGACTGACCGCACAACCCTGTTCAGATGTCCGGAAAAAGGTCTATGCACAGTTGTTATCTAAGTTGCATGTCTCAGATACCATTGATGAGGACCGAATACGCAGATTGATGCTGCTCCTAAAGTCTTTACACAGAGTGTGTGAAATCCAGTGCACGAAAGTATTACCGCTAATTTAACTGTCTCAGCGCCGATTCTTGAAGGATACCATAACGCGGAACGCAGTTGCACGTTTCGAAACAGGTCTCGCAAAGAAGTTTGCCCCACTGCTCGAGAGCTTCGATGAGGCTCAATTACGTGAACTTGAAGCACTAAAGGAGCTATTCGAGTTCTTAGACAAACTGACATCGGATGAAGACGTCTCGGACGAAGCAGAGAGAGCGGCGAGGTGCGGTTTCTTACGGGTGGCTGGATGTTATTTAATCGGACTTTCCAGTGAAAGTGGTCGGCGTCGAGCAGGCTCTAAGCCACCCTCCAACGCCGAATCAAAGCAAGCGCAGGGAGATGTAGACGAGGACTCCGTCGAGAGGTCTGAAACAAGCACTCGAAAGTTAATATTGAGGAAGCACGCCAAGTCACAAAGCGTTCCTAATGAAACCGACCAGAGCCACCACAAGGACGAGGAAGAAGCCATCGAAGATGACCTTGTAATCAACTAACATAATGACATACTTTCTCCATTTATCAGAGTTTATTTCCACGTGTATTCACCCCGATTGTACCTTGTCCGGATGTGCATTGGCTTTACGAGTACCTACGTTAGGGGAATGTCCTAATTGCAATATCCGATTGTCAGACAACCAGTTGGGCCGGATCCCATTCCACCACTCTTTGGCGTGCAGTGCCCGCCTGTTTTCAAGCTGCAACACGTGCACCCGAATGAGAGTATTATCAGAGCAGCGCACAACGATGAATTCCCGAGAAGGGATATAGGTAGCATCCCCAGGCTCTGTAAGGGTCCCATCGAGTTCTGAGATAGGCATTTCGTTATCAGTAGGCGAGATGTCCAGGAGATTAAGGGAAACGTTCGTCTCTCGAATTACAGTCTGAAGAGGTCGCTAGCATTGGGGAGCCAAACACTGAGCCTGCATCCGATCACATGGAGGCCATCTTACCTGATGGCTAATGGCACGATGTAGGCGATGCAACATGGACGCGTCCATTGTGCCCCAATTAATCGTGGCGGTCCTTTTAGTCACTAAACGAGCTTTTGATGCCAAAGCGTGATTTTGGGTGATTGGTTGTATATGCTGATAGTCATGTCAGTATCAAGACCCGAGATCAAAGGCATGGAAAGGTGGCACCAAACGGTTGCGAAGCGTGTTCACAAGAAGATGGGCTCCTTCATACGCCAGTAAACTTTCGAGGTCTCGATAATAGGCGTTAGGTGGGATTGCCTAAATCATAGATGGAAACGACTTTAGGTTGTAAAAAATCATATAGCAAAGTCAATTTTACCACCGTTTTCTGAGCCCACATGGGGCCCGAATCAAAGCCGTGTAACGCCACATCTTCCATCTGAAGCACGCTGACACCCGTCAAAGATAACCCATCAGCAATAGCCCTCTGTATTGGTGCAGCACCCCGATACTTCGGTAGCATAGAAGGGTGAACGTTGAGACGTAGGGACGGAACGAAATAATCCAGCACGGAAGTTGGGACTGCGTGGCCAAAGGATGCTGTGATAATGGCATTCGCAGGCGACAAGGACTGGAACTGATGAGGAATCTACAATTAGACGTTAGGAAATGTGTCCAAGAAGTTGATTAAATTTGTCGGCTTGCACACATTCCATTCCTGATGATCCCCGGGGACAAAAGACATGGGAAGGTTAAATTTCTTTGCCACTTGCTTAAGTGGAGCTTTGGAAGATGTCAGAGTTAGGCCATTCGTAACGAAACTCTGCACTTACAGACCGATAAGTCCTTCCCTCTTCTTCCTACGCGCTTGTCTGGCGTAGTGACGACGTGTATGCTCTCCCAGACGTCTGGACGATATTCTTAGCTTCAAGTGCGAATAGAGCCCTATCAGTCCTGTTTACCGCTGGCATCATGAAGTATTTTCAAGTTAAGGCAAGAGAACAAGTCTCGTCCCAGAAATAAGATATTTAGACGAGGTTTGGTGAGGGAGGTTGCGTAAAGTCTGAAAGGGGGAATCATTTGATTCAATTGATATGGCAATTGTGGGAATCATATCATCAGAGTATCGACAAGGAAACTCAGGAGCAACATGAGCAAAGAGGAAATGAGTATAAGAGCAGTACCTCGTCCGCGTACGAAACATATGGTGCAAGTCTAAGCAGTGACGTATCTTGCAGCATTTGCCTTCAAACATTCCAAAACTTCTGCTGTCTTGGAATTATTAGCATCTGGTTGAGATGATAAATGTAGAGCTGTTTTGAATAAGTAGACAAAATCGGCCTGCGCGGCGAGGGGCAATGTCGTTGACGCCAGTCTCTTCTTCGCTAGTTTTTCTTGGAATTGACGAGCAAAATCTTTAGACACCACCTCCGCCCTATCGACAACAGTTGATGGAACACCCGCAAGACTCGCGACGTGCGTGCCAAACGAGGAAGTTGCCACTCCGTTAGTGAGTTTATAAGTAAAGATGAGCTGTACGGCTCATCAGCAAGACATATGAGAATGGGAGCAATAGGTAGGATAGCTTACCCTACGATTGTCTTCATCAACAATCGTGTTCATATGCATGTTGCGAATGTTTACATGGTACTTGTAGTCATCAGTGAGCGATGAATAGTGCGTCGCAAAACATGAGAGTGCAAGCGTGTGCGTCGCAAGCTGGTGTAAAACGGCACCAGCAATAGCCATTCCATCCTAACAACAAATAAGGCAAAGCACTTTCCAGTCGGAAGATACGCTTACATATGTCGAGGTTCCTCGGCCTAATTCATCAAGGATGACGAGAGATCTCGGGGTGGCCTCCCGAAGAATCTTACAACTGACGGAGTAGACTTAGCATATGGGCATTCTAGGTGATAAAACTACTGACCACTCGTCCATCTCAACTTTAAATGTGGAAGAGTTTGAAAACATATTGTCGTATGCACCCATGCGGGTGAGAATGGCATCCACAGGTGATAGGCTAATGGAGTCTTAATCATATCACATGAGTATGGTTATATTACGTACCGAGCTTTACGCGCCGGGACATACATCCCTAGCTGTGCCATGATCTTTGGAGGAAGGTTATATGACATATCTGTAAAAGGGAAAGATACCTACCACACCCATGGCTGTCATTCGCATTGCCTATTATTAAAAAGCCTTAAGGAGGAAAGAAGACATTGAAGATCTCGATAACCCACAGTTGATTTGCCACCTGTGGAGGTTGGAATCATTATCACTTGAAGAAAAGGAGTTTTCTTACACACCCATATTAGGCCCTGTTAACAACATAATACGTTCCGATTTCCCACCCAACCTGATGTCGTTTGGAATGAAGTCATTTTTTAGGGCGATGGAAAGATGTCTGAGCTCTTCGAACTCCAAGAAAGCATGATCAGACTCCACAAACTCCGTCCGACATGATGGTTGCCCCATTGAGGAAGACGATTTTGCGAGGCTGAAGAGGCAGTCAAGCTCTGCCATAACCTTGACTGCCTGTAACCACACGGTTCGCTCATCATCAAACGCAGCATACAAGCGAAGTTTGAAATCAGAGATCACGCTCTTTCTCGTTTCCCGAGCCTCCTTCAGCTGCCTAATCATCGGGACCAACTCAGGAATGATCCAACGGGTAAAATTCTAACCTTCAGGTGAGTATATCGATGGGTAACAACCAGTGCTGACCTACCTTTGTGGAATTACTCTTATTCCAAGTCTTTGGGACTCCTTTGAATGAAGAAGGCGCCTGAACCAAATATATCTCCTGATGAGAGCACGTCAACGTTCCAAGGTTGCAACCCTGACCAGAACAGCTAATTATCTTACCTTCGCACCGACAGCTGAATGCCAGTACGCCAGATCAGGGCTGGAAGGATTATGACTTAGGCTTCTGTGCACTTAGTACCGAGCAAAGCACCGACCAAATATTCTCTCTGAGGGCCTCTAGTTCACCGTCCAGATTGTTTTCCAAAGTATGTATCTCTTCTTGAATCTGATCGTATTCCTGATCTTTCCCTTCGACCGGTACCAAGATATCGACTATCTCTACGAGAGGAACAAGTGGTGAGAGATTTCTGTCCCTCAAGTCCACTACCTATGAACCTACCTTCTTCCGATTCCTTAAAGAGACCCTCGATATGAGAAAGGTATGGCCTTAAGTCTGGCGCAGCTCGTAGTAGACCGGAAATACTGCGAGACTTGAAGCCTTTTGCTAGGTTTTCAAGCTCGGAAAGACCAGCATTGAGCCTGCGGAATGACTGTGTTTACTGTAGATTAAATGACGCATTGACAGGGTATTGTGCCAGGACTTACAGCCAGTACACTGAGGAACTCCTTTGGTTTGCATGAACCAGCATGAATGCGAGAAATCATGCGCTCCAAATCAGGCATTCCCCGAGCCAACGACGTGAAGGTGTCTTCACAAGTAGGATTATCCATGATGTCATCCACAGCGTCCAATCTAGCGGTCATAAGCAAAAGACTAAGATGCTTCATGTTGGTCTCGTACCTCTCATTGATAGCCTTTACATCTTGAAGGGGCATGCAGAGCCAGATTCTGAACAATCGTTTCCCTGGGGGTGCCGCCTCAACATTGAGTTCTCACGCTACACGATGCCTCACAAACGTACCGAAGGGTGTTATGCAGTTTCCCAGCAGCGAGAGCAAGCTCCCCTCTTCGGTGCCTTCGGAGTTGCGAAGAATCTAGGGATGGGCGTCAAACTAAGTACGTTTCTCCACGAAATTGCTTACCTCAACGTGGGCCAAAGTTTGGCCATCTAGAACAAGACCTTTGCCTTTCCGCATAGGATCGTAGATGCAGAAATTTTTCATTGTCAACATCTCCTTATCCAAATTGAGGGTTCGAAGGTACCTGAATTTTTGCGCTGCTGAGCAGTGCACCAAGACATAAGGTCAAAGGGAAACCCCTCACCAAATCATGGCACCCAACGCTTCCATGGGCACACGTTTGTCCGTCATAGCACGGATTGCGTCGGGCAGAGAACCGTTACTATCGTCCATGGAGTCGGGGGACGCTGGAAATATCTCCTGTAGGGCCGCTAAGGTATCCTCATATCCCAACCCTTCTGTGCGTCGTAATGGTGACCAGATGCATGTTCCTGGCAGCAGTGATTTGAGCGACCGAGTGGTACCAACGGACAAATTGCCCTGAGGGCCCGGGTCAGATCGGACGCATGGAAACAACAACACAAACTACCTTTGTGTACAATATCTCCTTCGGGCGAAGTTGTCTGATGACAGTTTCCAGTTTGGTGCCGCATGCATCATCCATAAATTCGCACAAGTTGAATTCACTCGTGGACGCGTCCAAGATACACAAACCGAATTGACGTGAACCATCCTCTTCCTCCTTAGTCGACCATTAACCAGGCCGAAGCGGAGTCATAACAGCCAGTCAACTTACTCGGATTGAAACAAGGTGACCAGCCTGATCGTCCGTCAGCATGTTAGGGTCCACCAATGTCCCATTGGTCAATATCTTCCCCAACTCCCTAAGCAATGTAGCATTGAGATGAATCCGCAAGTGAGCAGGGATTCATTCATACCGACGAACTATTTCTTTCGGTCCGCCTTTCTTCGCCACGCGCATTTCCGCACCAAGCGAGGTCTCAATTTGGTCAACACGGCCTACTTTATAACCCTATTGGGCACCCGTGAGTATCAGGCATGCTGTCAGTCATGGGAAGCCGAGTCACCCTTGCGAGAAACTGCAAGACAATTAGAAAAACGAAAGGAGACTAAAATCGCAGAATCTCTACCTTGGCAGCCCAGAAATCGAAAGACATTTCTGGTACGCCCACCTGTGAAGGCAACACTTCTTTTAATGCTGGGGGTTGTCGGACCACATTACAAGACAAACCATCTTCATCTTTACGCGATCAGTAAGTTTCTACGCAAAGGCAGCATCCATCAGCTTCAAGCCAAGGCGCAGAGAACTCGGTTGCCAGCACTACCAAATCAAATTCAGTGTGCCCAATCTCTGCATCGTTCTCGTACAACCTGAATTTAGTTAGAATCTGAAACAGTCCCCCACATCGTCCCTTACTCGTAGAATTTCCCCTTCCTGGACAGAACCATCAATGATAACCCCTGTGTCTAGCAACTGTACAACTCACTGGAAGAACAACACAGTGTCAAACTGATCCTGCTTGATAGTCCAGAACTAAAAAAAAGTTTAGCTAACGACACCTCTCAGTTTCGCAATTTCATACCTGTTTTTCAAAAGGAGTGAATGATTTCCACGCATCCTTTGGGATGTACAAAGTGCGAGGGTCAAAATTGGGATCATTTGGCCGGTTGCCATCTTTCTATATGGTGAGAATTCTGCGTTAGCACTTTACAAGCCGGAACATCAAGACCTACATCACGCCTGTCCAGCAGGAAGGAGTAGCATTCTTCATTGGATTGTTTTATCGACTTGGCATCAAGAGCACGTTGTTCAGCCGCCGTCAAGAAGTTGTTTGAAGAACCGGTGGATTGCATTGATGGGCGCGGCTGTAATCACAAATCAGCCAGGCTTCATCTGAACGCATCAGACAAACCTTGGGTTCCGGTTTTCTTTTCGACTGGGAAGCCGCCCTACTTTTTTTCCGTGGTTCATCTTCACCAGAAACGATGACGTCGTCATCGGAAAACATGTCATCATCTGAGGTAGCCCGACTCGATGATGTCTTGCTTTTGACGGAGGGCGGCCTTCTCTTGCCAAGGCGATTCAGAATGGGAAGGTCGTCGTCATCAGATAAGATGAAAGCGTCTGAATCAGAGGCCCGCGACGAAGACGCTGGCTTGGTTGATCCTGCCTCCGACTGAGCGATATCAGGGTCTTCTGAAGTCGCCTGAGCAGACGAAGTACGCGCCCGCTTGCCCTCGCGTCCTGGAACAAATCGTGATTCATCCTGGCAGATTCGGCAATTTGAAGTTCCCATACCTTGAGGTTTTTTAAATCCAGTAAGTTTTTCTGCAAAAGCAGTGGCTGACAGAGGTTTCATTTTAGCTTCCTCCTCGGAAGACTCGTCATCATCGACCAATAATTTACGCTTCTTTCGAGACTACACATCCTCCAGTTGATGGGACTCCTAAAACCATAAATATTGGTGCGTACCACCTGAGTGCTAAGCACTACGTCCTGCTCATCCTCATCTTCGCTAATCATCGTGACATTTGGGGTGCTGGTCAAGGGCGTACTACGAGCGTTGTAAGAGCTCGATGAAGTCAATCGTGACGCGTTAGCGGGACTGCTGGAGGAAGTATAATTATTCTTTGTGGATCGTTCTACGGATTTAGAGGGCGGAGTCGCGTTTGGTTTTGCTGCTCTAAATTGGGAAGGCTTCGAAACAACTTCTGGGGCCTTGGCTGGGGAAGGCTTAGGCTTGGAGTCCCCCTGCTGCTTCGAGAAGAATCCATGAAGAGTCTTCTGTTTGAGGGGTGGATCCTTGTCTTTTGGTGGCATGTTGTAACGTCCGCGCCAAATGGATAATGTCGAATTCGAGGTCGAGTTCGCGTTCAACTTAAATTTGATTCCGCTCCAATTCAGTTGCAATTGAACATGACCGCCGCTGCGTTGAGCCATGCTCATTCGTTCTTTATTATTGCGGAAACAAGCTCGCAATGCCACCACTAAGAGGGTCTTGACGCTCGGTTGCTTCCCCGATGCATCAACAGCCTCTGTTTCGCCTCTTCGATTACGAAGACTTGTCCAATCGAGACAGCAAGACAGTGACTTGCGCGTCTTGCTGGACAATCCAACCGCAGCATCCCCATCGTCGTCTGCTGCAATAGCACCAACGGGCCTTTTTATGCACTCCGCCCTTCGGCGGCCATATGATTTCATCTCTTTGACCCACTCTACAATCAGTCGCGCCAGAGCCATAGTAAGACGAATATCCAACGCACGCTCTTCTGGCCTGTCGGAGATGCGAAACGTTGTCAAAAACTTTGATCGACTGAGCGATGTTTTATGTAGCGTGATAGATGTGGCTGAGTTGGTCAGACACACACACCCAGACCCCAAATGGGTTGTTGCGTCCAATGAGGCTTATGAAATGCTTTGCTCGTATATGAATGTGCTCAACACGCATACGGGACTATACGAGGTGAGAAAAAAGTTGATCTCCATTTGCACTGCTCAATCCAGCGCCTGTGCATAGGTGCTCTCAACGGTAGTGCACGACAAAGCGCTATCCTCACATTTTACCTCGGAGGAGAGAGCAGTGGCCACAATATTTCTTCGTGATTTTGAACGTTCCGGAATAGATCTTCCGCCATCACAAAGATCAAGATTTGTAGAACTTTCCGACAAAATTTTGCACATTGGAAGAAAGTTTTTAATCGGGGACGGAAGGGAAAGAGGGGAAGTGAGCATCCCTTTATCGGTTTTGAGCAATACCATCGTCCCACAGGGTCAGCACCACCTTCATAACCTCGGCAAGCGGGCATCTCGCCTTACACGCAATGTCATGGTACGGGGTGGATCTTGGGAGGCGCAGCTAATAATGCGATACTGCGCTGACGCCCGAATACGGAAAGATGTCTATCTAGCTAGCGATCAGGAGAATATATCAGGAATAGAAACGCTTGAATCCCTCTTGCGGGCTCGGCATGAACTTGCCAAACTTGTAGGCAAGAGCAGCTTCGCGGAAATGACTTTGACCGACAAAATGGCAGGATCGCCAGGTGTGTGTGCCATCATCCAAATGTTTTTTGATTTTTGATTCTTATGCATCGCTAACCATTGCTTGTCGCCCCCTTCCTAGATAACGTCCTACGATTCCTCCGTGCACTAGGCCACCACCATCGTCCATCCGCATTAGCTGAAATCATACGACTTCGCGGCGCCAAAGCTACTCCTGATTCCCCATTCCCCACCATCTATCCATGGGATCGCGAGTTCTATGCCAACGCATTGCCGCCCTCCTCTACCGCCTCCTCCCGGCCGCTTCCAATTTCGGTTGGCTCGGTCTTCGGCGGCCTATCTAAATTATTCAACCACCTGTTTGGCCTCTCATTCCGTGTGACAGAGACAGCTGCTGGGGAGGTTTGGCATCCTGACGTCAAGAAGTTGGAGGTTTCAGATGAGGACGCTGGGGTGATTGGTTGGATCTATGTAGACTTATTCGGGAGGGAAGGCAAGCCTCACGGTGCCGCACACTATACAGTGAGGTGCTCGAGACGAGTGGATAATGACGATTGGTTGGGTGACGCTACACACGAAGACCCAACCATGCCTCTCTCGTCGTTGTTGGAGACTGGGCGTGGCAACATTTTGTCCGGTTTGGGTCCACGACCAATCCGTAACAAAGAAGGGTTATATCAACTACCCATAGCTGTGTTGTCATGCGATTTCGCCAAGCCTAGCGTGAAACACGGTCCAACTATGCTTACCTGGACCGAGGTGGAAACATTGTTCCATGAGATGGGTCATGCCGTGCATTGTAAGTAGGCGTATCCTCACCGTGTTCAGTTCGATATTTAGGACAAGCCTTCATTAGCCATGTTGGGACGAACCGAATTCCATAACGTGGCAGGGACACGTTGTGCGACTGACTTCGTCGAGCTGCCGTCTATTCTGATGGAACACTTTCTAGCCTCAGCACCCGTCCAGTCCTTGCTTACAGACAAACCGAATACAACTATCGTCGCACCCTCCAGGTCCCGGGGGCCATTGCCCGCTGTAGACGCGCACGCCCAGATCGTACTCGCCACCTTAGATCAGCTCTACCATTCACCCAAAGCAGGAGAAGAAGCGTTCTCTTCATCACAGGTTCTCGCAGAGCTTCAAGACACCCTTGGTGTTTTCCCGTTCGTACCGGGGACAGCATGGCAGACACAGTTCAGCCACTTGTACGGGTACGGCGCAACCTATTATTCTTACCTGTTCGACCAAGCCATCGCGTCCCGCGTTTGGTCACAGCTCTTCGAGTCTGACCCCCTGAACAGAGAGACGGGCGAGCGCTACAAAAATGAAGTACTTATCCACGGCGGAGGCAAAGAGCCTTGGGAAATGGTCGGGAGCTTACTCCGCGATCCAATGATAGGATCTGGAGGCCACAACGCGATGGAAGCTGTTGGTCGATGGGGAATTGACCATTCCGTTTCTGCGTCCCAGACACACTAATTGATATTCATTGGTTGGGTGAACAGTAATGCAATCCAGTTCATAGACCTCATTATCGGGATAGACACACATATGTAATGTTAATTCGCTCATGGCTGGGAAGTTCATGAATCCCCAAGATGAATGGTGCGGTTTGAGGTGTTTGCTCGATATATAGATGAATGACATAACATGAAGTATATGGCATAATGCGCGGGAGATCGTTGAATCAGATATGACACAGTGCATTGTCGTTAGAGATTGAGGTAGCGGGAGAGGAAGGGTTAAATGCAAAGAATAATGAGTCGTTAGGTCAAACATGGAGGTTGAAAAGCGATAAAAGAAAGCAGAATATAGGGGAGCACGAGGTGTGGTAATTTTGTGGCAACATGTTTAAGGAGCCGAACAAACAACGATACGATAAAGGAGCGAGGTAAGCAATCCAAAGGCATTGGAACTACCAGGGAAGATGGACACGCCAAGTTGAACACGATATCTTTCTACTTGGGGTTCGTGGGTGAAGCATTTCCTCGAGGTCCGCCGCGTCCACGTCCGGGTCCACCACGGAAAGGGCCGTTGGGAGCGCCACGGTTAGGGCGGGAAGGTGGCCTGTCCGCTCGCTCCTTCCTGGTCTCAATCTGAATCCTGGGCACACCGCGAGGATTCTTGATTGATTGTGGGTCGCCTTCGATGATGCGAATACCTCCCTCTCCACCAACATTTGGAGGGAGGGATGTCATAATGGCACGACGCGCAGCCTCCACAGTAGTGAACTCCAGGAAAGCACACCCCTTCGATGCAACAACGTCAAGCTCCTTGATAGGCCCAAAGCGCGAAGTGAGGATTTCTTTCATTAGTGTCAGGTTAATCTTATCATCGACACCCTAAAAATCGATGCAGTCATGAACGAGGGGCGGCCAGAGAAAAACCAACGGGGACGCACCTTGACAAAACACTGAGCACTAGTGATATTATTTGCAACAGTAACCATAGGATGGAGGTTACGTTCGCCGGGCGAGCTGGTGCCTGACGCATTCTGGGACCTTTGGGCGCCTCCAGGCCTTGGAGACTGTGACTGTGGGGGCCTTGGGGGCTGCGCCGGTGTGGGAGGGGGTGGGGTACTGACACCTTTGGAGTCAGGTGCGAGAGTAGCTCCCCAGGAAGCGGGCTTGCTGGCAGCGAGAGTTGCCCATGTCTTCGGGGTAGCAGGCTTTGGCGGGGCCGGTGGTGTTTCCGGAATGGCGGCTGCAGGTACAAGGGGGCCGGGAGGAAAAGCCTCCACAGGTTTCTCAGGAACCGCCGGTGCAGCAGTCTCTAGGGGATTCTGCATAGGCGATGCCACAGGGGGGGAGTAGCGGGAGGTTGAGAGCCTGTGGTAGTCAACTCCGCCGCTCCCGGAGCAGTCTCAGCAGGTTCTGGTGCCTCGGGTTCTGGTTCTGGAGTGGCGGGAGCCTCCACTCCATGATTGCCGTTCACACCATTGACAACAGCATCAGACGGACTAGGAGACGCCTCAACATGGGAAGGTGTAGGAGGCAGTAAGGGCTCAACAGCAGGTTCAACGCGGGTCTGTTGTTGCGAATTGGGATGGAAATTCGCTTCAACAGCAGGTACTGGCTCAGGGATGACCTCTTCTTCGGCAATACCATCGGACACTTGTTCGTCGGCATCCTCGTTCGATTCCTCCCTCAGGAAACGGAAGATGTCATTCAAGACGAAGTACCCGTTGGGCTGCTCTGCGAGGAAGAAAGTCTGGGCGAATTTCTTCCAAGGCTCCCCTTTATTCGACATCTCCCCGATGACTTGGATGATGATACCATTGTTCGCCGAGGATTGTGCGTCGACAGAATGGATGAAGACCTTGCAGTCCTGGAAACCGATAGACAAGATCTTCTCGTGGATTTCATGCTGACCATAACAAGGTTTCCCATCTTCACCCTCGGTGCCGTGGATGAAGGTAGAATTCTTGGTATAGAAGCAATGAAGCCGGCTCGGTTGCTTGTTGACAAAGGTGTAATACTGTGGTACAAATTGCCAGCCCACCTCCGACGGGATGACTTTGGCTGGGTTAGCGGTCATTATAAGCTGCGGATCAGGCCATTTAGCAGGTTCCCATCGTACAGGCAAGCGCGCCACCTACTCAGAAGACAATCTAAGGCGAGAGGAAAGCACGGAGGCTTTTTTGCAGAGGCGCGGTAAAATGCCCAAGGCGTTTGAGTTCTGATGTAAGCACGGGTTTTGCCGTCAAGTTGCAACTCGAGCCCACTGCAAGTTCAACGTTGGAGACACAAACAACCTGTTGACGTCCGGTCCGCGTGCCCGTTCAATAGATACAGTTTGTGATACAGGAGTTGGGTACATAGTTACATTAAAGGGTTTTTTTCTCAATGTCGTTGAGTGTAGTGCGTTGTGATTGCGAAGGCGTATCATATCATATATCTTCTTCCATACATAGCGATAGGTTGCATGTCGCATGGGTGCATTTCGTGTAGTTTGAGCTATATTCGCCTTCACCAGGCCGAATTTGATTTGTAAAATTTTTTTGGAAAATAGTGAATGCCCAGCTGTCAATTGCCTGGTCTTTCGCAATGGAACATCACCGCCCTACAAGCGCTCACATCCAAGAGGCTCAACAGGCTAGCAATTGTCGATCGCCTGTGTGATTATATAACACCAGAGCCCTCACAACAATACGAACTTCAGGGTGTGGGGCTGTACTTGACAATATAAGCTGCCACAATCTCGCCTCGAGGACCAAGCTTCTTCCCCACAATCCGTGTTCGTGAACATTCCACAATGGCCACGAGCGAGTCCAAGACCAAAACTGAACAGCAGAATGCACATCCTAGCCGCCGGGTGCGATTCAATGTTGGTGAGTACCGTTCAAAGTCGTCACCAGCGTGGTCGCATAATCGTATCCACCCATTGATCGCAGGTACAAAGTACCAAGTATTGGACGTCGTCGGAGAGGGTGTAAGTTCCTCCTTCATGAGAACGAGACTAAGCGAGCCTCATCTGTCTTCCAGGCTTGTCAGTGTAACGCACCATCATCCCTCTTTCCGTACTGAACTTCCGCAACGAATAGATGGAATAGTGTGCTCTGCTTTACACAAGCCAACAAATCGGAAGGTTGCCATAAAGAAGATTTCGCCATTCGATCACTCCATGTATGGCAGCTTGACGTTCACCTTTCCTTGTTCGGATATTCAAGCGTTGCGCATAGGTTCACATTGAGGACGCTGAGAGAGCTTAAGCTTCTCATTCATCTTTCAGAAACTGGCGTCAGCGAGAACGTAGGAAATTCGTATTCAGCTTCATTGCCAAGCATTTATATATTTCGACGCACGTTAGATTATCACAATTCTGGATATCGTGAAGCCAACCTCCCTCGAATCGTTTAAAGTGAGCCCGATATACGTTCGTGTCACAATTTTTTTCCCACTGATACACGGTCCCCAGGACGTATATCGTAGGTGTCAACCAGAGTTCAACTCCAATCATTGTACCACCGATACCCTTTTCATATAGTCATCCAAGAGTTGATGGAAACAGATCTCCACCGTGTGATACGCACCCAGGATCTCTCGGATGATCATGCGCAGTACTTCGTCTACCAAACCCTCAGGGCTCTCAAGGCTTTGCATTCGTGCGACGTCATTCATCGCGATCTGAAGCCCTCAAATTTGCTCCTAAATAGCAATTGTGACTTGAAGTTGTGTGATTTTGGTTTGGCTCGGTGAATGCATTTCGTCTATTGTGGTCATATTCAATAGCTCATTTCCCCTCAGCTCCGTGAGGACCGCAGCACCTGGAGGAGAAACTGGTTTCATGACAGGTACCCTAACTCGGACCATAATTGTTTTGCCTCCCTATGACATCTCCTCCAGAATACGTGGCGACACGATGGTACAGGCCCCCAGAAGTGATGCTCAACTTTGGGCAATACACTAAAGCGATTGACGTTTGGTCTGCGGGGTGCATCCTCGCGGAGATGATCAGCGGCAAGCCGCTGTTTCCCGGGAAGGATTATCATAATCAGCTAACACTAATCCTGGACGTTCTGTGAGTGAACACGTGGTATTTGCTGCATATAATTTTTCATTCTGAAATTTAACCTCACCAGCGGAACACCAACCCTAGAAGAATTTTATGCGATATCTTCCAGAAGATCTCGAGATTATATAAGGTATGCGACCTGGGCTTTATTCCCGGAGGAACTGCGCAATGCATCTGCCACTTATGCATCACCAGAGCTTTACCGTTCTGTAAGAAGAAATCTTTTGCGACACTTTATCCAACTGCGACGCCGGAGGCTGTCGACTTCTTAACCCGCACATTAGTAAGTCACACTGTGACCGATTGCGCCGCCTCATCACTGGTCCGTCCTGCGCATCGTAGACTTTCGATCCGAAGAAGCGGCTCACAGTTGAGGAAGCTCTAGCTCACCCCTATCTTGAGGCTTATGTGGGTCGTCCTTTTTCCTTTCTATTTGTTCTTTGACCTCTGGCCACAGCACGATCCAGATGACGAACCAGTGGCAGCGCCCTTAGACCCCGAGTTCTTCGAGTTTGATCTCCATCGGGATGCTATTGGCCGGGATCAACTCAAGGAACTGCTCTACCATGAGATTATGGCCTTTAGGCCATTTCCGATCGCGCAGGCTCAGTAGTTCTGGCCATTCTTCTGTTTGGATACCCTGCTTCAGACTGTTATAATATGATGCTGAGCTACCAGTGAACGTATCAACTCTTGATGAGTCCTTGTCGCGATGGCTATTCCACGCGCAATCAACATGCATGGTTTCCCTTACTCCCTCCTATCGATATCAGCCATATTGACATTCTTATATCATTGGCGCGGAATGCTCCAGGTTACAATTGACGTCGGAAGCGCCATATTGGGCATAATAGTGAAGATCGTGGATAATCACTCGCGCAGCCCTCCGAGCAACAGGAGCTTGGGAAAGTCTTCAGGGGGTGATCTCGTTAATCCTACGAATCTGCTTTACCCTTCCATACGGCCATCACTCGATTCCTCAGGTGGTGGCCAATTTCACTTTAATGCATTCGGACCCGCCGTGGAGAAGTACCCCTCTGCTCCAGTCCGCTTCAGTTGGTGGGAACCCACTAGGGATCTTCAGGTTTATAGTGAGAGAATCCTTTGCAAGGAGAAGTCCAGCCAGGAAACTGGAACAGAGCAGAATGAAGTGCCTGTGAGGGTGGGATGATCCCAGTCCCGGATACTTCGAACAGTTGAAACGTGAGGCCCTTCTCCATGGCAAGCAGTAATGTTAACTGGGAAGAATCTCCAATAGAAGGATTGAATGTGGCAGCAGTTGCTGGAATGGGGAAAAAATCGTCCTGCATACGTAGCTGTTAGATTTGAGGTGGACGCGATGACGCGAAAGTGCAGGCTTGTTCGCCCAAATAGATTGCCTCTTTGCTTATCAATGGTTGAAGTTAGGCCGCAACTTTTTCTCCGTTTCCTACCTCTGTTCACGTTGAGATGTGGGGAACCATGCTGCTTAATGATCCCCTGCAAATGCATAACTGGAATGAGTGCAGTGCTAGCCATTATTCACACGGATTGGCTGCGCGATGCTAGCTCTGGCAAGAATGATTTGAACTGTCGGACAGAATTCCATGAGATGCCTTATTTGGCACCCTCAAATACCCACTACCGAATCTGGAAATTGTCATCCTCCAACCAATCGTCCTAGATCGCAGTTTGACAGCCCCAGCCTGTGCTGACTTCCGAACACTTTTAGGGATCTATTGCAAGATGAGCCGTCATATCGACGTTGTCCAGGGTGATATTCCCTATAGCGAATTCCTCGTAGGTGACCTTGCACTCATTCCCCGTGAGGCTGACCATCGTATCGCATTTAAACTACAAGGGATCGTACCTAATACCCAATAAGCCATGCATTCTCACACAGAGCTTAACCGAGGGGTGGCCGTGTTATCTGTCATGGACTCACCCATCCGGTGACGTCAGCTCGGAGTCGAGACCAGCATGGCAGTACTTTGCCCAAATTTACGGGCGTCAGGAAGTCACAGTTGCTGATTGTCGTACACGGGACTTCAGCGACCAGAAAAGGCTCAATACTACTGTAGCTGAGGCCATCCATCACTTTCAACCTAGCACGGACTCGGACCAGGAGCGTCCCCTCTACTACATTAAAGATTGGCATATCGTTCGGCAGAGTGGCCGGGACAAGACCATGAATCTTCGGGACCGCGAACCATATTTCACACCGTCCATTTTCCTTGACGACTGTGAGTGAACGTTGCATTTGAGTGACCAAATTGATCTACGGAGTACTCGTTAGGGCTCAACGGCGAATCCCTCAGAGGCAAAGCAACAGCTGACGATTTTATGTTCTGTTATGCTGGTGTGGCCGGTACATTCACCCCGCTCCATGCGGATGTCTGTGGGTAACAGGTCTCATCAGCCGTGTGACCGGATCTCATGGCCCAGACTCATCATACTCTTGGTCAACCAATATTGTGGGGAGGAAACTGTGGCGGTTGTTCTCCCCTAGCATTACGCATTGTCTTAGGAAAGATCCTGAAAATCGGCGTTCAGAGCGCATATTCGATGTCCGCTCCGTGGACCTTGCCTGTTTTCCGCAGTGGTCACAAGCTGAAAGACAAATGATTATTGTCGAACAATTCGTACGTCTCCAACCACTGGTCCCAATCATAAAGTAGCTTTCCAACTCGCTTCATAGCCTGGTGAAACTATATTCATTCCTTCCGGTTGGTTCCACCAGGTGGAAAACTTGACTGATTGCATTTCTGTTCGCACCCCTTCCTTTCCAGACGTCAAGAACAACACTCCTGACACCAGATAAATGCTTTCCTCCGAACATGTCCGAATCGGGCCTCCGTGTATGATTGACCCGTTCCGATCCCATCTAGCTGAACCACAATTGGTGCAACTCAGTAAATCTCCCTTCAATGTACGAGGCGATGCGAAATGAGGTCGAGGACGTGTCGTGGGCCATCTCGGACGTCAAGCTCGTGATCCGTGATTCGCATGCCCGGGACGCGGTCGGAAAACATACCGCGGAAGGTTGGGAAGTTGAATGGCTTCGCCAAGTGGATAAACTGGTGAGAATGGACTCCGGCTGGGGCTGGATTCATTTCTTCGAAATGATAGCGAACAGTATCGACGTAGACCTCGTGCATACGCCAGTAAGTGCACCAACTCGACGAGGTCTATGGATCGGGTATTGAAGTCCAAAACTTGCACATGCAACTGAATTGGAACTCCTCAGGTACACCTCAGGCCTCCTACTGCTTTCGTCGTCTCACGCGTGGGGCCCATTCTGGAGGACTTCCGTACACGGGAAGAATACTTGTACCTTCCGGAAGTTCGGATCGTGGCTGATCATGTTCAGTCTCTGCTTTCGAGAATTCGAGGCGACTAAATTCCACATGGAGTCTTTGTAATGATCTTTAACAGGGATTTAGCGGGACCTTGAGGTGCTGCAAACGACTCAGCAACTCAGACCCATGAGCGACGGTTGTCAGGGTCGTCGCTACGCTACTCTACCGCTCCGAGTCGCCCGTTGCGCACAAGCGTTGTTTACCTATGTCCGTAGATAATATACCCACTGTGTCAATTATCTCCTCGGGTGACTTCCTATTCCCCGTTGATTGCCAACCATGTGGTGAATGTTTCGGCATTGCTGACAGCACCTGGTACTTACCGCCAGTGGCGATAAATGACCCGACACGCCCGCTTCAACGCGGTGGCCAGCTTCAGGCTTTCCATGTCAGGACAGTGATTCAACTACAGAATCGCAAGTTCCACCCATCAAACCGAAGAAATGCCTACTTTTCTCTCCACATTACACCTAGATTTCAATGGTCGTTTTCGGTTTGAACTTCCTCGATGCACGATCCGCGGCACGGAACCGGAAGTGATTGCCATACAGCTCGAATTGTATTGAAGGCTCTCCCTCGAGTGGCGATTCGAGGGACGATTTGGGTGACACCATGCGCTGATGTTCCAAAGCTATATTGTGAATTGTAGTGATGCAAAGTGATATAATGATTGAGGAGAAGACGGGGGGAAATATACAGAAAGGAGGGATACCCAGAAATCAAGAAAACAAAGGTGAAAAGGAAATGGGCATTAAATTGGGGCAGGTGGACCATTTGATCTGTGGGTGCGGTTTCAGGGTGTCAGCATGTTATTCCTGCTTCACCCCCCACGCTTAAGGTCCAAAGAAGTCGTACGCTTCGCCGGGAAGCAAATGTAATGGGTCCGGCTGAGTGGAAAGAGACTAAAAGTGGGCATAACTTCGTAAAGATGTACATGTTTAAGGTCACGACGTGTAGCGAGTGGTTCGAGTTGCCGAGGCGTGGATGAAATTATAAACCAGGTAATGAGAGATTGTCCATCGGAACGAGCTAGCTGATCGAAATGTGGGGCGTCGGAGGGATTATCGGCACTCGAGGGTTGCGACCTGGTGGCGGGAGCGGTCGATCATGTAGCTTGGGGATTAAGCTCACTCAGCGCACTGAAATATCGAATATCTGAAACCCCGCTACAGCAATCCAACACTGGCCAAGTGGGCTTTCGTTATTATGTCATGCATTGCAGCTAACACAACTATGGACGAGGGATGGGGCCAATCAGCCCTCAGCTTTCAGCTTACAACTGATCAAAGCTTACATTTAGTCTGTTTCGTGTCGGTGGCACACGTAAAATGTGTGTAGAGTGGTTTGTTTGGGGATCGATTAAGCGACACAAAAAGCTTCCGGAAATAACCACAGGCAGCCTCGTACCCTTCTCGTCCGGAGTAGTCCTTGACGTATAACTTAAGAGGTTTTAAATCGATCTTGTCCGCCAAGAGATCAATTTTATTGAGGAATAGGATCTGTGGGACGAGTAAACATCGGTACAGGAGTGCGAATGTAGCGCAGACAGACCATTGAAGAATTGGCGAGCCATCTGGAGTTGCATACCGAATCGAATAAAGCGACCGATTCCGCCATCCTACTCTGGGTGGGGGTGAGATCACGGACAGACGAAGTCCTATTAGGAAGATACTAACCACTTTGGAATCCTCCCTAAGAACCTGGTCATATTCACTTAGAGCGACCATGAAGACAACGGCGTTTAAATCCTCGAAGCAATGAATCCATTTCCGTCTTTCTGAACGTTGACCCCCGACATCGAACACCTTGTACGTCAGGGGGTCGATGGAGAATGATATCTCCGTAATCCCAGTTGTCTTGACCCTGGAGCGTAAAATATCTTGATCTATCGGCATGTAGTCACGAGTAGACATTCGTGGAAGCTCTTCGAAGTAACTGGAGGGGAAAAATTAGACTATCTCCAATGAGCACCTTAATGACCTACTAAGGGGCTGAGTCATTAAGCTGGAATTCATTGTTGCGCACTATTGCTTGTTGGAATCCCGGATCCTTCGTGAGCGCCGTAATTGCCTCATAAATCTCCTTTGGCAATGTCGGGGAGATAATACTCGTAGGAAGCCCCATTATGTATTCACGATGACCTTCATTATCTGGGTGAAGTGGTAATAACAGAGTCGGCATTGCCTGCAGGATAGCCTTCGCAGACAGAATCGTGTTAGCGAAGATGATTTCCTTGAACGAGATTCGCTCCTCGTCGCTGAAGCCTCCTTGATGAAGTATCTTGATTTGCTTAAGGACCGTGGACTGTGTTGGAGTATAAGCTCGGCGGTTACATTGTGCCAAAGGGGGAGCTCAAACCTTGCCGGACTCGCCAGCGCCAAGTAATAACATCTGAACAACGCTCTTCCGACTTTCCCTGTCCCTTTTAATCTGGCTTTCTATCTCATCATGTACTGCGCGAGGAACACGCCATTTAGCTGAGATACGCCGGTTGGTGCGTGGGCGACTGACCAGCTTTGGCCTTGGTATCCACTTCCTTGGAAAGCGTGGATGAGACACATCCCATGATGGGTACAACTCAGACAATGAGACAGCACGGATCCTGGAGAGTGGATGAAAGTTGAGCAAGCAGAACGCTCACCGCATCCGAAACAGTATCCGTTGAGGCGCGGGTTATGCTTCCGTGTTATGGGCGGCAATTCCCCGCTGCAAATTGTCGAGTGTAAACGTGACAACATCGTACCAGCCTAACAACATCGAGGGTGATGATTATCATTGAATATTATACAACAGTAGAGCAACGGTGCAAACACAAGCAGTAGCAACGAACAGACTGAAATGGACTCCGATGTGGCGCTAGGAAGCGTCACATAGCAAGCAAACGAGATCAACCTGTTAGGTCCGGACCTTCAAGGTATCAATCAGATTGTCCCACGAATCCCACCTAGAATTGATGGATTAGCAAACATGTACAAGGGAAAATAAGCGACTTACTCGAAACCGGATGGAGCGAATGACCACAGTCCGAGGGCATCACCTTCTATGAGGGTGCCTTCGCCACTGGCTGGCGGGGGCTGCAATTGAGAAGCGTGTGGATGTTGGTTAATCAAACCCTCAATGGGATTTTCCTTTTGTGCGACCCCCATCGATGACCTGCTCGGTTCGCAGACATAGGGTTGTCCAGGCTGAATCCCGTTCCCACCCCCATTGTATAATTGTTGGTAAGCTTCAGTAGGGTGGCAAGGTCTTGCAGATAGGGGTGAGGTAATTTGTGCGATCTTTGAATTGGGAGTATGAGAAACACCGCCAGCCCCATAATTGACGGTGTAAGAGTTGGTGGGAGCCGGACTAACTTTGTATTGAGTTTCTGTCTGGACGTTTAGCCAAGGCGGATAAGGAGGTCCTGAGAATGCAGAGAGCTGACTAAGCGCAGCAGTATTGTGCGGAAGAATGCCAAATTCGGCGACTGCGCCGTTAGCACCCGGAGCCGTGGTTCCAGCACATGTTGAAGAGAGGTCTGGTTTATATGGAAAGAATATGGCGGGCTGCGTATAGCGTTCCGCAGACCAGTCCGCGGGCCTCCAATGGTCCTGGTTAGGTGAGCTCAGGGTAATCCCAAACTCGTCATCACCCTCACGGTTACGCTTCCCTTGATTGGGTGAGAAGGATGGGAATACCGCGCTTGGGGGCGTATCCGCATCATTTGTGAGAGTCAAATCCCCCAGAGAAGCAAGTTCCTTTATCATATCACTATTGAAAATCAGTTAGTAGAGAATCCAAAAGGGCTTCGCGAGATTGAACGTACACCACTTTCCCGGCTTGGCGGTAGCCTGGCTCTTGACTCATCAAAAACTTGACGCAGTAATCAATGTCCTTGACGTGCATGTCATAATCCAGCGAAACACCGCTATTCTTTGCACCCCAAGTCCCGATAAGAAGTGTGAGCGCCGAAGAAAATGCTGCGAAAGAAGTTATGGGCATCGATCGGAGTCCTCTTCGTCTGGCTGCATCCAGCACATGAGCACATGATCGTGCTGCATTTGTACATATGGAAAGGGAAGGGAATGCGAGGCGCGAGGGCTTGTTAGGTTGAGGGATGAACGGTCTATGGACCAAAAGCTGTACATTGTAGTATGACGCATACAGAAGTGTGGACCTTTCCACCGTAATGTCGTCTTCGCAATGTGGGTTCCAGCGCACTACGGAAGATGTTAAGTCAAAGCAGAATCCACACAAAAAAATGATTCACAAGTTTCAGGGATCGAGTCAATCCATTCGTTGAGGCTGGAATCTGCGAAATGCGCGATATGAGACGACGATCAACACCACAGATGGAATCCACCCACCCAGCTCAGCAACAACATTCTGCTCATAATCGTCACCCAAGAGGTCAAATATCATCTTTGGTTTTTTAAGTGAATATAACACTCGCAAACACATGTTCAGGATATTGATAAGCCGAAGATAACATGAGAAGAACACGATATGGTGCTCCTCGTGGGAGGTCAGCGCCGTTGGCATCTCCGCGTCCATGCTTAGTTGACTTGAGTGGTCAATCATCCCAATAATTGTGACGTCATACTCACTCTTCAAGTTGGCACGCCACTGGCCTGCCCAATCCTGCGCTGATGTTGACGTCGAGTAGAACGAGACTCCTTGGGAGGTGTTAATACGGAAATCGGGGAGTACACGGTAGCGCATACCAAAACGTTCGTTTCCATAGCTCCGTCTCAACCGTACTTGGGCTTCGCGTGGGTTTGCGTCGGTGCGCGCCTACATCTTGCCCTAAACGCACGGCAACACCTAGCAATGTCCAAGCTGCATGGTTGTAGCTAGACAGATAAAGAAAGTATGACGAGAGCTGGGCCCTCTATGAGCCCGGACAGACATATCCCGCAAGTAAGGAAACAAACCGCTAGGCCTTGGAATTGTGTTAAAGATATTGGATTCTGGATACGCGAGTAAAACGATCTGACTTCTTCGTAGTACTCGTCACCAGCATGACGATAATTTGAAGGATCGAGTGCTACACGTGGGTCATTTCGAGCAAATTTGCTGGCAACTGCAAATACAACCAAGGTTAACGCAGCTATTGATTCGTCCTCGAGATGTGCCCGCGATCTCCAGTTCTCCTGGAACTTTTCCTCTAGTATTATTGAACAACAGAGCTGACATTTGTGGAAAAATGTTTCGGTGAGTAAAGCCGCTAAATCGTCGTCGGGGAAATTGGCCTGCCGAGGATCACGGTTTCCGAAAGGAGGTGGATCCTAAGCAGGAAACTGAGGATGGAAGTCAAGGTGACAACGTGGTAAGCTCACTATACTCCCCCAGAATTCAGGTCGCCTGTTCTTCCATGCTGTCCCTTGCTGAATGCCAGTATACTCCGATTTCATAAATCGTGCTTGCATCATAAACCTGAAACCTGAAGACTTCCCTATCACCAGTGCCTCAGCGCGAGTAGACCAACAATGAAAGAGTGTGGCTCACCATGATAATGTAGTTTGATGGTGTCTTCTGGGTCGGCGAGATTGATTTGGAGGAGGCTTCGCGATAACTCCGGAATGCCGGATTCGTCAAGCTCGTCAACGACAGTGTCGCTCGAACTGTGCACTGTCCCTGGAGATGATGCGGCCATTGAGACTTCCTGGGACGAATGGGGACGTTCTTGAGTGGGGGGCAGTCGAGGTTGAACCTGAACGAGGCAGGCAGGCTGAGTAATGAGACAAATCAGCGATGTGAGTCGTGACTACATACTCTGTCAAGGATGCTTTCCATCTTGGAAAGACGTTCATCGAGAGATCCAGGCTGGTCACCGGCTCGCCTCTTATTATGGCTGAAGACCAATTACGCTATGACGATGAAGTTCAAATCGGGATAACCTCACGTTTCATAAGTGCAGGGGATGTTGTGGGTGACACATCCAGTGCACCGCCGGTCGGGCATATCGGCACCGTCACAGCGGACCTGGTGATTGGGATGCAACACAAAAGGGTCTGTGAATGGGAGATCGATTGCCATAGCTCGTGCTGAAGCTTTTGTGTACCTTCTTTTTACGGCACACATCACAGGCAAGGCGAGCCCTAGGCCGTTTTGCGGTATTCTCTTCAGTTCTCACCTCACTGTGGCCATTCATATCAAAGGGGGAGGCAATAGAGCAGTCTGGAGGTCGTATGTTGGGAGAGGCCCAGGCGGTTGCCGATTGAATTGTACCCGTTAAGGCCAGGCGATTGCACCGGTGGCCGCTGTTGGGCAGGTCAGGGGGTTAGCCGATACTTAATCAAGACGCCGACCGCGGCTCCGAAGTGCGCGACAGGCCGAGACAACCACGGCCTCATCAGAATTGGACCTCAGTTCAGTTGCAGCAGCATAATCACGAGAAAAGTCCAGCGTTCCGAAGAAAAATCCGAATTGTTTTCCCTCCAGTCCGACTCAGAACATAGGCAGGTTACCGGCTTCTATTAGTATAGACTCAGAACAACTTTTGCAATGGAGGCTCTTCCAAGAAGCGCCGATGACGCAGCGGAAGAACCTCCGGGGTCAACGCAGGCGAGCATGTTAACTGATAATTTGTAAGCAAGGGCTCGGCGTGAGGTTTAAACTGCATGATCTTGTTTTGTTATTTCTTATTTATTCCGGACGTACAATATCGACTAATTAATGTCCAAACCAATACACCGGGATTATTGCGCACATATCCCGAGACGATTTGCGAAGAGCTGTCTACCTTCATTCCCATGCGATCTTACGCTGGTGCTTACATCTGTAGTTTCGGGGAACACAAAACCTGGCTTCTGGGCTAAGTGGTTAGATCGAGAGAATACAGCGTATTGCGGCCGACCCGATTAAGTTCACGAGCAGACAATATCCACGGTTGTGTTTTCCAACCTGACGGAGTATTGTGCATGTGTGGGCCCCCTTGTCGGGTGTCGGCTGCACTCTGTGCCAAAATGTAGGATAGCCGGAACAGGATATCATGGTTATTCAAACAGTACAATGGATGCATCTACGTTTGATAATTCGCTGACTTTGGTAGTTGCGTATGTTGTTTCCAGCTGTGTTTGATATCCACAAATGAGCCCAAGCCTGGCTCAGCACATCCATCGCCACCTGCCAAGGGAAGCTGAGCGCTCCCTCCTTTTAGACAGATGAGATTTCCACAACTATGATTATAAGGCATAGCATAATGAAAATAGGATTCACTGGTGAAATTCCGGAGTGAAAATTCGAGGCACGGCAGCTAGCACTGGGAGTTACGACTACAACCCAAGGTATTCACAGTCAGAGCGAACTAATTTCCGGCCCCATTACCTAACCCTAAGCTACTACATCAGGACATTTCTGTATATAGAACGAGGTGGGGTTTCGCGCCTTTCTGGATAGCGTTGCTCCCACCTGATAGCAAGAGGGATCGGCAGGCATCAACCATGTGAACACTTTGAAACCCTAGCGGTCTGATTCGTCGGCGTATGTCGGAGCAACATTGGCGCAGTGTGAGGCTGACATTGCTCCAATTCTGGAACAGCATACGTCCCAGCAGGCTGTCTGAGAATGAAGCGACTAGACGAGCGATAAGCTGTTTCTGAGTTGCGGAAGCTCGTGCTTCTCCTGTGGCCATATGTCGATAAGTTCTTCCATTGCATGAGTCTCAGTATTAGCAAACGCCAATACCATCAACAATGGATCGATCCCCTAGTCCATACTCACCGCTTGATACTGCGACGCAGAAGGGCAAAAGTCATTCGAAAACCTCAGAATATCGGTTACGGGGTTAGTGCAAATATTCTGTCGAAAGAAAGCCTCATGCACAAACCATGGAAGTGTTGAAACAAGTCCAAACTTGGTCCCTCATAATCCGGACCGACGCGACGGCAATTCCGCCCTTAGCGTGACAGACACACAGCCCCATCACTTTTCTTCTATAAATAGCTTAGATGTAAATCCCACTGCAGCGGGTCTAACTACAAGGAAGATGTGCCGTAGTTCTTAGTCTAGGACTAGACGCGTCGCAATACGCTTGATAGTCGAAATATTAATGAAACCGTGAGTGTGCCCAGCTCCAGCCAGACGTCTATCGTGGGGCTCCAGCTGGCCTGAGTGTACGCCCATTCGACTCCTTTTTCTTTCCATTCCTTCAATGGCTTGCCATGTAGCATCGATTGGACCCGGTCCAAGACTAAGGTACATCCGCACCACTCTTTCACATTTTTCGTTCGAAGCAATGTCGTAGGGCCAGTCAGTTGCCCATCTGTTTCAAGGGCTTGGACATGACAAAGAGACTCGAACAATTGTTGCAGCTAAGGCTCGACTAACGGTCCTTGATCTGCCCAAGGCGAAACCAATATAAAGGGACTGGGAGAAAGCAAAGCTACCAAGAACCAGCTTCATTAGGGTAGAAGGGAACATGAGGGAATAGAAACCAAGAGGTGGAAGTATGAGGGGACAGCGGTGGGGATATGTCAACAATATCAGCATGTAGTTTGACCTAGATCACTGGTCACTCGATGAAGGTCAGCCACGGCAAGGCAGATTACCAGCTTTTAAGAGGCCACGGCGGAAGAACGAAGCTACTGAGCACGAGAAAGGCATGTAGTGGAGCGGCGCCCAACATGGCGCTCGGATCAAAAACCTGCGGCCTTTCTCCAGCATAACGATCCTCGTAGGGCTTGGGAGGCCGGTATTTTTAAACGAGCATCCGTTGACAGGACCAAGGACCAATTATCGACAGTACGATGTCGCTAACGTGTTATAGATAACATCGTCGCGCTCTATATGTTGAGTATGTATTGAAAAGGTCCAAGGCAAGACAATGGGTCGTTGATAATATCATAAAGTGCTCCCAGGCGCTCCCAAGTGCTCTAGGTGCTCGGGAGCACACAGGAGCACAGAAAAAAATGAACCTGTCGGGTTCGTGGCAAAGTGAGACACTCAGAAAGACATGCTAATTAACTGCTCTCAAGGGACTCCGTCCACGAACAACACCGTGAATGTGGGCAAAGGGGTAGCAGCCTCTATTAGTATGCAAAGGGGCTCTCAGAATAGAGGCTATGTAGCACTAGCTGGCGACGCGAGGCCGACGTCAGGTTGGCAGAATGGCGGTAGGAAAATAGGTCGCCGAAGGCGGTTGTCAATATACACGTGATTTTCTTCGCCGTGGGAATAAGATATCAATTTTAGGAGCACCCGTCATTGAAGGAGGCTCCGAGGCGGACTTTTGCTAATTCTCGCACAGAGAAACCTTCAAGGATCCATAGGACATCCTCTTGCGTGTTTAATCCCCCTTCCCCCGCCTTCCCATGGCCTGTTTATCCCGAGGTTTGCTGTTCTTCCTTTGTCTTGGCCTACATGCTCGTCCTGAAATACTTCTCGTTAACCAGCAGGCTTCCTCTCCACCTCCAGGAGTATTTGGTCGAGGCGAAAGGTTTTTATTCCCGCTGCTCTGCGCTGTACTCCAGCCACTGGGATCCCGATAGTTCGACGTACCCTAGCATCTTCAAGCTTGCCTCCGTCTCCATCATTTCAGCTTTCGCCATGGAGAAGGTTCCTCCAGACACTTGGACGCGTTACCCTTGTCACTATTCTCACAAGCGGCGGCGTTTTTCTCTATATTACACATAAAGACCGGACACCCGGCCCTCAGGAACCATTTGACCCTTCCAAAAAAACAATTGTAATATTGGGGAGTGGATGGGGAGCAACTAGCCTTCTTAAGTCCCTGGACAATGAGGATTATAACGTCGTGCGTTCTCCGTGCCTTTGCGTTGCTATATCTTCGACTCTTGCCTTCTTCAGGTGGTCATTAGCCCACGGAATTGTGAGTCGGGAGTTATTTCAGTGTTTAGGCCTAGTTGATGCTTTCCATTCTCTGAATAGACTTTCTATTCACACCTCTCTTGCCTTCGGTTGCCATCGGTACCCTTGATCCACGATCGATAATTCAGTCCACGCGTTATATCACGCGTCACAAGAAGCGCATTGTTCATGTGTATGAAGCAGAAGCCACAGAAGTTGATGTGCGGGATTTCTTACGGCTACGGAAAGTTGATTTTTGCTCATTTCCTACCCTACAGCCTGTCAGCAAGACAGTGACGTACCAGGGTTTGTCATCCTTGGTCCCATCTTCGGCCGCTGATGATGTCGATCTTACTCCTGTGCTTCAGATACATCTCCCGTCAAGGGACAACAAGATTCCGGTACAATTAAATACGACTATTTAGTCTACGCAGTTGGCGCCGAAACTCAAACCTTCAACATCCCTGGAGTCAAGGAGCATTCTTGTTTCATGAAGGAGCTAAAGGATGCTGAAAAGGTTAGTCATGCCTGAAGGCTACAAGGCATCGCTGACAACATTGGGTAGATGAGAACAATGGTTATGGATTGTAGGCATTGGCAAATATTTACCTTTATCGCAATCGAACTCGTGACATATTTAGGCATCGAATCTGCTGCTGTAGAAGCCGGGAACCCGGATTCACAAGACGACATCAATCGGCTTTTGCATATGGGTAGGTGCAGGAATGTTCTCCCGACAGCTTGCTCATCTCCCATCAGTGGTAGTTGGTGGGGGTCCGACTGGTGTTGAGCTAGTGAGTTCGTTCTTTTGTCTACGACTCTTTTTGCTGTAACCATCTCGGTTAGAGTGGAGAGCTCCACGACTTCATTGTCGAAGATCTGAAGCAGTGGTATCCGGGTTGGTCTGTTTGACGTGTATGCCCAAAGCTTCCTAATCTGGGCTGCAAACCCGCAGAACTGGCAGACAGAGTGCGAGTGACTCTGATTGAAGCGCTTCCCAATGTTCTTCCGATGTTCTCGAAGGCATGTGTTCAGTCACGAGATGGGTTCAAATCTGAGTTTTCTACACAGCAACTGATTCAATATACTGAATCAACATTCAAAGAGAACAAGATTGACGTCCTGACCCGCACAATGGTGAAAGAGATCAACGAGAAGTCTGTCATTGTGCAGAACGACAAGGGGGAGCTGGTGGAAATTCCATTTGGTGTTCTTGTTTGGGCAGCTGTGCGTTCATGGCATCTCTCCTAACCGATCGTCATATTGACTGTCTTGGAGGGTAACGTTGGCAGAGCCCTCACCCGTGATTTGATGGCCAAGATCGGCGCTACACAATCAAACAAGCGAGGTCTCGAGGTTGATGATTTTTTGCGTATAAAAGGTGCTGAGGACATATTTGCCATGTAAGTACATTTACTCTGACGTGTCAGTGTGCTCATCCAGTTACTCGCAGTGGAGATGTCAGTATGCACACCGGATGATCGCGTGAAAGGCTAATGTTCTTTGTGTACAGTGCACAGCGACGAGCTATGCACCAACTGCTCAGGTAGCAACTCAGCAAGGCGTTTGGCTCGCTCGTCATCTTGGCCAAATCACTAAGAAGGAGAGACTAGAAGCCAGACTGAGGGAACTGCGGTCATCCCCGGGGTCGACGCCTGAAGCCATCGAAACCACTGTCAAGCACATCAATAAACAGTCCAAATTCCGCCCATTCCATTACTCGCACCAAGGATCCTTAGCGTGGGTCATACTCGAGCGTGATTCGCTTTGGTGCTGATCCGCTTCTTAGTTACATCGGGTCTGATAAGGCCATCGCCGATCTTCCCTTCCTAAATGGCAATCTTGCCAGCGGTGGTGTTGCAACATTCCTGTTTTGGAGGTGCGTATAGGTATGGGCTGATGGATGTTGCGATTAAGTCCGTACTGCAGGAGCGCATACGTCTCGAATTTGTTCTCCCTTCGTAATCGAGTGCTCGTCATCAATGACTGGCTTAAGGTTAAACTCTTCGGACGGTAGGTTGTATGGCAAGGGACCTGTATTATGACTAACCTCCTTTTTTATAGCGACGTCTCTCGGGACTGATGAAGTCCAAGCTACACGTATTTATGCCATAGAACTTTGGAATTTCCTCAGCTTATTGATCGATGTTGCATGTTTTCATTTTTGATTTGTTGACTCAGACAATGGCCCAGTAATGTGCTCGAAAGAATAGACACTACACTTGATGGATTTGAAACAGTGGTCGTGGTAACGTAGACAACCTTTTATTATATTCCACTCCCGAAAACTTTGAAGGTGACCTCGAATAGCTCAGTTGGTAGAGCGTCAGACTGTAATTGGAAGCCTCTTATATCTGAATGTCACCTGTTCGACCCAGGTTTCGAGGATGCTCTTTTGTTGGCGCTGTCCCACTCTCCCCCCTAGCAGGTGCATCGCGTCTTTTTCCATCTGGACACACTCGAATCGGTGGGGATCCCGCGCACAGCAGAAAGTAATGTGTGGCGAGGAATGAATAATGCTTTATATATACAACTCTGTTCATCCCTACCTGATCGGATAACTGCGTCATATACTCAAATTTGAACTGATAGCAGGTCTCACGCATCCTTGCTACCGAGCTGCAAGAAACATATGTATTGCACAACGAATGGCAGGAGTATGATGAACGATATTGCCACTGACGATGATCCTGCGGCGATACTATTAGAATATTAGCGATTTACGCTAGCGTGTTACGCTCAGTCAACCTTTGTTGAACTGAGGCAGACGAGAGAGAAAAATTCTTATCTGCTTTTATAAACAGTCGCCTCAATGGCGAACTGACTTTGGTAGCAGGAATACCAAGAAAGGAAATATAGCGCCGCAAGCTCAACATCACATTGTGAGTTGGCCACAGCGCACTATAACTCCCAAGAAGATCAAGATCATTACACGGTAGAAGAATTTGGTTGTTCATGGTGGGATTTGTGATTTCCAACTGCCTAATTTCTGTCCAGCATGTGACATTCACCTATGATTCAGAAGTTGGCGTCAGATATCCGCGATTATCGCCAGCACCGTCGCGTCATCTTTTTGTGCAATATCGTCTCCAAGCTCATTGTCACTTCAGTGGTGCTTTTTTCATCGTTTTCGACCTCATTCGATTCCTCACATAACCTCATCGTCGCTGGCGATTCTCTGGTCGCTCGATGGAGCCGTTCAATGCTCCGTTGGGATGCATTCCATTTCGCTCATATTGCTCAGAATGGTTATGTGTTCGAATATGAATATGCTTTCTTTCCGGGAGTCCCGCTGGTCATGAGGGCGGTAACAGAAATTGCGCGCATTGCGGGTTTGGTTTCTTGGACTAAGCAACCAAGTGTAGAGCAACTATTATATTCTGGTGCTCTTAGCACGCTATTTATCGACTCCTCACCTGTTTTGTACGAGTGCGTAACGTCAATTTTCGCTGGTGTGATTAGTTTAACGCAAGCTGGTAGATTGACGCTGGCGGTGACGAAGTCGACACAGTTCGCGCTTCTCTGCAGCTTGCTGCTGTCGTTGCCAACGTCGCCAGCAACGCTCCTTTTTGGGACGTACGCCGAACCCTTCTTCTCTTACTTTGCGTTGCGAGGGATGCTGCATGCTGAACGCCAACAGTTTGGTTCGGCAGCAATCTATTTCGCTCTCGCCACCACATTCCGGGCGAACGGAGTGTTGCTCGTGGGCTACCTCATGTGGGGAATGGTGGTAGTGCCGTTACTTCGATTCCAAAGAGTAAGTGATTTTCGTGATTAATTTGTCCCGGAAGGGAAGACGATATCCAGACCCCTCAGGTAACAACTGCGACGGCTGCAACAGCGTTATTATACGTCACTGTCTCCATTTCTCCGTTCTTTCTGCACCAAATACTGGCGTTCCAATCTTTCTGCCACACACCTTCCGTTGGGTTATTGCCCGAATGGTGCGTATCGACTATTCCCTTAATCTACCCGTATGTGCAAAGCAAGTATTGGAATGTCGGTTTTCTGAAATATTGGAGAGTGGCGCAAGTCCCAAACTTCATTATGGGTGGACCTGTCCTCACCTTATTGCTCTGGACATCCGCTTATCACTTCAAAATGGGCGTTTTGGACGTCGCACGGGTTGCGTCCAGTCACAGAGCCGAACACAAGCCATGTCTTCGGAGCCCCCTAGACGTTCAACGTATTCGTGTCATTCCTTATGCTTTGCATGGCCTCATCTTTGGCTTGATCCTTTTATTTGCCTCACACACTCAAATTGTGTTGCGACTTGCGTCCTCACTGCCAATAGTATATTGGGCAACAGCAGACCTGCTCATCCATAGAAAGAGGCTGGCTCGTTCCTATATTGCATGGAATATTGTGTGGTACGCAGTGTCCTGCGTATTATGGGGCGTTTTCTTGCCCCCAGCTTAGGATGTTGCCTGGTTCACCCCATTCTTGCACGGACAATTTATTCGCACGATATTCCCTGCACCCCTTTGACGTGAAAGTGGTCTCCAATTAATATTGTAGGTATTAACGTTAACCCATCATATGCATCTGCAGGCCCTCACTAGTCTCGGTGCCAGACTCTCTGGTGGGCTGCGCGTGACCATAGGGGCATTGAATTGATGTGTTGTGTTGTGAACACCGCTTAAATCCGCGACCAGAAGGCCTGGGACCGAGGCTAGGCCCTCACTTGAGCGGGTTATTCTTGTACAGTTTCCCTCAACACCCCACTACGTTTACCAAGAGTTCGTCAGACAATATCGTCTTCATATTTGTGCCATGTTTACGTATTTCTACGACTCATTGCACTGTGGGAAGTAAAGGGCCGTAAAAAACCATTTTTGGTCTGGTTTTTGACCATTTACCATTGTTTTCGTGATATTTTTTTCATTGTAAATTACAATATACGTTTCACGATGCTAAATACCAGACTCTTCCCTGCGTAAATTACCACTCAATTCATGGTATTCGAGCTGCGATGTATTGTACAAAGGTCAGAGGTATGGACGGCCGGAGTTCGGTTAGTCATCGTCGTCGATTGACCTTGCGAGCTCGCAACTGCGATCGATGATGGCCCAACGATGGGAATGCGTACGTACCATAGGGAAATCGGCCACATACTGAAGAGACCGAAGCAAGAGCGATAATTTGAGTGTAGTAAAAGAGGTCGGTGCCAAGGCAGCATCCATGTAAGCACCGCTATCTGAGACAAGGTCAACGAGGTGACGCATGTTCTCACAAGCGACGTTTTGTGACGTGCTCGGGGATTTGAGTCCACAGCTACTTCAGCTCAATAGTGAGAGCCATGAAATTCAAACACTCCTACCCAGACGAAGGATAAGTTCCTAAATTCAATTCGTCGTTTTTGGGCCCACATTGTGGAAACTTTGTCACCTCCCCCGACAATGCGTGATTTCCCTAGCGAGGCATAACCAAGAGCTCGATTATATGTTGGTACGGCTTGTTGTAGACATTAGTAAACTAGATCGCGACGTTGCGATGGGTGGAATTGTCAGGAATGTTTCTTGTCGCGAGGAGCCCCAAGTATGGAAGCTGGCACTTAAAGATGTAAGGGTAGGTGGGCAGAGACTGTGGCGCTTAGACTGAAATCGGACTAAGTTGTTCTCGGCAGTTTCCATTCCACTCAGTGCCTTATCCTCTCCACCATACCATACACGTTCTGCAACCTGCTCATTCCCTCCCAATTTGACTATCCTTTCGCTATGCAACTAGCTACTCTTCTCAGAAGTGGCAAGTACTTATGAATATGGACACTCGGCATGCTGCCTCACTGACAGCGATGCCATGAATGGCTTCCATCTGGACGTGTTTCAACGCGTCTTTACGCGTCTTTAACTCATTGGTGAATGAGAAATAGCATTTATTTATTTTAGAAAATCGTCAAGCCTCTCACAGCAAACAGGAATCTATGTTACCCAAGGGTCACACCTGTGGTAGAAAAGCCCGTGCATCTGCTTAGGGCGTAGTTTGGCCCCATGTGCGCTCATTAGTTTATCTCCCAACTACCTCTTCCCCCACTGCTGGCTTGCTAAATTTCCCCCTGTGCTAGTAACCAAAAAACGCGACTGGAATTCGAAAGCAATGATAATGATCAAGGCCCGATGACAACCACCTCTACTAGTACCGCGAAAAAAGAACCCCCGTGGCTGTCACTATGATGGCCCCACAACAGAAGAAAGTCTGAATCGATTAACCTGGCCCACTCAGAAGGAAAGACCGCCTCGCGAAGCTGTGCGCAAGGGTTGAAGTTCACTTATGGTATCTTCTACCGTCTTATTCACAGCCCGAGACTTCCTCCACTTTCATTAGGTTATGCTCTGTCAAATCAACCTCATCAAAATCGAATCGATGCTCGACTTTTATGCTACCCGTCTCTTGCTCGCACTCAACTCCGTACTTTTCTTGTGAGCCCAAGGCTTCAATCCTGCGTTATGCTTTCCGGATCGGCTCTTCTTCGTCACTCCTCGAATTGACCTTTCTGTCTTTTGTTCACCTCAACTCGGTTCATTCCCTCACTTGCAATGACTGCTATCCACCGCAACGTAACCTAGAGTCTCCGCTGTATATCGCCATAAATGTAGTTGTAAATGACGATAAATAACCACGTTTTTCACCAAATTAACAATATTGTAAATGATGAAATCCGACTGGTAAATTACAAAATGCACCCTTGTAAATTGACCGTTTACAATCGTTATCGTGGTGGAGAATCATTAAAAAACAGGTCATCTACCTCCTTTAACGTGGTAAAGGAATCCTGGTAAAATGCAATGGACCACATTGTAAAACACAGTTTTAATCATGTTAAAAATGAGTGTATTATACAATGGTTAAGATGATCTTTTACGCATCACTAATTCCCTCTGTGATTGGCTGGCGTTGCCTTCTGCTTGCCTCTTTTGGGTGGAGGTCGGTGGCAGTGCGGTGAATGCATGTGGCAATCAACCACAAACAACGCTAAGGTCATCTGGCTAAGTGCATGTTATGGATGAGGATCCTCGCCGAACGCGTATCTCTTTGGGACTACCTAGTTTTCCCGAGAAGGGAAACGCGTCTGCGCCGCGGAAGCGGGCGGTGAGTATCGCTGGGACACGCGTCATTAGCCCTCGAAGTCTGGCACGGCGAAGTATGGTGAGTTTGTTTTTCGCCACCGATTTCCGAGAAATCTTTGAGACGAAGCAAATGAAAGGCCCCGCGGAAGTCTATTTTGAAGCAGCACGTGTCTCTCCCAGCGGTTGACGATGAGACGCAAACTTTCGAACTACCTCTGTCCGATGCTCCTAGTACACTGAGAAGCAGTCGACAAAGCGAAGGGGGACGCCGTGTTAGCTTCGCTGCGAATGCCCAAGTAAGATTATTCGATAAACTTCAAGGCTCGCCGAGTCCTGCGAAGATCTCGACTCCCAATCGTGCATCATTCAGAAGCGACGGGGACCCAAACATCTCTCCTCTGAAGCGACGAGGAATGTCCCTCCCACGCAGACGGTCTAGTCTTTTGTCCCAAGGCACTCCCGACCACAACTTAGATACTGAGGAAGGGTCAACTTCAGCAGTGTCACGGCTTTCAGTCCAACCTGATGATGAAAATTCAGACATGGATATCGACGAAGACGGTGAACATGGTGACGGGGGACGATTCTCTCCCAAAGTTCATGGTCCTGCCTTTCCCAACATGCCAGTGGTCGGTGATGAGGTCCCTGCTCCGCTCAGCCTTCCGGCAGTTGGACCTCTGCTCATCGAACCTGCGAGTCCTGGGGGTGGAATAAACAGTCCACGTGTCTCAAACACGTCTGACATGTCTATTGCGATAATGCCCAGTGACTTGTCTCCAGAAACACAGAAGATCTTGCTCGACGCTGACCACTCAGATATGTCTATCGCGCTCACCGCTAAGGGCGGTCCGAGTCGCAGGGAATCCATCGTTTCTGATATGGACGTCACCAATATGGATGGTCTGGTTCCTACAGTTGAGGAGCACCCTGCCCACGAGTTTGTAGTTCCTTTGGGTCGCAGTATTCCACGCACAGACAGAGATGGGAATGTTGTCTCCCCCACACCTGCTGAGAAAGCAAAGGCGGCGGCGCTGGCGTCACTCCAGCAGCTTTCCGCGGCAAGCGGAGATTCGCCCAGTGAAGATGGAGACGAAGACGAAGGTCCAGTGGTTCCCATCAGAGCAACTTCTGACATGTCTATTGAAGACGCCACCAGGAGGCTTAGAGCTGCTTCCCAAGACTTTGAGCTTAGTGCAGACGATCAGACTGGCTCCACGTCTTCAAATGACATGTCCCTCGTGACAGGAGAACCAACGGTAAATATTACGACAATGCCACGGTCGTCTTCTCTCCATGGGCAGACAAAGGATGATGCTCCAGACAATCCGGCTGTGGATAAGCCATCTATGATCCCAGTACCCTCTGCAAAATTTCCCACTCCTTCATCCTCCAAAATTATATCTACAATATCTCCCGTGAAGCCTCGATCAGCCTTTAGGGCAGCATTTACGCCTCCATTTATCTCACCTCGCAAACGTGCATTGTCAGCACCTTCCCCTTCCCCATCTCCAGCGAAAAGGCGTGGGTTGATCCCTCCTGTGGGAGCGCCCCCTAAACGAGAAAGAGCACAGTCTGTCAATCCTTTCCAGTCATCCCCGCTGAAAGTGTCCCAATTCACCCGCAATCGCGCACCCTTGAAAAAGGGTTTATCATTTACGGCTTCCTTGAGTCGCAACCCATTCTTGGAAGAGGCTCCACATACGATTTCGGGAAATTCGTCTTCGGCAACTACTACCAGTGTTGTCGACCAGAACAATGTACATCAGACGGTGCCAGGGTCTTTACAGCAATCTGACCTCCCAACCCCGGGCAACATTGCACACAGAGCGGACTCCCCGAAACATACCTCATCAACGTCGAAGCTGCAATCTCCTGTGTCTCCCTACACAACTACCGAGGAGGCTATGACCCGTATTGGTGACGAACAGCTTTCCCAGTCAGTTAAGGACCATTCAGGCGCGTCCCTTGTGGAACAAACAAATAACACTCCTGTCGACAAAGTAAATAAGGCTATAGTTTTTAAATGTTTCTGTGCTAACGGAGTATCTTTTCTGCAGCCAATTAAGCCTTCTGCACCTCCAATAGGAGTTAGAAAGTCCTTTACCCCGTTCCCACCTATAAACCGTTCGCGCCGTCTGAGCACTGTGCTTAAAGGGCGGCTCTCGAACGTTATTGAAGCTCCCCTCCCAGAACCGACTGCGTCGAAGGTGCGTGGGAGTGAGTTTCTTCCGTTTTAGGAGTCTGACCATTGCCCCGCAGGCCCCCGAAGTCTCAACACATTCCATTCCCGCTCCTTCGGAAGATATGACTTCTATAGTGCAGTCAGACGATGGAACCGTGCCAGCCACTGGAATTGATAGTAAAGGACTGCCTGGAGTGGAAGCACGTCGTCGCCGCTCTGAACTTCGCCGCAGCATTGCAGCGCGATTAAGCCTGTCAAAAGCCCCAGAAACATCTGAATCCCCTGCTTTGAAGGCAAAGGCAATCACGAGGACTCCAACCACAGCGAACATGCTCGCAGAAGCTGCAAACTCTCCCCTCCATATTCCATCCATGAAGCCCCGTTCCACATTCGGTAGGGCTAGCTTTGTTCCTGCTCCAAGGCCATCTCTTGTGCCTCAATTACAGTCCCAAAAGGCTGAATCGCGTGTAAGTGGCCCGGTCGTTGTCGTGATTCTTTATCAAGCGATTCTCACATGAAGTTGCGGGTTAGCCCACTCCCGCCACTATGTCTTTGGCGGATTTCGTTCGGGACACAGGAAATGAATTCAAAGACATCACCGTTGATCCGCCAGTTCCCCGTCTCGACGTTTCCCAATATCCCGAGGGGAGTGAAGGTGTGGCTAGTCACTGTTTATGCAACTCCATTTTTAACGGTGTCAACAGGGTATTCGTTGGCTGACACGATACAAGCCATGACTATACATTATCCCCAGATAGATTTCTACGAAGACGTGAGTTCGTCCTTGCCCTATGTGGTTCCGCATATACCATGCCTTTCCATAGTCAATATCCGAGATGAAGAGACAGATTGAAATTCTCGAAGACTCCTGCCAACAAATGTATATGCACGCGGAACGACACACTCCAGAAGTGATCCTGGATTGGTTGGAAGCTGACGATGATACCCGCGAGATGATAAAAACGGCACTCAAGATCCGACGAACAAATGCGAGTCTCAAGGCAGACGAAGCATGGATATCGTGGAAGGCACAAAATACTCAGCAAATGTTGGATTCTGCCAAAGTTCATCTGGAAGATTTGGAACAGGTAAGATATCAGATGTCCTGCATTCTTTGGTTGGGCTAAACTCAAACCGCAGCTCAGAGTGAAGCTTGATGAGATCGACAATCAGCTTCCAACCACTATCACTGCACTTCAATTGGAATATGATCAGTTACAAGCTGAATTGGAGCAGGAGCAGGCTATGATCAAAGAGTTGGAGGAATGCGACCCTCAGCTGCTCGAAGATGTCAACCAAGAGCTACATTTGCAAAAGTATGGTACATTTGCCTGGAGCTGTAACCCTTCTCATTCCCTACTTAGCATAGAGCTGGAAGAAGTTCAGGCATCTGTTCGCCAATCCACAGCACAGCTAGAGGTCTTGTTGGCGAAGGAGCGTGAAGTACAAGCGGAAGTTAACGGGGCCAGGGAGGCAATCGAACACGCTAATGCAAGGGCTGATCAGATACGTGGGGACACTCGCGAGGAAGCTGCCAGGTTAAAAGGTAAGTGAGGTTTCCAATCTATCCAAATGATTGGATGTTGATTTATGCGTGGAGGTGTATTCACGATGCTGCAAGATCTGCATGGTTGGCACCTCATGAAGGTGCAAACAGACTTGCTACTGTTCCAATATGATGCGCAGGCAGCCCGGTTCCTCGTCCAGCTTCAATGTCGTGGCCTACAAGTTCATGAAGTTGACATCTCGCTGTTACCCAACGGGCCCTGCCAGACCGAGGATACCATTATCAATGAACTGATGCTAGACCGAGGCAAGACTCAGATAGCCCAGACCAACCTACCAAAGAATCCTGAACAGGTCCGCTCACGCTTTGTTACTTAAGGGGTTTATGGTACACTCATTGTGCCCTATTCGTCAGGTTCTGATAGAGTTGAATCTTATGTGGGGCTGCATGTCACGGTTCAGGCACCAACTACAGACTCTTAAGATGTGGCCACTCCGAGTGGAAATTCTCGACGACAAGGGTTTGCGAGCAACGGCCAAGGTGATGCTCCCCGGCGTGAAGGGACGAGCCGATGTTATCTTCACCTTCAGCCGTGACGTTATCTCAAGTTGGCCGGCGAGAATATCGGGGGTATCCTACGAAGTCTGTCTCCAATATGGAAAAATTGGGTAAGTACTCGTCCCCACAACAATGCATGTCACTCAATTTGTCTCAGTTTGGACGAAGCTAGAAACATCATTGCTGATGCTATGAGCCGAGCCACTCCTACGCAATGTCACAATGTTCTCGCTCGTGCTTGCGCCGAACTGCGGAATGCATACGCGTAACTGTAAGCTTATTGAACTATTTATTTGCCTCCCATTGCGGTTAGGGTCGTGAGAGATGTACGTGATGTAATGTACACCGGAATGCGCAAAAGGTCCTACATAACAAAAGGTCGTGAACATTACACATGCAAATAAATTATAAGATCAAAAAACGAAGGTGCAATTGAGAGCAAACATGTATGATTATACCGTTGGCATCTTGGCATCCAGTGCCAACACCAGCACCTGTAATGTTGACCGTTCGGCGGCAAGGGAGGCATGCTCAATTTTTGCAAACTCCGCTACATAATTCCAAGTTTCCTTCGTGCTATCTGTATAGCTTTGTGCTAACTCGCTCGCCAGCTTACGCATACTAAGCCTGCAAGCCGACTCACGGGAGCGGGTGACCGAGTATGCAGTGGCAATCTCAGCTTCCAAGTTAGCAACCTGAGCTTCCTGGGCCTTTGAAGCTGTTTCGTGGGCGGCAACCTTTACACGTAGCTCAATGATCTCCTGTTCAGTAAACAGGCGCACTGAATGAGGCATCGCCGCGAAAACCGGGGATGGTGAAGGCATTTCTGAGGGAATTGTAGATGCTGGGAAGAGGAGCTGGGAAATAGAGCCTGTTGCACCGCTCTTTTGGCTGTGAGTATAGAAAGAACGGTCTAATGGTGAAGGAGGAACGGACGCAGTCTGCGCATCCGCGTCATCGAGATTGAAGGACAATTCAGATGATCCCGGTGTTGTCAGAAGTAGCGACGATCGATGAACGTCGGGAGTAAACGGTGCCGGGACCTCGGACAACATGGTGTCCATGTCACCTTCTGAGAACTCGCGAGAACGTTCTGCAATGGCGTCGAATGACAGTATCGATGGACGGCTAGTTGGCGAGTTGACGGGCGCTGTGCTAGGTCTCCCACGTCGTGTCGCCCGCGAAGTTGTGCGTAATGGTCCAGGAGGCTGATAAGGCCGACTGGGAGGGAGGAAAATCGTCGGAAGAGAAACTGAATTGGACAAAGGACTGATGCTGGGATTATGATGGTCTGGTGTGAAATTTTCAAGAGAAGGTCCGTCAAAATCTGCCGTGTCATCACTTGGAAGGGTCATGTCAGCAAAAGAAAAATTCATTAGTCGATTTCGTGGAATAGAGAAGGTTTGTTCAAATCTTGGTGGAACTTTGGACGTGGATGGGGTCTTGGGTTGATGAGCTGGAGAACGTGGATGTGAAGTGCGTACGGCTGTGCGACGTGGCGAAGCTGCAACATTATTGGACTGCCGCGAGTTGCTGCGTGAATCTACGACTCTGATGTCACTTTTTCGCTTCTTGAAGGTGCCCCTAAACCCATCTGAAGGATCTCCTTCAGTCGCTGTCCGCCTCGAAGCTGCACCTTTCATAGAGATTCCTTGGGCCCTCTCCCAAGTAGGATAGGATACCATTGCACCAGAGCTACTTGGACGGGGAAGACCGCTTCGTCGCTTAGCAGTGGTCGAATTTGAGTCAGAAACCGAGCTCTTGGAGTTTTTGACCACAATTGAATTAGTATTTGATGGCTCATTCGCTTTCCCACTGTCGTGAGCCCCCCCCTCCGCCGTTGGTGGATTTCCTATCACACACTTGGGGAGAGGACTGAGCGGTCTCTTTATCAGGCTCCGGACTGAAGCAGTGGGAGACGGCTGCCGATGCTCATTCTGATTATCCTTGATAGCCGACTTGATGCTCCCAGCCACCCGAATGGGCAAACCCGTCACAGATTTCTGATCACCATCATCTTCTACAGAACGAGTCTTCTTTGGGGAAGCCAAAGACACGGCTAGCTTCGGCCTTAAATTTTCACGAGGCTCACCGAGTTGAGGCATTGATGCAAAGACCGACGAACGAGGCCTGGTTTTCGGTTGTGGTAGAGCCGAGACTGATGCCACCTTGATAGAAGAAGCTCGGGTTAAACCAGGTACAGATTCAGTAGGAGATGACAAATCTCTGTCTTCGGCCGTCGCAATTGGGAGAGGATGGGGAGAAAGCGAGGGGGTCGCAACTACGCTAGGAGTAGCAGATGTTGAATGAGGGGCTCTAGTGATCAATTTTGTTGGGGGCGAGGCCAATACAGGCCCATTTCTGGGCTTGACTTCAATTGACCTTGATGAACGGCGAGAACCTTCTGGTCCGAAAGCAGATGCGACAGAGGCCGATGAGACGTGGCCTACTCGTCGAAAAGAAGCCCCAGGGCTAGATGGTGCCTTTGATGTAGTCGGTAAAGATGTCCCTTCCCTAGGAACATCCTCACGGGTCAGGACTGGGGTGCCTCTGCCGGTGCCTTTTGATGATGGGCGACTAATAGGATTTCTATCCCGCTTTGGCGGCGTGACTTTAGTGCTGCTAATGGAGCCAGAACGCCTAGCCGGACTGGACGGAGTGGGTTGATTTGGAGGGGACGACTCCACAGCAGTTGACGAATCATAAGCGTCACTTGAGGATTCAAAAACTTTCGCCAAGGCGCGCGCGGACGGCTTTGGAGGAGTATGATTCGATTTTCGATTGTTTACAACATCTGCCAAAGCTTTCCCAACCATCGAAAGGGACCGTCGACCCCCAGTCCCTAGTGCAGGTGTGAGGGCTTTAGGGGGCGCCTTCTGAGGGGTCTTCCTTCCATCTTGAGTTTTCTTCTGAAATATAGGCATCCCCGATCCTAAAATGCTACTCGACTACTGAGGGGGGTGTAAGCTGTTTTCCGCGTAAGGTCGGTCGTGGCCTATGATTGCTTTCTCACAACAACAGCACTAGTTAAGCCAAAAGGACACATACTAAGTTTACACACGGTATCCCCAACCCTCGTCCTAGGTATTGAACTTAATCTTATTCCCAATGCACGCGCAAGACGCGCGAAAAGTGCCCGGAGAGACGTGTCCTAATGGAGTCCCAAAGACTTGTCGACCCTTGTTGTGGCCTGTTTTCGTGACACCACGGACAAACAATGCAGTCCCCACATGTCTGCTGCAGTAAAAACTTCTCACGCCCTGAACACGCGTTCCGCTGGACAAAGGCTTTTCTCATTGCGATCCTTAAAAAAAATTCACTCATGAAAATTTCGTGGCGTGCTCATGTATGGCGCATCGCGTAGTGAGCTTAGTCTCATCTATGACGGTGGTGTTTCTCCTACGACCATCAAAGTCCCCAATTCGATTGCATGCAAGGAACCTCGCTGTTACTCCATTGCATTAGCCCAACCATCGAGCAGACTGCCGTATCAGCTGTGTCGAAACGAATGGCTGCCGGACGAAGACCTGGACGAATTAAATTAGGCACATGCCTCTACCGCAAGGCGGAAAGCAGCTCTTTTGTTTGTAAACACGAGGCGGTTGCTATGGCTGGATTACCTTGCAATTGAAAATCATCCACACTTACCCAGCTGCTATCACCTGAGATAGACAGTGCGTATTACACATCTCTGCATATAACCCTCTGGATCTTGGTGTCTCCTAGTCCTCTCAGATTACTACTTCTTAACGAAGCCAGCCCCTCATCCCGCACCAACGAAATGGCGGACACGATCCCTCCCGTTATCACGGAAGCTGAGACAAATGACGCCGCTAGCGTCTTTCTCGCCGAACAAACGTTCTCAGTTCCGCAAACACCAGGCGGTGCACTGTCGCGGGCCTCGTCTTATGCTGGTCCTGAGTTTGGACCTCTCCAGGAGCTTGTCACTACGATGAAAGGGACGCTTGACCACCTCGGAGGCGTCTTCGATACTCTTGGAGAGCAGTAAGCTTCCCTCAGGCCGTCCCAATGATTTTGGAATTCTAAGGAACACCCAACTCCTCTAGGACAGCTCGCGTGGCTAGCTTGGCGCCCGCACTACATACCGCGCATCAAATCCACCAGCTTCGCAAACAATTGGTGGTTCAAGATCGCCGCCAGGTAGGATTTCAGCCCTATTGCTCTGACAGTTGGTAACAACTTCGGTTATAGGAGGAACGTATACAGGAACTTAAGCTGCTCCTGCGGGATGTGTTGAAAGAACAAATTGCTACCCATCTTCGGGTCCATGTTACCCGCATGATCAAGGAGCAGGTTAGTCGCTGGACAACCTATCCGCACATGCAAACTAAAATCTCTCAAGATTCAGTCGAGGGTCAAGGATCAGGTTTCGAAACAGGTAAATCCCGATGATTTTGTTTGTGAGGAGCGGTATTGCTAATATCTGGGAAACACAGTTGCAACTGCAGTTCCCCGAGGAGATGCGCATCCAAGGTAGGGATTCGCCTTGTTGCGGGTATCAAACTTAATGAGTTGCACTGCAGTTGCCCAGCATCGGCCGCAGCTTGCAGGCGTAAAGCGCAATCTCCACGACACGTAAGCTAAGCTACTAGTAGCTAAGGCCCTCATGTTAACCACCTTCTCCAGTAACGCACGCCGTCACAACGCACACTTCAAGTCGCACCAACTCTTCGAGCCCCTGCAACCCTTGCACACGGCTAATGGGAAACCTAGTCCCGACTTTCCTAAGGACCTCGCTACTATGTTCTCGGTGGATGGTTAGTCTATCCCTCCTCCAATCAGTCAATGATCTTGACATCTCTCCCTTTCAAGCTGCAACTGCAAAGAAGCTGTGCAAGGATTATGAACTACCATTAGGTACAGGATAAACTTGAATTTGGTGCCGTCTCCACTCATCATCGCAATTCTTAGCTCCTGGGGGTGCTGCAGACGAGCGGGAACAAAATCTAAACAAGTTCATGGCATACTGCGGAGTAAGGATATTTGGACATCGAGGCCCAACCGTCTACTCACTATCTTTTAGATGCAATTCCACATGCTACCCCCACCGCCAAGAATACAATTCAATGGCTTAGCCGTGAGTCCTTGTTCCCTAAGCCTAAGCCTTAGACATCGACTAATATCACGCCTTCTAGTTCGGCGCCTGATTCACCTGTCTTGCTATTCATGTCCTCCCCCCTTCCGCATTTCTTGTGATCGCCCTGTTACCTCACGGCATCATTGAACAAAAGCACGTAGCTGAGCTTGAAATCCGCTTTGTGTTCAACGAGCTCCATAGCTAGAATATACTTATGTTCATCTACACGACCTACATACAACGCTGGGAAAGCCAGGCTAGTTCCCTTGATATCGAACGTTCGTCTTGACAGTGCCCCATCTGTTTGTTGCTCCATTTCGGTTTGAAATATTGTCGGATTGATGTATAAGTACTAAACCCGCACGATATCTTCTGCCATGAGAACGCCCTCCGAGAATGCTTTGTTTCCATACCAAATCGCTGCATAGCCACAAATGCGAATTGAGGTAACTTGGCTTCGTTCTGGAAGTTTTCTATTCCAATAGAGGTGAACTCGCCTGGAAAGCTTTGACTTTACTTCGTACCCCCGCCTCCCAATGTCCTCTCCAAGTCCTACGACATCCTCGGAGAATCCTGCCCAGCAGTCTCGCCCCGTGCCTGTATCATGGCTCATACTTAAGCTCATGTCAGCGTTACCTGCTCTCTGTCAATGGGCGCAAGTACCAGTGACAGATCTCAGCTCGATCGACCAATGGAAGGCGTGCGGCGGAAGCTGGTAGGTTTTCTTTAGCTCCATAGCTCTTTCCCTGCCCTTAACCAATAAGCATTGACATTTCTCGTCGTTCTAGTTTATTGCTTAATGGGCTCGCCCAAAGGGGTGGTACCAAGAAAGAGGTGTACAATGTTGTGGCGATTTGGCTCCGCAATATCGCCACGCGACACCAGGAAGATGTTCAGATAATCACAGTGCTCGTCCAAAAGTGGTTGTATACATATGGCCGGTGGCCGATCACGATCGCGCTCTTCGTCACATCCGCGCCTTCAGCTTCAAAGCCTCTCCTTCCTTCTGGACAGCAGCCAGAGGGGGATGATGTCCCGAACGGATTAAGAGGGGACGTGTATAAAGCTGCGATGGACTTCAAACAATTTTTGGCCGACGATGCAAGTGATCACACTACATTACCTATGGTGCCTGTGTTTTGGGAGGTTCGTCCCCCAGTTTCTGTCACTATATCCCATCCTCGGACTATTTTCTATATAGGATGTGTTTGCCTTGCGGATGTCTTTGACTAGGGTAAGCCGCGCCGCTGGATCGTCATTTCCGCCGCCGAAATCTCAAGAGACGCCCCCTAGATCCTCACAACCAGGCCCCCCATTTCCCCTAATCTCCTCGATGCAGTAAGTGCACTATCTTTGACATAAGCATATTGCTGTTGCTGAGGACTTCTCAAGGCCTCATCCGCGCTTGAAACCCCTGCTCGACCCGATCCGCACCATTCTGATCCGAGCGTTGAACAAGTGAGTTGTCGCTGTCTTTTTACTTCTGCTACCATGTATACTGAGGACTAAGTGACCCAGACTTCAGAGGTCAGTCAAAATACTCTGTCCAATCACCGCACTGTATTTCCCGATGACGAACGACGTATAATCCATAGGCACTGAAGGGATTACAGCTTGATTCGTCGAAGGAGCCTGTGTCATCTCCCGCGAGCTCGCGCTCGGCAACGCCGAAAGGAAATGACGTTTCCAGCGGGAACGAAGCGAGCTCCGAAGAAGATTCTTCCCCTGAAGGAGCGACGAAATAAAAGCACTAGTTCACATTCCGGTTTGGTGGGGTATGCTAATTGCTTACAGTCCGTTTGCTAATGGAGTAATTATCCCTAGATTATTGTTTGTTTGAAAATTCACGAATGCGGGAGGGCCCACGCGGGACACCAAGCTTGTTGGATTGTAGACTCCCACTTGATCGGAGTCCTCTTGATTATATGATTGTTTTGTTATTATATCAATGTCACGCGGTCCCTTCAATGCTTGGCCGAAACAGCTCGCACTCATAAGCCATTACCATCCATGTCCGTGCCAAAACTGATCCCGGGAAATGTTGTCGCCCAGCATAATTCGAGAGAGAGCTGCTGGATCATCGTCCACGGTCGGTGTGATGCAATATTCGTTATTTGTGCATCCTAAGACTTTGCAATTACCGAAGGCAACGTGTACGACGTGACCGAATTTCTTGACGAGCATCCAGGCAAGGGATTCCCTAGATTTCGTCGATGAACGCGTAGTGGTGAACTTCATCTCTGGCTGGGTTCGATAGGTGGTAGTAAAATCATCCTGAAATACGCTGGTAAGGACGCAACGTAAGAAGCTGTTCGGGCTGCTGTCATCGCTGGGCCAGTTCCTGACTTTTCCATATGGTAGAGAGGAATACGAGCCGATACACCCTCCGGACGCTATCACAACCCACCTCCCTAACGAGAAGCAGTACGTCTCGTTTGGACCAATCATGCCATTGGTGCTCGGTGCTTGAACTGACCAACGTGAACGTCATTGCTTTTCCGGACCGCTAGCCTCGGCCCAGTGGATTCTTCATCAGTTATTAAAGTAGTGAAGGAGGTCACTCGGGAAGAGAAGGACCGGCTAGCACTATTCGAAACTCGGCCACCGATCTCAGAATGCTTGAGCCTACATGATTTCGAGGTAACTGACGCCCTGCCGAGGCTACTCAATTCCCGGTGGTTCCGAACTTTAGTCACTGACCCTTTCATGTTAGACTGTGGCTAGGCAGGTCATGCCCGCAAAGGCGTGGGCATACTATAGCTCGGCAGCCGACGATGAGATCACAAGCCGCGAAAACCACCTCGCTTATCACCGTATCTGGTTTAGACCTCGAATATTGAGGAACGTTTCTGTGGTAGATTACAGCACCGCTATCTTGGGACATAAATCAACCATGCCAATATACATCGTAAGCTGGGGAGCTAATACCATGCACCCAATCTAACTCACACCGCGAAGACTGCCACTGCTCTTGGAAAACTTGGCCATCCTGATGGCGAACTCAACCTCACGAGAGCGGCCGCCAAGAAAGGCGTCATCCAAATGGTCGGTCCTTTACATTCTGTACTATCAGGACCGGTTTGCTCATTCATTCCTTGTGCTCTCGTCAGATCCCTACATTAGCAAGCTGCTCCTTCGACGAAATTGTCGATGCTGCGGAACCTGGACAAGTTCAATTCTTCCAACTCTATGTGAACAAGGATCGGTCAAAAACGGAAAAGATTGTAAGACATGCTGAGAAGCGGGGCATCAAGGGGTTATTCATTACTGTTGACGCTCCACAACTTGGACGGCGAGAGAAAGATATGAGGATGAGCTTTGATGACGCAGGTGCTCAAGTGCAGAGTGAAGAGGGTCAGAGTATTGATCGGAGCCAAGGGGCAGCCAAGGCAATAACTGTGAGTGCAGCGGCCCCGCTTTGCAGCCCTGGATGCAGTGCCTAACTCATTGTGCCCAATCCAGTCATTCATTGACCCTTCTCTCAATTGGGACGATATCAAGTGGTTTCAAAGCATCACACGAAGTGGGTAAGCTGACCATTTGAAACCAACAATTGTTTTTTTTTTTTTTTTTTCAGTGCCGATTATTCTCAAAGGAGTCCAGACTTGGGAGGCAAGTAAGAGCGTCACCTCATGTATATTATGGTACCAACTTTTCCCCTTCGCCTCCGCAGGATGCAGTGCTCGCCGTGGAGTCTGGTGTGCAAGGCATCGTTCTTTCCAACCATGGAGGTCGTCAACTTGAAGTGTGTGTCCCTCCGAAATATGGACAAATTCCGCTGAACGTTTGGCTTGTCATTAGTTTGCCCGGTCGGGAGTCGAAGTCCTCGAGGAGGTTGTTTCTGCCCTTCGGGAACGTAACATGTTCCCTAATCCCCGCTTTTCAATTTTTGTGGACGGCGGTGTGAGACGGGCTTCCGATGCACTGAAGGCCATCGCAATGGGTGCTACTGCAGGTGGGAAATGAAGTGAACCACCAAGGACTCTCACGAATGGCTGTTGTTTCTCCCAGTTGGTATTGGCCGGCCCTTCTTGTATGCCTACAGTGCTTACGGGCAAGCGGGTGTGTCCTTCATATTTAAATCAAAAAGCCGTCCTTTCCTGATATTTCATGATTGCCCAGGCGTAGAAAAAGCGCTTCAAATCCTTGCGGTGAGTTTTTTGTTGTCCACGGTCACATCCCCCCGTCCTTATTGAATGTCACAAGGATGAGTTTGAAATGAATCTGCGGCTTTTGGGAGCTAGGAATCTCTCCGAAGTGGTGCCGGCGGTGGTAGACACAAGCAGTCTAAGGAATCATGCTACGAGCGTTCCAGAAGATCACATGTATGGAAGAAATTGTGAGCATATACCTTGACCTGTTTCTCTTTCCATGCTCACGATCCAATGCCCAGATGTCAGCATGACAGGACCTAACTTCCGGTCACTCAGTGGGCGTGGACAAAAATCGAAACTCTGATCTTTTTGTCGACTATATGTATATTAATCCTGTGGCTGTATGTGCTCATCATCGCAGCACCAGATAGTATCAACATAGATCACGCAAACCAGAGTTGCTACTTGATTGACAGGATTGAATAACATGGGAAGGGTATGGATGTTTTTACCATTGTAACAGATCAAAGAACAAATAGAACACGAATAGTTCAGAAATACAACTTAGGGATAAAAAGTTCGTAATGGCTATAATTCGTTCGTTGAATCATTCGAAGGATCTTACGACTTTTCATCGCCAGTTTCATTTGATTCGAATGGTTTAAAGGTCGTCTTGAGAGGGCTAGACACTCGTGCTGCAAACTCATGAACAACACTATTCACGATGGAAAAAGTAGAGACTTACGTGCAAAGGCTTGACTCCTGCACCGCGCACGTTCCAGAGGAGGCATATTCGACTGGGAAGATGCTGCATGAGGGTGGGATTTAGCTAAAAGTAGCGCAACAGACATTGACTGGTACCTTGAACGATGACGGGTGATGACGAAGAGGCCACTATTGTCACATCTCCGTCCGACAAAGCAGAACGAGAAGGAAAGAAATCAACCTCCATGGTTGAGACGAGCGGTCTGGGAGGGGATGGAGGAATCAACCCAGCGCCAAGAGCACTCTCGATAACCATCTTCGGCTGCATGGACTTTCGTCTCTGAGAACCGGTTAGAACTATCATTCCACAACTACACACGAGAAGACGTACTCTTTCCATCACTACTGGCCCCGGTTCATCTACAAGGAAACGCGATTCATCCGCTCGCTCACGCCTTTCCACACACTCAACAACCCAACCGATACCGACCAAGAATGGTTTCGGTTCGTCATAGAGCTTGTGCTTCCCTAGCGTAGTCGGTGATCCAGATTTGAAAACGACGTGCGTGATGCTGGGCGTCAATCGAGTGAGAATCTAAGGCCGAGATGGAAAACAATGAAATAACGATACAAATGCAAAAGATATAGATAAAATCCAAAAAGCTTTTAAGTGGAAGGGACCAAAATTCATGACATAGCATCACTCACTCGTGCACCTAAGCCTTTCAGCATGTTAATAAACAGCTGCCCTGCATCTGATCCATCATCAGTCCGCACGTCAACGTATATAACGCAATCCTTTAAGGTTTTTAATCGTGTTTTGGCTCCATTCGAGGCAATAACACTTGGTTGCAATGTCGACATTGAGGTCTCGGCCTCGGATTCGGGTTGGACAAGTGGAGTCGCCTGGTCAACAAGAGACCTCGAAGCCATTGATGCCCATCGGTTGCGCTGGTCACTGAATGCGAGCGGGGCAGTGGAGGAGGTCAGAGGGGGGATCTGTTCAGCTTGGAGTCCCATCTTTGCTGCTACTAGAGGTAGGGTTGGCATGACCGATTTTTGGGCACTAGAAGTATTGGGAACACCACTGAAGGGCATTGTATTCACAGTCGATGCGGTTGACTTGTCGCCTGATTCGCTACCAGCGAAGGTCATTCTTGCGCGATGTCGTGGTATCTTGAGCTTTTCCAGCGCGGATTCAAGATTGGACAATGAGGTTTGGGTCGAAGAGTGAAGGGATGTCCGACGGTTAGTAGAGACTTGATCGTTAAATCCCATTGAGGTGTTCGGACGTGGGGGGCGGGTGGTGGGTGCAGGAAGAATCGATGAAACCGACCGTTTCGTCGGAGGCCGGTACACGGGCGCAAAATTGAGTTTAGTTTGACGACCTGGACCTGAATTCCACGCGGGTCGAGATGTTGTCGCTTTACCGGATGATCCGGCTACTCTCCTGTCACCAGCAACCACACGAGCACTGGCCAGTAGAGGCTTTAACGTGGGCCCTTTGAGTTTGAAAGTACCAGCAGCAGCCGCGAGAGTGGTCCGTCGAGGGATCATGGACGATCCTGGAATAGGCACTTTCGGCAGGGTCATCTTAGAGCCATCATCGAGCTTTGTTCTCTTCGATGGACTCTCAAGTACCTCTGTAACATCATCGTCATTCATCATGCTCATATTTCTATCTCGATAAGTAGAAATGTTCTTGGTACTTGTTTCCGGTGCTCTGCCTTCGGCCGATAGAGTGGCCCGGGAAAACAGCTGGGGTGCAGGGAGGGGTTTCTTTGAAACGTCATCAGAAGCCACATTACCCCCGACATTAACATTGCTCCTCACCGTAGGTGGGGCAGGTTTAGGCGTGCTGGATACTGAAGGACGCGAGAGACGCTCATATAGAAATGGCTTAGATGGTGATTTGCATTTGTGATGGGATGTGGGTGGGTTGAACAGGTCAATGGTCATCACCGATGTGCTGATGGCTGGACTGGGGAACGCGGAAGAAACTGTTGACACAGGTTTGACTGATGACAGCATGTTTAATATGGGTATATCCTTATTGGGCGCAGGAGTAATTGTTGGTCGCGTTGTTGGTGTGGTGGATGCACTGTGGGCACATGTTGCAGGATCGGACACTGATGGTGTTGGTTTAATGATGGCAGGGCCCAGCGGACTTGGTGTAGAGTCCGCACTATGTGCTTTACGCGGAGACGCGCTGCCTAATCTAGACTTCTTGAAGATGGGGTCTGTGTCATTCTCTTCATTGAAGGAGGATGAGCGAGCGCGCTTCTTGATTGACACTGAAGATTCCGTTTTCTCCACTTCCATACAATCAGACGAGAATGGATTGTGGGTTCGATGCGATTTTGTCGGAGAGTTAGTTAAGGAGTCCTGCAAGGGCCGTCGCGACGCGTTTCGGGCAGCCACTTGAGAGCGTGTCCTGATAATAAAACGCGACTTCAGCACCGAGTTTGGTGCCGGTATATTGCCTTGTGACCCTCTTGATTGCATGACACACGAATAGCGCAGCAAGTTTTGATATCGTGAACCAATCTTCCCCGAAGCATGGAAAGAAACTTCAGGCAAGAGACCATGCGTGAGCAATACCGTTTTGGAAGCAATTGGGCAAATATTAAAAGCTCTTACGGCTCGAATATCCACTAGTGGGTTCTCCAAGTGTATCACAGCCCGCGTCCAACGTTGACGCTGGGTTACCCGTCACTCAACACTCAAGTCAAATTGAATTTGATCTTACGTAAGCATGACTGACTTCTGTCCCCTCCATTGAACGTTGGGGACAAGAACAGATGGTACAAGAATGCTGATAATGATACAAAATTGCGGGTAGTAAATCAGAACCCAGAACACTATTAGTCCATAAATAATAAAGCGCTAACTCCCCAAATTCATGCTCCTTACTCCATCCCCAGCTCCTTGTATTTTTCTACTACGTTCACGTTCTTCCTTATCAGAGGCCCTATTCGGTAAACGGTGCACGGGCCTCAGGATGGGGGACGAGTGCACACTCATGCTTCTTGATATTGAAACAGGCGACCGAGGAACACCTGGTGGGCCGAAATGTCCAGGAATGGAAATGGATATCGGTGACGATGTTGCACTAGAGGACACTGCATGTGCGAAAGAGACAGACGGGGACACAGCACGTCTCTTTGATGACGAGTAACTATAAGGCTCATATCGCTCGTCTCCAGTATCTGTGGCGCGAAATGGTGTGAACAACTTGAAGCCGGAACGGAAATGTCACAACTAACGCTTTCGTTTGTGCACTCTTCCCGAAGCTGTTGGAGTGTCTCTCCAGCCATTTCCGTTCCCGTTCGTGGAGTTGTGACCGCCATTGGAATAAGCTGACCCCGATGCCCCAGCCATTGGTGTAGAAGTACCACTCATGGCAACGGTAACTGCGGGACTTGCAGCAATACTTGGTGACGTAGAGAGATTAGCCTCAAGAGGCATAGCGTAAGCTTGTCGCTTTGATAAATGAATACACATCGAGTTTACCATGTCCACATCCATGCCACTTCCTGGACCTGCGTAAGGGCTCTGATTCAACCATTGCTGGTCTTCAAAGGTGCTGTGGCCGATGCTTCCTTCACCGGGAACACTTTGGGGATACCCCAAGACGTAGTCACTCTCATCATCCTCACTTGGTGTGTGCTCTTCATCGTCATCCTCAAAGCTAGCCGATTCGGGGAAGCGACCGCGCGCGCTTCGTGGCGTACGAGGATAAAACGGGATGGGTAAGTCTGCGTGAGAAGCAAGGAGTCGCTGGAACGATGCTTCGGAACGCAATTCTTCTTCTACGGGCTTGGATTCAGAAAGGAGAGTGAGTAGCCTTGGCGGCTTGAGCTGTAGAAAAGGGGATGTCGGTAAGTAACAGGAGCCCGTAAGAAATGTCACCAAACCCACAGGAAATCTTCGAGGGAGGTCAGATGAAATTGAAGGATTGAAAGGAGAATCAAGACGAGGAGGGGGTGTTGTTGGCCGAGTAGGTTCATTTGCCTGGATTTCGCTCTCCCCTCCTTCACTTTCATCCAGTGTCATGGTACGACTACCCGGCCGACTCCGTTCAATCGAAGGGAGAGCCTCACCCTCGTCTTTATTTTCAGTTTCTGTGTCATTCCGTTCCATGGTGAGAGGACTAGATGCTCGGTCCTTCCAGGGCGAAAGTATGCCAGTGTTAATTGGGTTGGGGGAGCTGCTGCCACTAGAGCTGTTCCGGGTGCCTCGGCTGTAAGATCGGGAAACCGCAGGCTCACTCAACCTGTCGCGGTGAAAACTCAACAAGCTCGACCTGCGCAGCTTTCTGTATAGCGGATATGAGCTAATGGCTGCGTTGGTAGAAGGGTTGGTAGGATAGCAGAAGTCATCAATGACCATGGAAGAAGTGGATGGGGACGAAGGTGCAGAGTTTGAAGAGGAGTGCGACAACGCAAAAGAAGCAAGAGAAGTGGGTAGCGGTTGTCGGGGAGAAGCTTGCATCGGGTCGACCGTCATTTCGAGGTCATTTGGAGTGGATGGCCTTTTTACCTGACTGAGAGTGGAGGGCATCATTCGCTCTCCCATGCAGGACTATGGCTATGTTCGAGGGCGTCCCTTAAGCGAAATTTTCAAATCGCCGGTGTCGCCAGTCGCGCCACAATGGAAGGTTGAGATTCTGAGGATTGAAGGTCCCCCCCCCCCTTGCACATAGAGTGCCTGTTAAATCAAATTTATGCCGAGCTATATCGTATTTGGTCAAGCCTAAAGTAGCGAGGATTGGCGGATCGAAGGGAAACGCACAGACGGAGCCTTGGGCATTATCGGTCACGTCACACTGTCACAGCACGTACCTGCCCCACTGATTGGTGCATGGGCAGAATTAAGCAAATATCATGAACGTACTGCTCCATCTGTGCCACAGGGATAATAAATAAAGAGGCAGCCCCTCATGATCGGCCCTCCTACTTCCTTTTGGGGCGTTCATGAGCAACTTTCGGAATGAAATAAACTCCTGCACCAGCCTGTTCTGCTCCCTCTCTTCAAGTCAGGCCATCTATGAAAGACTTTTGTTTTCTGTTAATACCAGAACTTTCCCGTCTGCGCCACGACTTCCGCCCATGGGCCCTGCGGCTGTCAATCGCTCGCGTACAGGACCCCACGTTCCTCATGGAACGCCCAGGTAAACGTATGCGGGTCGACCTATGATATGTCGTAACGATACATATTGATCTGGAATGCCCTGCGTGTGACGTGCGCTCGTGTCTTCTGAGACTGTTGTTGACATGTGCAATAGACTATGGTATGACAAATACACTCAAGCTCGTCCAGAAATATCGCGAGACGCAGCTGTTCGAGGTGAAACACGATGGAACTAGGTATGATGTCGCAATGCCATCGAGCAGCAATCTATCGCACACGTTCATAAAGAACGATTTCTTGGCTTGAAGCTGCTTTCAGAAATGAGGTCTTCTTTCCTTCACTGGAACGTAAGATGCCTCTTAAATCTTAAAAATAAATGAAGCCACCCCACATGCATGTGCAGCAGTAGGGGCGCCACTCTGTTACCCTTCACCTATTTCTTCCGCTCCGATGCGCATGGGTGGAAACCTCCTGGCCACTCATTGATGCCGTGACGCTGTTCACAGGAGGCGCTGCCTCCAACGTGTAGTACACACACCACGCGGAAGCGTTTCGCCACCTCTAGGAAGCTGAGCCCTCTTAGACTTCTACGGTCTAGCAATGAGGACACGCTATATCACTATTAGAGCGGCTGATAGGGGGTGACTGCTCCCGGTACCCCTCCGCATCACCACCCTAACTTACCGATTGTGTTCTTCTCTGCGTCTCCGCCCTACCAGGAATTACGCCAAGGAACCCACTTTAGCCCCACGCTTTTGGTGCATTAAAACTATCAATGTTTCTGAGCCGGATCAACGAGGCTGTTTTCAATCTACGGACAGTTTAGAACCATGGCTCCAAACACCTAAGACACATGGTGCGTTACCTGGGCTTTCCGTGTAACCGGGTCGAGGCTACTGAATGGGAGATGCTCCAAACACTGTTGCCTTTTGCTCCAAGTGGTAGGACACCGACATACGGCGATGTAGCCTCGCTCCGCCACACAGATCGCCGTGCCCAGCATTCAATCGACATTCGGCACGGATCTGAACCCATGCCCTGATACCATGTTGGAGACACGAGACCACGACAACATAAAGAAATTAACATGTCATGTGTGCTGTATGATGGGGAGATGGCGAACCCTTCACCCTGGAGTTTTGTAAGACGCGACAGCGAACAGTGGCGCCATTCCCGAGGCCGGACAGCAGCTAACTTATTCAATCTCATGTATTCATGTTCAGCGTTGTGACAATATTATTGTGAATCCCGAACAGCAAGCTCCTTGCATGCAATAACAAATTCATAAATTCCATACATAACCAAAACGACAGGCCAACTCTACTGATCAGAAACAACAGTCACCGAAGTAACAACGGCGACCTTATTTACTTCGTATTATACTTTTGCTTCCCAATGTCGAAGGGAATGTATCTGTACTTGATCATATGGCTGTTCCACAAGAATGATTAATCGTGCCCAATAGGAAGAAAGGAGTGGCAACACGTACGAGATCTGGCGTTTCATCGTAAGGCCAAAGAGAATAAGGAAGTACATAAGGAGGATTGGCCAATAGACAGGAATATCGAACAATTCCGTAGTAGTGCACAAGAGAGAGATAACGGTCGCTCTCGTTGCAGAAAGCCTGGGAACAAATAAAGTCGGTGGCAGTCGTAGCCTTGGCATACGAATGTACACACCAGAAATCCCACTCGGGAAGCCGTCGCATAAACGGTCGGAATTCCTCATCAGCATACCTTGGCATCGTGTTCATGTCCGCTGCATCTGCTCCTTCTTCAACTGCATCGGCATTCAGGTCAGCTTGTAATGATGGGTCAAATTTAGGTTGTAGGAATGCCAATAGAAGGTTAAGTAGGTATATAGCGTGGGCGTCTGAGGGCGTGAACTGGGTTAGCCATCATCACCTTTGAAACACGCCGGGGCTCACAGCATACAATGTACCACTGAGGTGATGATGAGTCAGAAGCACTCTAAAACTTTGAAGGAACAGCATACCCCTTGGGCCAGCACAATTCTGAGAATGAACAAGGCGATAAGAACGACGGTGCTTAGCCATCGGTGCAAAACATGCGGAACAGAGCGGTCAAGATAAGTTTGGTATATTCTTTGGTACCGCTTGATCTTCGAGAATCTGCACAAGAAAGTAGATGAGGCCACATCCTCAACGCGTAGAAAAGGTTGGCATACAATGGCTGAAGTGCCTCAGACATTGGCGACTCATTAGTCGAAGATGGATCCATCATTGCCTAGCCAGCTGCCGTCCCTAGAATCTCTGATGAACGGAGCAACTGCGAACAGTATCGACAGATTTTGGCGACGCGAAGTCAACGGAGTTACAGCTAAAACCCGACCTAACCCCGGGTGCTTCGCAAATGTAAAATATAGGCTCAAGTTGGGTAGGACTCTAGTCCCTATAACAAATTCTAAATCCTCATCAATGCAGTATCTAAGACTGGTACAAATGAGCAGATAGGATTCGTTGCAATTGAACGCATTCCTTCAACGTCCCGAGGATTTCTGCTTTACTTCAGTATTCTCACCCAGTTCATCCAACTAGAGCCATCTTTTAGGGATACGCTATACCAAACGAGACCGAAGGACTCACGAGCTGTAATTGGGTTCTGAACTTCCGCGCCTTCTGCCCCCCTGGCCGTGATGGTGGCGCTTGACGAAACAATCCAGGCAAGTCAAGGATCATTTTGACAAGTCCCCGGATGGTAGCCCTGCCCGGGGCACCGGCCATGACGTGCGGAAAGACATCTTTTCAAGCTTTCTTCCTGCATAATGGGGTGGACATAGCATACGCTCCTCATGCGCAAACAATTAGAAGTTTCTCAACTCTCTAACCGCCGATGAAAGTTGATATTCTGACGCTTCCGGATCCATTAGTTGCTATGATTCGTACTAACAACTCATGTACGATGGTTACATGCATTGTGATGAGCTTTTATTCCACAAATGCGGGATATATATGGAGGATTCTGTCTTGGCTCATAAGACAACAAGACACAAAGGCACTCGCACACCAAGAACACCGAGAAAGGACTGACAGATCACGAAGGCCTGAACGTTGACACGGATATTCATATCCGTTCATTTCAATTTTCTTCGCTTGGGGCTGGGGTTCGTCATTTCTTATCTCACATTGTATCTCCCATAGACAGGCTATTCCTCATAGCCGGTGAGTATTTCGTCAAAGGTGGTGGCTGAGGGTGCAGCCAAGCGTTGCATCTCACTCGAGAGAGTATCCGGGTATAGCGGAGAAAGTCGGATTAGGGAGGGATGGAGGACTTGCCTAACACCAGGCATGCAGGATCCAAGCATGGTTGGGCGAATTTAGGTTTAGTCTCTTGACTGAGGCTATTGAACGAAGACCACTTACCGGTCCTTGCGTTTCTGAGCCACAAGCGGTAGACCCGACCACATCGTGGTGGGGCCAGATGCACTCATTCCGACGAATGATACAGCCTAAGCCCATGTTAATTGCGGGCGCGAAGAGCAGAGCGAGTCAGTGGCAGACGTGTAGGCACAGTGTGAAGGAATTCGTGTCGTTCACACAAAATGCGGGATGACGGGACAAACAAATGGGATAAATTTGTTAGTCGTTACTTCCCTCCAACTCGTGACAAAAGATAAGGGAACCAAACATTAATTATCATCCGTCATGAGGCATTTACAGAAGATCGTTGACCCAGCACCATTGCTGCACCGTCCCTGCACGTTCCTACTGCAGCCCTCCCAAGAGAGAGAGAGAGAGAGAGAGAGGGATCCTACCGATCAAACACCCCACCAATGAAACATTGTCCTCTAGGATTCCTCTATAGAGTGACAGCGAAGATAATACATCATTCATTTTTAGTGGATCATGGAAGGCCACCTCAAGGCGTCTGAAAGGGTTCACTCACCAGCAATGAGAGCTAGGATCATTCTAGTGTGTACAAGGGCAGGAAAGGCAGCGTTACTACTTGTCCCTGGACGGGGATCCGTTCATGAAACGTGGGGAACTCACCGGTACAGGTAATAGAAGAACGAAACAAGATAAAACCCTAGTTTTATAAAGCTTTCTTTCTTCTGGGCACCAAGCGTTCGGAAAATCTCTGTTGCGTCGTACATGTGATTTTGCTGTCGGACTCTATGGTGAGCAGAGAGGCAGGGCTTCAGCAAGAATTCTGTAACGACGATAGGAAAGTAAACGAAGATATTACTTTTGCACATTGTATGCGATTAACGGCACATTGAGGAGGAAGGACATCCATTGCCCCGTAAATAGGAATAATAATGAGAGAGCAGCATGTGCCCCCATTTCTGGCAGCACGAACTAGCGAAATGAAGGAAACGTCAGTCGTTATACGGCCATCCATGACAAACGACTGTACCTGATTGAGCTTCTGGCAGAGGTCGATAGGGTTGATGTAGTCGCATTCCAGGTCAGAGAACATTATTATCTATCAAAATGCATAGAAAGCGCCGAAATCCAAAATCAGCTCTTTCTGATGTGGCCAAAGCTTGCCACTGCATGCCGCATACGTAGAAAACCATGGTGAAGAGCAGTGCAGCCGCAGCAAGAACGCTGAAGAGATAAAGCCAACCTGAAATAAAACAATTAAATCATTGGGACCTAGCCCCGTCAAAAGGTAATTCTCGGGAATTTCCCTCACCTGTGCCACTCATTTTGGGCCTATGGATGAGTCTGTGGTTATACTGGGCTCAAATAGGGAGGGACTGTGAACTTGACGATGTCACCTAGGAGAAATTAATGTCGTAGTCGGAAAGACGCGTGTCCGAGGTGGCACTTTGCTTCCGGCCTTGGCGCTTATAAATTCTTTGCGCTCGTTTTCCCCATTTGGACAAATGGGAGTGTGAAACATGGCGCTACATGATACGGTGCAGAATTTTCCCGTATGCTAGTACTGGCAAGCAAATTTGCGTATATGGTGGAATGTATGAGTCTTGTTCAACAACCAGTGCCAAATGTTAGACACCCGGGTAGCACTATATCTGATCTACAAGAGCAATCATGCATATCCTACAAGGGGGGTATATTAGTGGGCCATGTATCTGTCTTGGAGTTAGTTGTCCAGGTCTTCGTGACCGTATGAAATCGAAAGAAGAGGGGTCAGAATTGCACGTCGAATTCTCAGGAGATGACTCATCACCCACTTCCAAGTTCTAGATTCGTGCTTGCGCTTAGATTGCTAAAGGCCTCCCCCAACAATTCCACCAACCTATTGTCCCAACATCTGCAGGTCAATACTCTTTCAATAGAACCTGAATTCATGCAGCTTCTTACGTATCGGGGAATCCGTCAGGGATTTGGCCCATAGCATCAGCCTTGTAAGACGATTGAGCTGGTCTTCTCTCCCTTCGCAGTATCAACGCAAAAGGACTCACAAGAATGTCAGCATGGCCCATAGCCTCATTTACAAAATCTTGGATGATCCATGCATCTTGGATAATGTCTAGCCATCCACCGCGACCCTCCACGGTATACGGCAAACACAACAACTCCTCTACGTCCCATACCCAGAGTTTAAACTTCCGACCAACTGCCGAAACACCCCACATCCGTTGCAGGCCAAAGAAATCGGCGTCGGTGGATAGATATCGAGGACTTCTTGCCTCATATTCCTTCACTTCTTGTAAATTGAGCTCCACCGCGTTCGATCCTTGCAATGGAAGCTTCGGCTTGAATGTGTCGAGGAGAATGACAGGAAATGGTTTCGACCCTTCGACGCCGATAGGGTGATAGACTAAGGCGAGATCGGTCTCCACATGTCTCGGTCGCTGGGGGTCAATCTGTCCAGCCCTCACAGACCAGAGCTTAGTCACGGTATGTTGGTTAAGCAGATAATTCCAGATAGCCTTGGTTTGCTGGCTCGACCATCCTGTTGAGTCTGCAGCTTGAACTAGGGCTGCGAGCACCTCCGAGTTGTACAACATTGAGGAGGCGTATTCTCATGGAAAGATTTGGAACGATCGATTTCAAACGAGGAGATACTCAGAAAGACTTATTCGTCGAACACGTTGTTTTAACATGTAGCAGGTCCTTCCTTCATCCCATCGATCGAAGGATGAACGTGTACTCTGTGGCTCACATCGACAACGTCATCAATACATATTGCGCGCTCAGGCACCTTCGTGGCATGCGTGCCGATATTACGTAAAACGTGCTGGATTTGATGACGTGTTCTCATACAGCCTTGTGACTCTTTCATCCATTACGTAGCTTTAACGGACAAATCTTTCATGTGACCTTTCCACTCAGTAACTGTTCGTTCAACTTTACGAAGTCATAGAGGCGAGAGTCCTGCCTGCGTTCAACCAATACTCCTCTCAATGGAGTTCCAATGTCCATTAGATATTCGTCCTTGTTCAGCTTCGTTAGCTGCAGCAAGTTTATGGCTTCAAAACCAAAGTCGGCGAAAACACGATGGGATCCAACTCTCGCATTCTTTCTCGGCATCGGAAAACACGCCAAACAATTTCTAATAACTACGTGCTCGACATCGTTCCGTTGACGCGTCAAGCCTTCATCAAAATATACTCGAGCAGTCTGTTCTTCTCGATCGACCTGTATATTCCTGTTCACAGCTTCCTACGGTGAACGTCAAAAATCTCAGCGAGGATTTTGTTCCTTGATGGCATTCACGAATGAAGTAACGCTTTCTTTCTACTTGGACATGTCTTCTTCCCTGATCCCCTTCCCAGTATTCCTTTGTTGCGAGCACATTACTCGGTACTTACCATTTTGAGCATGACAAGGACATTGTGGCTGCTCAAAGTACACTTGAAAAACGAGTCGGTTTCAAGTGGCATCGGTGACGGACGCAGACCATATCACATCCCTCGCTGTTTCTCTCTCCAAGCGCACGTTCTGTAAGCAACCTCGTACATTGTGGTACTTGGCTAAACTCCTTTACTATAGAAGCTTTCCATCCCCAAATCGACCAATAATGTTTGCGGATGTTGGCTGTTTCCCCGCCCGAATTTTCAGATAGATCCGCTCCCCTTGTCAGTAACCATGCAGAGGGTGGCTCACCTTCCAAATGACACTTCTCCGGGCCATCTTTCTCCAGTCAAGCACCGAAGGCAGGAGTAATGCGAGAAGGTATGTTCCCCCTCCATACTAAAGTAACCCCTCTCTTTCATCTTAGGATCGCGCTGTTTACAGAACCGTTGCCTGCATATACACTTCCTCGTTTGGAAGGGAATTGGCACCCACACATTTAGAAGCTTTAAATTTGTATTAATTGCGGCCAAGCAATTATCATTTCGTGTCGTACATGTCAAGTGATGAACAAACGATTCCAATGAACTCGCAATTTGGGGTGGGGGGGGGCAGGTCCAAGTGACAGATGCTACCCACCCCGTCGTATGGACTTAAGATGGGCAGTAGGTGTCAATCTTGTAGAATATCGTACTGTACGTCCAAGTTGGTTCGAAAACTGTTCGATTCGCAAATTAGCGTTCAGCCATCTCACGGAAAAAGAAAAAGACAAGAAAAAAAATAAAAAAAAAAAACTCACCGCCCGCTTCCAGTGTTACGGTGACGGTGTGTACGCCGGCAGGTACAACAAATTCTCCTTTGCTCATTTGACTGTTCAGGCAGTTTTGGTAGGTATTGGGAGTGATACCACACCAAACGAGGCGATTGATGGCGTATGCGTCTGTGTCGCCTACGAGGACTCCATCTATCGAAATTTTATACTGCACAAGACGAAGAAGATGAGCTTCCCTTCTTAAGGAAGCGTGGAATTCACTTGCCTTCTCGGCACGGTAACCCGCATCCATTACCGTTAACTTGGTGGGGAAGTTGAAGTTGAAGGAGAAATTGTAAGGGTTATTCTTGTAAACATCGACAACCGCCACATCCTGAACAGGCCTTTGCGAGCATGGAGGTGGAGGAGGGATAGTAATAGTACATTGACGCTCAAGCTGGTAAAATATAGTCGAGTAGGCATCAGGGTTATTGACAACTCCGAGGATATTGACGATTTCGACAACGTGCGATCCGGGGGGGATGATGAACTGTCCTTTACTGAGGCCTTTGACTTCACAAGTGTCTTTGGCGGCGGGGGTGAGAGCGCACCAAACGCCCGAGTCAGGGTTAATGGGGGAAGTAGTTCCAATCTGCTGTCCGTCGACGACGACAGAGTATCTTTCCTTCTTGTAACCCGCGTCTTGGATACTGAGGATCTGTGGGGATGGATCATTGGTTACGAAGCGGAAGGGGTTGTTTGTGTAAATATCGACATTGGTCCAGGGCTTGAGGACAGCAGGCGTGCATGTTGGTGTGGGAGGTGACGGCGTGACGGGTATAGTGATTGTTGCGGTGGTTGTAATGGTAGAAGTGACAGTCAACGGAGGAAGAGTCACTAAAGAAATTGAAGTGACAGGTGGCAAGGTCACATAAGACGTAACTGTAACTGGAGTGGCGAAGAACGTGGTTGTCGAAAAGGTGGTGATGGGCGGAAGAGTTATGTACTGAGTGTCCGTCGTCCTCGAAGTAACAGTGGACGTAGTGGTGATGTACTGGTCGCAGTATAGACCATGTTGAGGCGTTGCGTCTGACTCGAGCAAGAACACTGGTAACTCACCGATGTCTGATAATCCACTCGATCGACAGTCGTCGTGACAGGAGGCAACACCGTCGTAGTAGTCGACGTAATCGTCGAAGGAGTGGGACACGCAGGAACGGTCGTCAACGCATGACTCGTGATGGTCAACGTATTTCCAGGGCCATTGGGAATGGTCACGGCCTCCTCAACAACCGTCCATTTACCTCCGTCTTTGGGTGGGTTAGTAGGCACAGCGATATAAGCAGGTTTGGTCGCTTCGAAAACAACGGTCGTAACACCATCTGCCTCTCCAAAACCAACGACAGTTGCGCCATCAGGTGTAGGCCACGGCTCCGGTCCCGTCATGACTTGTTGATAATTTGTTGTAATAGGATAATTTTCCAGTTGGTAGCCCCCACACCCCAGTTGATCACAGACACCAGGACCACATCCCCCCTGGACAGGCTGCTGAGCCGGGTCCGCGGCTGATACGAGAACGGATGGGAGGGCAAGAAGGAAAGCAAGCGAGCGCCTGGTAAACATTATGGGCGTAGAAGCGTTTCCCCACTAGTGTCAAAAACGACGAGTTGTACACTTGAGGGGTTGCACAGAATAGGTCATTCGAGCGGCTTTTATAAACATGCAAAGTTGAAGGGTCACTTGTACCCTGACAGTCCGCGGGCGTGTTCGGCAAGCCCGCTCCGCTGTCAAATAGTTTGTCATCATTTAGATTGACGATTTTCCTTCAAGTCTGTCTTTGGACAGGGTGTAAGAGTTCGCTAATGACGAGATACAATCGCAAGACTCGTTGCGAAGAGTGTTGGTTGTGCTGCTAGCAATATTTGGCCGGGCTAAGGCGTGACCAAAAAAAGGCAGCAGTTAAGACATCAGACTTGGGCTGGGGACTGGGGACCTCACCTTGATTTGTCAGTCAGTCAAGCCTGAGCCATTATCGTAGGGGGCCTCGCTCCGCCACTCTGTAGCGGGTCCTGTGATCCTATTTCGGTAACTGAATTGCGTTATGCAAGGAGACCTCACTTAGACTTTTCTGAGTGTTGCATAAAAAATACTAAATAGTGACGGGGTCTTCAATTCACTTCCATTTCTTATTGCTCCTCGCATCATGGGTACCGGATCCTGTCATTAGATGACCAGAATTACTCCTTGTGAGTTACAATATCGACCCTGTTGTTACTTCGTGCCTTATATTGCGCCCTTCCACAAGCTAGGATACTCTGCGCTAGCAGAGACAGTTCTTGGCCCGTCCAACACTGCCAGTCCATTTCCACAACTTCGGTGACCGAGACGACCATCCGATGGTAATATACAGGCACAGTCTCTGGAGGCTGGATTCTATCCGGCATCGGTTTAGAGGCAGGGGGCAAATGACTAGGCATCGATATGGCTGGTCAGATCGGTTTCTTGTGCGCATCAACCACTGACTACGTAGACTACTTGCATAGAATAAACATAGGACCAACATCACCGAACCTTTGGACGAGAAGTGTGCTGTCTCCGTGGATCGTTTGTTCAGCAATATCTTTCGCATAATGCCAGTACACCATTATCTCTGTCCAGCTACTTTAGCGAGCACTATGACAGAGATGCAACGTGCCCTGAGACTGCCGGTTTCAACTTCATCCTCTTCGCACCGAAATCATCGAAATCATCGGGTTTGGAGTACGAAGTTGCTCTACTGACTAATCATGGAGCTTGTGGCCCCTTGGAATATCGTTCTATCTCCTCTGCCGATGAATGTCATAATGGAGGAATATCCAACCCCATAGACGGAAGCCTTATAGACGGTATCTCTCCAACACAACTTGTACCATAACATGGAGAATGTACCCTGAAACAGATAATCAGAATGTGTGATCTAAATTCATGCATGCTGTGTCGGTGAACCGCGATGCAGAGCACACACTCTAGCATGGTGACCTAAAATGGCCCTAATATATACACCACACCACACTTTTTTCTGAGCAAAATGAATAGTCCCAGTTGGGTTGAAGAAAAATGAATGTAGGGTTCTCAACGATTGTAGGCAGGTTTGAAGAAAACAATAAATCACAAGTGCAGGTATAATGCTTGGCAAGATACACGCTTTACTGCCGAATTATCTCGGTGCCGAACGGAGACATGACATTGTCATCTGATATCACAGGTTGCTCTGAGTCCTCGAGCGGCTCAGAGACTGGGGAATCGATGGGATCCAGGTGAGACAAGTCGATCGGTGTCTTGTGCTGCAAATCGGACGCAATGCGGCCAGGCTGAGGGGTTGATGGCGGTGGATTAGGTGCGACGTAATCATCCAAATGAGATAAATCAATGGGGGTGTGATTGCTCAGATCTGTTTCGGTCCTACTTGGTCCCAGTCCGGGAGGGGGATCGAGATTCGACAAGTCGATGGGGACTTTGTTATTTAGATCCGTCTCCGCACGCATGCCATCTGAATCCCCTGCAACAGGGGAGGGTTCGGAAGTAGTTGACGAGCCGTGTGCAGGGGCAGACTCGTCCTTCGGATCATCATGCAGGAACGCAATAGCCGTCTCCAAGAACCATTCATTGCGCTTGATGAAGTGCACGACGATAGTTCCACCAAGAGAGGCGCCTCCCATCCGCTGCTCACGCGTCTCTCTTCGTCTCCATGCACTGGCAACTTCCTGGGCACTCGCCTCCCCTGAGCAGCCCCCCAAAGTCTCATCCCTCAACCGAGAAAGGGGAGAACCTTCAATCAGAGCTTCAACTTCTTGGTCCGTAGTCAAGTTTGAGGATGGCGCCTTATACGGGTAGCCGAACTTCGAAACAGTCGAGTGCGTAAGTGAAGGATCAGCGGACGATGTAGACATTGGGAGAAGGTGGATCTCCGCAGGACTTGAACCGTGTGTTGTTTCGTGACGAATACGAGCGACTTCCGAAGGGAACAAAAACCCATGCGAGTATACAGTACCAGCTCGAGGATGATCATATATCCAACAGCGCTCGCTTCGCCAACGAACATCGCTTGCCCGAGGATGAATTCGCAACCAACGTGCAGTCTAAGGTTGTGGGTTAGTTGGAACTAGGCTCCGATGAAGTTGACATACCAACTGGTCTTCTTTCCCTTGTACAGTGGACGCCACCACCGGGTCTGTTGCTATGTAATCTACGAGTGACGAGGATAGTGCGTACAACTCCCCTGCCATGAATCGAGCCTTGACAAGATCTTGCAACGCAAAATTCAGAATGCATAAGATCGGAACGGAAGTGTTCATACTCACAACCCCAATAAATCATTGGATCAATGCTCTTCTTGCCACCCTGAGACTTGTAAGAATCGTAACCGAATGCGGTAACGCTGGACGTAGACTGGGCCTCCGCTGCTATCCAGGTCGTGGACCGCTGTGGGAGCTGCACTGCACTGCTCGTCATGGGTAACTTGGTCTTGGGCAACGCTTCTCGATGACCAGAACTACCCGCTGTGCCGGCCTCGTTCGTCACATCCGAGAGTGCTTCGTACCACTCCAAACGCAAGCGAGCCTCAAGCTCAGTCAGCATCACGAAAGAGTCATCCTCCGCTTTGACGAAGAATTGGGGTCGCACCCACTCAGTTGACGTGTTAGCAGTCCTGGGATCATGCGGGGCAGGGGGAAGAGGCGCTGGGCGACGCCCATCATCAAAAGATGGAAATAGCGTGCCGGAGAGTGGTATTGCTGCTCGTTTATGGCTATACTGCCAATCGTACGGCGAGGGATGTTTGGCACTGTAGCTTTGATTAGACGAGGGATCGGGAGGTGGAACGAAAGCATTTGTGTGGGCCCATTGGACAAAAGCGTGTGTTCTCCCACTATTCGTGTCCTCCGAACTAGGGAGTAGCACGATATCCTTGTATGCTGCAAGAATCAATATTCAACATCAGAATATGTACCGTGACATTCCGAGTCTTGACGCGGCTCACTCTCAGATTCAAGTTGAATCCTTCTCATCCAGTCGGCAGAAGGAGCACCAAGAATGAACCTAACGATTGTCCGATCGGTGCCACCGTTTGACCCTCTACTCCGTGGATGCTTGGCCCAAGTGCTGCGAATAAGCATTCTTCGCTCAACAGCACTTTCCACGCTCATAACACCGATGAAAATCCCGACTGGCGGAAGTTTACTTAGTTCAGCAGCGGAAAATTGGGGCGACAGGGCACAATATGACCTCCATGGAAGCGCATTTTTGTCCGGATTGAGGACGCGCATGAGGAACAACGTAGTTGCTAGTGCTGTCAGAAAAATGGCAGCGATGGTCAAAAACTTATGCAAAGCCCCGTCAGCATCCACTCAAAGTCAAAAAGGGAACCCAATCACGCACAATCGAAGAGGGTGAGGATGGGAAAAGTGGATGCCTAACAAAAGCAGTGAAAATACGCATCTTGAGGCTGACTTGTAGATGTCGACGTCGTGCACGGCGCCCCAGCTCATTGCCGAATCGTTTTCGTCTCGGCGAAGAGACTACAGGAGTGGAGCGCCCACTCGCGTTCCTCAGAAGGGGTTGGAATGGCTGATCATCTTCAGAGTTAAAATACTGGCTTGGCGAACCCGAACGAGATTGGGAGGGGTCGTGATAAGCAGAAGTGGTCGAATACGCGTAGTAGCTTGCAGGCTTATGATGATGGTAGTAATGAGCAGGCCCACCGAATGACTTTTTTGGGGCGATAGTGGATCCATCTGAGGAGAGCGACTCGATGTCACAGATTGTGTCGTCCGTGAGCGTTCGAGGCGATGTTGCTCCTGAGCTTGAGCCAGATGTTGAAGACGATAAGTACGATGTACGGAGTGGGTACGCCTCTCGAGACATGTTGTAGGCAGCAACCCCCCTACGGTTGTGGTCCTGGGGAAAGAAGAGCGGACCCAGAGACTAAGCTAGCAACGGTCAGGTGGTCACTTCTGTCGAATATCCTAAACAATAATTCACCCCATAGATGACGTTGATGACGGTACTCACAATCGCAGGATCAGATTCGAGCGGTGGCGCCGGAATACAGGGAAGAGTGAACCGTTTGTGGGAGCCCTGGGGCGCTGACGGAAAACTCATTCACAGGCAGATTTAAAAACGTTCACGGCACTTGGATGCTATGGTGCCACTGTTATCACAGCTTTGACTGCTCAGTCTACTACGGGTGTTGTAGGGGTCCATGCAACTCCACCTGAATTCGTAGAGCAGCAGGTGGCACGTTTTTGTTACGCATAATTCGGGTTGTTGACAAGGCCTTAGTAGCTTCGCGCAGTCTTGGATGATTTTTCGATCAAAGCATTCAAGACGGGCATGCTTCATGATGCTGCCATAATCGAAAAAGTTACAGAGGTGCTGAAAACTCATCAAAATGGTGTATCTAATGCACACATTGTGGTCGATCCCGTCATGGTGTCCACCTCTGGGCACCGGCTGCTCGAGCTGTCGGCCGTGAATACTATGCGTTCCAAGCTGTTTCCGCTAGCTACCATAGTGACCCCTAACATACGGGAGGCGGAGCTTCTGCTTGCGGAGGGTGATGTGACGGTCCGAATTTCTACCATCACTCACATGTGCAATGCGGCGAAGCGTCTTGTGATGACCTATGGCGCTAAAGCTGTTCTTCTGAAAGGCGGCCATCTCGAGATGAACTTAGAAGAATTTTTACTAGAGCTTCGGACACTCGAAGATTGTGCGGTTGATTACGCAAATTTGCTTGATCCTGAATATCCTGCTGTTCTTCGCTCAGCGGTCAAGGCCGTTCTCTTGCCCAGCCTAGTAGTTGACGTGCTTTACGAGCCGGACAATAAATCCATTCGCAAGCCATTTACTCTGTTCGCCAATGCTCGTCTGCCATCCTCTAGTACCCATGGTACAGGTTGTACCCTCGCAGCAGCCATTGCATGTGGGCTTGCAAAAGGACTCACAAGTGAGACATGGCGATTGGTGACACCGTGTGCAGTTCTGCTTACTTGATTTACCCGATTCAGTCGTTGAATCGATTAAACAAGGGATTGTCTACACCCACGAAGGGATATCCACAGCTGTTCCTCTGGGACGTGGAGCGGGCCCTCTGAACCACCTCCACCCTGTCATACCGCGGGTGGTTCCACTGTGCGCGTCTTGGCAACTTCCATTGTTAACTGAGGCCTCATCATTTTTCACAGTCCTTCCACTGAAGCCCCTCATCCTTTCGTCAGTAGTCTCATCTACGGAAATGTTAGCACATGGAAGCAGTATGTGCAGCACCCTTTTGTTATTCAATTGGGAAACGGGACTCTTCCAAGGGAATGTTTCGTTCACTTCATCGAGTGAGACGCAAAAACCCTCTTCATACCAGTCCGACCGCTCAAGTCTCCGTCCCCGCCAGGCAAGACTACCTTTACCTGCAATATTATGCTCGTGCACACGCGTGCGTACCGATTATCACCCATGAGTCATGCTCAGGTGTTTTACTTCAGTCTGTTAGCCCTCAAGTCCACAACTTATGAAGGGATACAAACTTCAGCCCAAATCATGCTTCACGTAATGCGCGAATCCAAGATGCACGAGTCATTCTGCGACCAATGGGGCGTCTCAGTCAAGGGCGGTGTACCCATCATGGAGTCCACGACGACGACTGCGTATGGGAGCTTTATCATTGATGCGGGTTTGAGAGGTGATGACCTCACGTTGGTGGTTGCATTGGCAGCATGTCTCCTGGGATACGGAGAAGTGGGGCTTTGGCTCCGGACAGAGTCTGAACGTGAAGATAGTGGAATTCATTTGGAGGGTAACCCCTACCGAAAGTCTGTTACCACCCAGACTTGATAGGTAACTTGCTAAGACATATCTTTCAGGTGGATTGAAGATTACTCGGGGGAAGAGTACCAAGCTGCTTGCCAAGCCGGTCTCGGTGAGATAATCACAGGTTTCCTGGCCCACTCTCAAGTCATTAACGTCCTCGTAGCTGCGCTTGAATCACGAATCGCCATAGAAGGACTCACACCTACAACATACGGAAGGTTGAAAGCTACCTGGTATCGTTGCGTTGAATTGGAAAAAGCATTCTGGGACATGGCATTTGAAGTCAAGAGGGATGAGTGAGACACAGAGCGTCGGAAGTTGTATTCTTGGGCCTAGCCCTAAATAACGACCCCTCGTTGATCGCCAACTCCCTGACCCAACTCTGAATGATGAACACCATTTCAAACCTGGAATTCTGCATCTGTCACTATCACTTTTGACGTGTCTAGCGTCCTTGATAGTTCATCCAGAATCGTCGACGTTCCTCCGCGACTGATCGAAATTAGTCCTAGGCTGGCGTCCAAACATGAACAAGCTGATATAATGGTACCAAGTAGCGTTTCAGGTATAGGCCAATTGCTTGGCGTGACATTGACATATAAGGATGAGAGGGCTGGGCGAGTGGAAGCAGCAATGATAGACTTCGAAAGTATGTCATCTATAAACCCCGGCGAACCCTCGAGGCCCAGAGTCTTGAGCGATGTCTTCTGTATCTAAGTATGAAGTAGGACGGATCGAAGCGGATCCTAGAACACGTCACGGATTGAGCTCACGAGGCCAATGAGAAGGTCCTTGGGATGAACCAAGGAATCGGGGAAAGCCCAATCCTCAGGCTCGGCGTCTTGCGCGAAATATAACGTCTGCAGGGATGGAAAGCTGACATATCCAATACAGAGAGACTGAAATTGCTGGTTAGTTCCAGCTCCTATGACGAGTGTGTGTAACCTTGGTGCAGCTGGCGATGCATCACCAAAGGTGATTCCAACTTCGTCAGTGTCTGCTCGGACCCAGTGAAAAGTGAGGACTTCGAATTTCGGGGAAGGGATAAAAAGTCCAGGAACGTCCATCCCCAACGCGAAGTCACAATCTTGCATATCCAATCTGTTAAGGTTTAGGCAGATCCCTACTACACCGCATAAAATGAAGCCGCGAAGGGATAAGTCGCGTAGGGCGGGATAGCGAATGTAAGCATCGTCTGGAATTGAGATCTCCTCCAGGTGTGGATTGTATTCCGCGTCGACAATCAAAACCATCTCTTCCAGTGCGGGAAACTCGCACGCAAGGATGAATCCTACAAAATCCCGAATTTGATTGGAACAAGGATCTGCTCGGACAAGAACAGATTTCCATCTAGAAGATTCTTGTTTCAGCGTCTCAAAATCGAGAGGGGAATCCTCCCCTTCTTCGACCAAAGTGAGCTGGCTGGGCGCCGTGAGGTGGGCGCGGATATCGAGAGGCTTTCCTCTAGATCTTTCAAGCCAGGTTTTCTTTTGAGCTTCTGGCCAATCAATGTCAATTGTTGACCACAGACTTGACCGTTGTATGGCGACATCGCGCCAAGTCCGATTTACTCCAGTGATGGCTAGGAGAAACGCAGTGCGATCCTCGATCTCTGAGCGCTCCACGGGTCGTTTGATGGTGTCCAGAAAAGCCTCCCAAATAATCATAGTCACCAGCTCGGGCATGCTCCCTACGCTACTTCCCGAGCATTCCATCGATGTTTCTACGCGCGCCCGAATGATCAAAGGTACGAGCGCCTCTCTGTGAAGTTACGCACGCATCCTTCCTTTCGACGATGATTTCAAACTAGTTGATGTATGAGCAATGAGCGTAACTTGGGCCAAGCGATGTCATACCGACTCAGATTACTGTACCTGCACGATCGGGAGCCTCGACGCAATACCGGCAGTTGCTGGCAGACTCTGATTCCGGAAGCGTGACACGTGGGAGCCGGCATTTTCCTGCCACACAAAATATGCGTATCACGACTCACTTACTGTAGGCGACGCGTGCAGGAGCTTATTCTTATTTTATAATTATATATGCACATCCACCTCTACTCGGCCGTGCGGAAATTTTTCATTTTTGTGACCAGCCTCTATTAACCTACATTAAGAGCACAGGTCGGCGACGGTTTCCCGCCCTCCGATTGGCTCAAGCGTCGCACTTGAAACTTAACACCGAGTTGTGACGGTTCCGACTCGGTCACTCTGATGGGCTCCAGTTTCGGTGATCACGTTAGTGCTTACGGTTCCGAGATGTTTAAATTCGATCGAACTTTCATCGGTGTTGGCGTGTTTGGGGTGGCTCCAGACCGTCGATTTCTAACTGGAAATGCTAAGTGCATCGCTGATATATCGAAAACAGGAATGCGCTGTTGATGTCCGGAATTTGGGTTGACAGTGACATCCCCTGTCAACTACTATGTAGTGAGAGTCCATTTGCACTTTGACGGTGTTTTCTTAACGCCGAATCCTTTGACATGCACGTAACCTAACTGCTAGGTTACACCACAACCTCTCTTTTAAAGGTCATACGTTTGACTTCACCCTCCTCTTATACATGGCTCAAGCTTTGACACCTCTCGCTAATTTTATAGGTTACAATACGTTCCCAGACGTGAAAATGGACGACTTTACAGCAAACTCCTTATAGGTGAGTATAATTTCGGCTCCAGTACTCGCAAGACTCATTTTGGGGACCAGGTTCAGACGAGGGGAGGTACTGGTCACTTTTGACTGGTAACACAGTGCTAAATCGCCCCAGCATGGGCGATCTCCTATTCCATACGAGGCAATCTCATTGCCTGAGTGATCAATGACGTGGCGTCCTCTACTTTATCCACATGCGCCGTTGACGCCCGGCCGGCTCTGTGCAGCCTTTGTCGGAGACATTCGACATTACTGGTACGACGACCACGATTGCCGATCAATCATTTGTGATTGCAACTGGATCTTTCGATCCCTCGGTTAGTTCGATTCACGTTCCACTCTCACCTTGCTCTCAGTTTCATCAGATCGTTCAATACTCTTTACACATTCTGATTCCTGCCACTCCACGTTGGCAGAATGAACGTATTCACGATGTCAGAGCCAACGTCGTGCGTTTGAATTTAGTTATCTCCCAGTAGGAGGGTCCGGATCTTTTTCTTCCAGTCCCCAAAAAAGGAGTCTCTTCAACCGTCGAACCACAACTGAACAACCCGATTCCAGTTTTTCCACTTTCACGGCTTCAACCAGTGTTGCTGCATGAGATCTCATAGCTTCCAATGCTCCCGCTGGTTCCAATCCTCGAATTCAGACCGTCCCGTCTTCTCATCCTCAACAATAGTATCTCGTCCGCAGCTTCGAGGAATGTGATTCCTGGCTCAGTCCCTTTCTTCCCGAGCCTTTCCTCCTGTAACTTCCACTCCTGCCAATCCGCCCACTGATTCTTTTACTTCTTTGCCACACAATGCTTCAAATTTGGTGAATGTGATCCCTCCCTTCCTGGTCCTCCTTTTCAACGTGATCAAACTGCAATGGAGGAGGGAATCCCCGCTACCACGCAAACAAGATCAAATTCGACAGTGCACCCAATCCACTCAAAGGGGCTATTTGCACCAATCATGCGAAATCCGCGTGTACGAAAAAAAATCAACGTGTTGTATATAACCAAACTTCATCTGCGCTACGTCGAGATCAAGCTGCTAAATCCAGTTTTGTCCTCCTTTCCTCAAATTCACAATTCGTCGCAAACAATTTCCTCGCCGACTGCCCTAGTCCCACCACGCATTCAAGTTATCATCAACGGTACTTCTCGACACATTTTTGCACAACACTATGGGAGTTTCGGAACATCGGACTCACTATACTGGTGCATCACTTTCTCTTATTGTCCAGGAAGGGAGGAAGGGAACACATTGACGAAATTCAAAGCATTGTCAGGTGGAGATGTAATAAAAATTAGTGGGCGGATTGCCAGGAGTGGAAGTTTCGGGAGGAAAAAGTGAAGAAGGCCGAGCAAGAAAGTTGGGAAAGAGACTGAGCCAGGAATCGCACTACTTGAAGCTACGGACGGAGTTGTATTGTCGAGAGGAAGAGAAGGCAGAAGAGTCTGAATTCGAGGACTCGAACCAGGGGGAGCATCGGAAGCCATGACGTCACCTCCAGCTGCACTGGTTGAAGCCGTGAACCTCGACTCGGATTGTTCGGTTGTGGATCGACGGTTGAACAGGCTTCTTTTTTTGGGAGAGGGATGAAACAGATCCAGATAATGCTGCACGGAGATGTCTTTCAAGTCCAAACATAGGTGATGTCGTGATAACGTGCAGACAATTGAACGGCACGACCAACCGAAGGAATGCGTACATTCTGCCAACGCGGAGTGGCAGAAATCAGAATGTGTATGGGATATTAAACCATTTGATGAGACTGAGAATTTTTTCAGCCAAGTGAGCGGAACGTGAATCGAAAGATCCAGTTGCCATCACAAACGATGGCTCGGCAATGGCAGTGGTCGTACTAGTGAGGTTGAATATGACGTTCGTCTCCGACGAAGGTTGCATGGAATCGGCGTGATGACCAGTTATGAACACTGTGCAGGTGGATAACGTAGAGGATGCTAGGAGCTCGTCGTTGATAATTCGAGATTGTCTCGTACGAAAAGGAGATCGCCCATATTGGGGCGATTCAACACTGGCGTAGAGGTCAGCCCTCATCCGAACTTGGACCCCGAAATGAGTCTTCGGATCGGAAATTCTCCTCACCGATAAGGAGTTCGCTGAAAAGTCGTCCATTTTTCGCGTATTAAATTGAGATCGATTTCAATGTGACGTAACTTGGTAATCACTTCACCAGACACAGAGGTTACGCATCAGATTGCAAATTTCGCCTTGAAACGCTTGTGAGGAAGGTCATGGTTGGGTGTTGTATCTGATTCAATGATAGCAAGGAAATTCTCTGATCGTTCAGGCCCATCGCATGGAGGACCACCGTCTTTGGATTTGACAATGGAGTCGAATGCATGGTACACATATCTGTTGATCATCTCAGTACTGAATTTACATTACAACTTGACATGTTTGTTGTTAGTTTCGGTATATTCGTCATTTTGAGGAGCAATGGGACGAAGGACGGTGGCGGCCTGGGCATCAGTTTGAGAGGTTACTGACCCTCGATTGAACAAGCTCCGCAGCGCAAGTACGTAAGTAGCCAACGTCTTCTAACTCAAACTAGGCCACATTGTCGTGAACGTCATGGAATCGAGCGGCGACCTGAACAGAAAGGAAAAGAAAATGGAAACGCACCAATCATGATGTCACTGTGTAGGCAATTTTAGGAGTGGCGTTCAGAAAAGCGTAGCCCGCGGACTAGGGAGGGTTATTAGTACGTTGAGCGATTTATGGGATTGTGGTGTCGGAATTGTTGTCAATGCTCGAAAGTGAGAGGTGAGAGAGCGAGAAAGGCAAGCGATCGCGGGGTGAAATAGAAGTGATTGACAGACGAAGATCGGCGTCTACCGAGGCTTGAGGATGTGTAAACAGGCCAGGTGGATGAAGCGGCATGTGAATAAGTGCGCAGCCGATGGGATCAGGGTCGAACATGAACGATTATTGATCCAGCGGAAAATCTGGTTCAGCCGAAACGACTCACTAGAGATTCCGGGGTGAACCGTGCGTGGGAATGAAAAACCACCCGATCACATGATCCTCCCTCAGACGTCAAGTTGTCTCGTTCCCAATTTGAAAGTGCCGGCGTAACTCGTTTGTGCGGCGTGTGTGGCACAATGTCGACGAGTCAGGTTCCGCTACCACCACGTCCGCCCCGCACAGAATCGGATTTCTGGCAGAAAGGTTTGGAAAAGTGCAAGGAACAGCCTTTAGTACCCCTTGGTGTGTCTTTGTCCGGGCTGGATGAAACGGGAGGCTTGAACTAAAGGTTTTTTTCTATTATCAACGCTCACCCGTCAATTCGTTATTGCCATGATTCATCTTCAATCTGGATTGCCTACCCTTTCGTCGTCCTCATTACTCCTGCCCTGGATTGGGACATAGGGATACTGGCTACATGCGCTGCTTTCATCGGCGCATCTTATCAGCTTCGGGTTGGGAACCGAAACTCGTTTAACCGTTACTTGCGAGCCCGCGTAATAGCACAAGGCGCTACAATTGCAGCATGTGTCATCGGCGGTTATGTTTATGGGAGCAACTCACAAGCTTCTATCGATCGCAAGGCGGAAGAGCGGAGGGAGGAGTTGGAAAAGATTCGACTAGCTGGGACAGGGCATTCCAATGTGCAGGATGAATTGGCAAAGTCGTCAGCAATTGCACCGACGAGTCAGCCCTCAACAGATTGTCACCCGCCCGATCTACCATCAGCTCCACCGATGTCCGCAGCCCAGTCTTTCTGGAGCCTCTGGGGTGTGAGCTCAGGGAAACCGTGATTATGTCAGTCTGTCTTTTCGCACAACCCCCGCATATATGTGTATGTACGTGCTCCACCGCATCCCATCTTGGCAGTAGTGCTATCAGTCGCCACGTCTGAATAGAAAAAATTTTGGTGCCCTTTGGGCGACTCAGTTCCCTATGCGCCACAACTGCGAAACTGCTAGCAGTTGACTAGCGCCTCGATGACTTACGGTGTTCTCCAGTTTTTTGCTACCCATGCATCGTGCGTTCCGGCTGCTCCATTCCGGCTGAAGAGCCCCCCGAAGGGCTATGCAGATTGAGTGTGCCTTAGGTTGGAGTTCAAGCGCCCTTTCCAGGCTCTTTGTGTGCGAATCCTTGGTACGATGCTCCTACTGGTTATATCATCGCCAACTGCGCCACATTCTCCTCCTTCCTATGGCTGCTTCAAGACTGCTAGGGATATCTGGGATGGTCGCTCGAACGATGTGGGAGAGATCTTACGCATCACCGATTCGACGGGGCTGGTGTCCACATCTTGTCGACCCAGCACCATATTTGCTCACACTGACGTCCATCTCAAGGACTTGACGCATTAGCGCTACCCGAGAGAGCCGACCTTTAAATGCTTTGTCCCGGGTGATTGATTGGGCACTGCGAAACTCGAGCTTGGTATAGGTTGCTCAACGTTCGACTTGGGGACGAGTGGATGCCGGAAGACAATTTTCGATGGGTTGTTTACCATATGCATCGTTGAAGATCCATCAACCCTTTTCAAGACCGCGACCTTTGCATCTTCTTGGAAGAGCCTGGGCAGCGTTGTGAACCTCGACACGCTCTGGGAGGCTACGTTCTGGGGTGCCGAACAGTGGTGACTGTGGTTGGGGGGAAGCGACCTGCGATTCCCACCACTAACAAGTTTCGAACTGGGATCTGTTCGTATTCATACCGAAACTGGACGCTTCATATGGAAGCGTGCTCTCAGCATGAGTGGGAGATGTTGATGGGCATAAAGGTGCCCCTTTGCAACGTTGATTTTGTCGGTATGTTTGTGCTAATTCGCGACGAGACCCCAGGCACTCTATACGCACCACGGTCCTCGGATGGGGGCTAAGCGTGGTGAAAAAAAACCTTGTCTCAACCATTACCGTTACCCATTATCGTAGACACCATACATAGTCCCAAAGCAGGGTCATTGGAACTCGTGATTTGATTTCGTGACTTTTGCGCGTCATCTTTTGACGTTCATATGTTCCCCGCTGAAAAAATCAGATGGGTACAAGGTGCAGCTCTAGGCTTTGAAGGGCCTCTTCAAGTTCTGAAATATGTATTGACAGTTACCACCAGACAAAACGACACGGTACCAGCACCAATTCCTACCCTTCATACCACGATGAACACTGACCAGTGAGGGGTCCCGGTTGTACCGTCCGCAGTGCCTGGTGTTCTTCAATCTAGTCTCCACCGGGTTTCAGTGTTCGATCGGGAACACTCGCAAGGCAACATTGCTGTAATTCCGCGGATTCGGTGAGGAAGCTCGGTTGAACATTGAGGCCCATACTGCAAGCCCCCATGGATCCTACATGAGGATTTGAATCATATCCTGAATTCTTCGAAGATTCTGAGCCAAAATCTGGGAAATTCCGCTTGGATGCCTCCAGCGTCCAGACTTAGCGGAGTCATTCGCGCGGGTTCGAAGTAAAGTATGGAGGAAGAAAAGTTGGGGGGAGTTAAAGAGAGTAGCCCTTGATAATTTCGAACCACAACCACGATCTCGCAAACGTATCATACGGACAAGCATCGATTTGTTTAAACCAAACTTATTGAGCTACCTAAACTACGAACTGAACGAACTTTTTTTTTTTCCACCCACACAAATATGCTGATATTTATGATACCCGTACTATGAAAAGCCCACTCAAGAATGTTATTGTGTGACGTGCACCCAGGTACGATTGCAAAAACGTGCAATTCTGTACTTTCCCTGGTCTCCTTGGCTAAGCAGTAATCCTCTCAAAGATCGAAAAGCCTGTTCGAAAGATTGCGGGAATCCAAAACTTGGCTCGAAGCATTATTGTATTTGGGAATCTGTCCCCAGATTCCACGGCCCAGGGGATCAGAATCTAGTAAACCGCATACCAGCCTGGGGGTGGGATCCGGCGAATGGTTGAGAACTCACTTGGGAGAATGTGACGAATCTTCATTATAGTACCTATTGAATCGCGAAAACAATGACTTAGGTCAATCCCCCCCGGGGAGCCATCCTTACTAGTGGTGGGTGCAGAGCAGGTGAGATGGCGAAGTGCGGGTAGAGTCAGCCGACTCGGCTTCGGCTCCGGCTTAACTAATCAACTTGTCGTCGTTGCTTGCTCAACATTTGAGCCCAGTCCATGTCCCTGGAACTCGACTCCAGCTATATTTGGAACGAGGGGTCCAGGCAGCTCAATGGCTTCAAGGTCGTCCGACCAGTTGAGACGCGTCGCACCTTGACACTTGGCCCCTTGCACCGGAGACTCCTACAGCCATAGTATGAACAGAGGATGAAATTAAGGCTATTAAACCGCTTATGGCTCAACTCTCAGGCTCTTCCCGTTACCATCCAAGGGCGTGGACGTTCCAGGTTCGTGTTGCGGCTGGCAACTAGATTCTCATGGCCATCACAGGCCGAGAACCGGGACTTTGCCAGAGGGACACATGAGGATCTCCAAAACTCATACGGCCCACCTGCATCCTGAACTACAACGAGCTTTGTTGGGTGCTTTTATACACGACCTCATACGTCTGTGACCTCCAGCGTTGCTCCTGTACCATTTTTGCTGATGTACAGAAGTGTCTAGCTTCCAAAGCACACAGCAAATTCCTCTGGTGATGCGTAAGTCACCCTCTGGTTTTCAATACGTCGCGAGTTTACGTTAGCTCTCATGGCTACGGTAGCCAACGCACCTCTCTCAAAGCTAGCGTCCACGAATGCAGGCTCTCTTCCGGAGCTCATCCACGTGATTTTGTGGGAAGCTTTCCTGAGCGTCGCATATCCTCACCGCACCTATTTTGATACGGATGGCAGAACATCCCCTGATGATTTAACAACGTTTCTGACAACCGTCACTGCTGTCTCCCGAACTTGGCGGGCAGCCGGGCTGAGGGAAGCAAAGTTTTGGGCTGTCATTGAAGCGCGGTGGCCCTCGAAGCAACATCGAGCTTGGCTCGAACGTTCTCGGGGTGTGCCGCTAGAAATTCGGGGTAGACTAAGTGATGGTCCACTTGAGGACGATGAAGATCGACCGATATTCGATTCCTCGGATCTCATTGAAGTGTCAAACCGTTGGGGGACTCTTATCCTTCATGACATTGACTCTAACGTCTTCCCTGACCTCTTTCATACGGCTCGCGAACGTCCTCTTCCATCGCTCACTACTTTACAGCTTGTTGGGACCACTGATTGGGGACATGATCCCATGGAATTCGGACCAGTCAAAGAGAGAACCGACATGTATCCCGCATTGCGCAACGTCAACCTTCAGCACGTACGACTTTGTCACCTTCGTTGTTTGACGACACTCGTTCGAATGGAAATGGAAAATGTTTATAGTGACGAAAGGGTGACGGCGAAGGAATTTTTCGCTCACGCCCCATCCCTCGAGGTTTTCAAGATCGCTTACGCATACTTCGAGACGGATGACGAAGATGTTTTCTCAAGCGAGGTGGTGATGGCACCAAGCCTGCACACTCTCGTATTGGGTTGTTCGGTTTCCCTGTATTTCCAATCTGTTGCCCTCGTCCTTGCGAATTTCCCTTCCCTCCGGACGCTCTATTTCGTGGAGAATAGGTTTCAGTGGAGACTTCCCCAGAACACCGCTCTGATAGAGCCTCGGAAGGCTCTTGTCGCACTTGTGAGCGCTGCACGTCATTCCGCGCCATAAGGCCTTGTGATCCGCTGAGCTAGTTGTATTGATAGCTGAACAGGACGCCCCTGGAGACGCTTGCCCTCGAGGGATCTGCGAAATTCTTAAATGATGTCTTGTCCAAAACTATCTGGAATCATCCCCTGAACCACTCTCTTCAGCGTCTACATTTAGTGGTTGTCGAACAAAGATGCACTTCCCGGGAACCCCTGGCACACACCATCCTTCAGCTTGTCGATAAACCAGGGTGTTCCTTAACACACATTTCGATTCGGGGGGATGGAGGACTTCTCGACGATGTTCGTGACCACCTAGCCCGAGGCGATGGGGAAGATGAAGGTAAAGAGTTGTCTCGCCCACAGGTTATTGTTAATGCTGCAAAATTTGTGGGGTAAGACGCCGGGTTATGGTGAGATAACACGCTTTCCTTCCCCACGAGTAGCTTCTCAGGCTCATCTTAAACATGATTTGAAATACTTGATTGCGATGGGTATTTGATCTGAGCTTAGTTCCTGGATTTTGGTTGCCCTGAAGTTCGATCAAGCCCCTCGGATGTATCAATATTTATGCTGTTGACGTCATTTACTCTGGTGCCGTTATCATGCTCGTGACAGGCCCCACATTGTATATAGACAGTCGTCTGGCCATCCTGATGTGATTTATCCTGACATGACTTCCTATTAGACGAAATGTTGGACTAGCGAGTTTATCGCTCAGTCCCGTTGTACGTGAACTAGAATAGATTAAAAAGTAATCACCTAGCGAGTTTATCGCTGGTGGACTAATGTTTAGTACATGATTTAAAACATGATATAACCAACATACCTCAGTCCCGTTGTACGTGAACTGAGGGAAGGTTGGGTTGTCCAAAAATTGGGGTTTTATAGTCAGGTGCTATGAATGCGCACTGACTTTGGCACGGATGCCACCAAGAAAGGCAATAGGTGTAAATCTAAACGCCACACGACTCAACATCACCAAACGTGAGTTGGTCATAGCGAACACCATAATACCAAGAATTCTAACACGCCCACTCGCTAGATCTACTCATGTAATCCCATCGCAGTACAGAACTTCGAATGTTTTTCATGCGCCAGAGCCTTTGTAAGGACGTCGGCTACTTGGTCGTTCATCGAAATGTAATCAAGTGTGATGTCGTTGTGTTCAACGTGTTCGTGAATAAAATGATGTTGAACACCAATGTGTTTCGTACGAGCGTGGAAGGTGGGATTTGACGCCAGCGTGATAGCACCTTGATTATCGATGAGTAAGGAAGTGGAATGGGCGAGAGGGAAGTTGATATCGTGAAGGAATTGCTGGATCCACAATGCCTCTTTAGTAGCGTGTGTCATAGCCATGTACTCGCCTTCAGTGCTAGACAATGCAATCGACGTTTGCTTCTTCGAACTCCAGCTAATAGCCGCGCCAGCCATTATAAAAACGAAACCAGATATGGAACGAAAGTCTCTTGGGTCTCCAGCCCAATCCGAATCAGAATATCCAGTGTGATCGTCGTATTTTGACTTTCCGTTGTAGACCAATTTGTAGTCTTTGGTGGCATTGAGATAGCGAAGAAGTCAATTGATGGTGATCCAATGTTCTTCCCCTGGATTCGATGAGTACTGACTCAGTGTGGTGACGGCGTAGCCAATGTCCGGTCGGGTACCAAGCATCACGTACATAACGGAGCCTATTCGTGATTGGTACTCGCGGGTGTTGATCTCAGGATCGGGTTGATCATGGTGAAGGAGTTTAAGGTTAGGGGTCATGGGAGTTGAAATACTGCGAGAATTAGTAAAGCCAAATCTTTCGACAACGTCAGACACGTATCGTGATTGGGAAATGGTAATTAAGTGCCGTGCGCGATTGCGAGTAATCTCCAGTCCAAGAAACCAATGAATTTCGCCCAAGTCTTTCATTTTGAACGCAGAACGCAGCTGCCTCTTCTTCTTTCGAAGTAAGTTGAGATCATTTGAAGCGATGAGGAGGTCGTCGACATATAAAGCGACGATGCAGAATTTGGTGTGGGAGGAATAAATGAATACTGCATGGTCGGATTCACAGCACATGAAGTAGAGTTTGTTGAGTTCGGCTTTCGCCTTCTTGTACCAGGCGCGTGACGCCTGTTTGAGTCCGTAGAGGCTCTTCTGCAACTTCCACACAATATCGGGCTGCCCATAATCATCGCATCCAGGAGGGGGATCCATGTAGATTTTGTGCTCTAGATCGCCATTGAGGAAGGCGGTTTTTACATCCATTTGATGAAGTTCGAGATCGAGATGGGCGGATAGGGCTAGGAGTATTTGAATGGAGGTCCATTTGACCACAGGTGCGAAGGTCTTGTCGTAATCGATCACGTGGACCTGACTAAAACCTTTTGCAACCACGCGCGCTTTATAGTGCTCCACTTCTCCGTTAGCATTTCTCTTTATCGCAAATACCCATCTCGAACCAACCACATTCTGAGCATCGATGTCTCGCTTTCGCACTGAGACGTAAGTTCCCATCTCCCTGAATGCTGATAATTCTTCCACACAAGCCTCGAGCCATGAACCCGCATCGTGACGGTCCATCGCCTGTTTGTAAGTCCGTGGTATTTCCACATTCGCGTTTAACGCCCAACTAACGCCCACTGTTTCAGGGGCTCTCATCGAACAATTGTAAGAAGAAACGGAGTATCGAGCGTTGTCGTCAGGGATGGGGGCACGATGGATACATCCTGAGCGTCATGGTTCAGGGGGCCTGGATTCAGGTTTAATGTCAGGGGATGACTCCCGGGTCCCCATGACCCTCCCCTATGGTCCACAGCCCTGAGGTGTAACCAGCCCTATCCAGGGCACAACCTACTGTGGGTAAGGAGATGGTATAAAACAAGGGCAAGTATATACACTTGCCTACTGTGGGTAAGGAGATGAGAAGGAAGCTAACTTCTCATCTTCCCACAGTGGCCACAATATCAGCAAAACTTCCGGGGATACCCGGAAGTCACATGAAGGGGTAGAAACCGGGTCCGGAGCATGCGGCGCTGAAAGGTTGCTTACTATTTTGGGGACGGTAACGTTCCGTTCCCCCGTTTGCCTCAGGCCTCAGTAGGTCCGTCTAAACATAAGCTTTAATGAGCTGTATATTCAACGGGGTAGAGGTAAAAGGCTACCGGGCCTTTACAACTACTCCGAGGTATATATATGTAAATTACATATCTCGGCACAAATAAATAAAGAAATAACCACATCACTATAATGGGAATTATAGCGATGCAACATAATATAAATATCACTATAATCGGAATTATAGTGAAGTAAGGTTAATCCCTTACAGGCACGCGGAGCGTGCATGCATGTGGGAAGCGCAGCAGGTGGAAGCGGGTCCGGATGCGGGTCCGGGTCCGGGCTAGTCAGGGTGTGTGCCCTGACATTTAACAGGTATGTCTCCTCCATCTACCTTCTCCTCATCATCGCTCTCACTTCCCCTTTCCTCTCAATCTTCGTGATCACCATCACCATCACTGTAATGAAATAGGAGCTATCGTGCATAACTCAGTCTCAAAATAGAGAACTTGTATTAAGATGTTTACCTATCGCGCGTAACTATAACATGAAAATACAATGAGTTATGCGCAAACACAGATAGGAAAGAAATGGTATCACCTCAGTCTCGAAATAGAGAACTGAGGGAGGGAGAAAAATTACGGCGTCCAGCGTAACTTATACGACTGGAGCCAATATCGCTTAAAACGATTGCCAGTGACAACTGGCGATATAAGACAAAGTAAATTGGGAGCGCGTGGTACCGCGACTCTGAAACAAAAAGGTATAGTCGTTGTTAGTCACGACGATATTAAGTTAAAATAAAAGCTCCCCAATCCACGCTGCAGCTCGGCTGTTGTCGATGAGCGTTGATATTCCAACACACTGTCACCATCTTCATCTCCCATTTCCTTAACCTCTCCTTCATCACTCTTTGCGGGCACAACGACGTGCGTCGGGGAATCTTGTGATTCAACCTCGATCATTGTTACGGTTAAGCCGTAACCCCGGACGGACTTAACGGAGGTTTCACATGTCCCGCATATCTTAGTTCCATTTCAACTCATGTAGCTTAAGACTTCCTGTATGTTTCTCTTGTCTCATATGTCTCACCTCGCATGTTTTAGCACATCTTCATGTATATAAGGAGTTGACCAGTGAAGACGAATTCTTCAACTGGTCAACACAGGTCGCTGACCTCAATAGACTTCTTGTGATCTTGTGATCTTGTGGCTTGTGATCCTGCTTCCCGTGATCTCACGACTCTCACTTCGCTCCGCTCCGTTCCCACGCTCGTTAGCGCCGAGAGGTTCGTGACAATCATCACCCGCTCAGATTCTCCATCCATTCCCTCAAAAAAGTGAACGTCCCTGGACTCGTGGAGTTTATGAGTCTTGGGATCGAAGACAACAAAGGCCTTCTTGCCTTGCGCCATGCCAAGATGGATTCCAAGAATTGAGCGATTATTGAGTTTTCGACGAAGATTGCGGTGGATGTGGAGGGTGGCTTTACAGCCAAAGGTACGCATCATGGTAACACTTGGCTTATTGCCAGTGTATCGTTTGTAGGGGGAGAGATCGTGAGGAAGTGCAGAGTGGGGGGATACATTTTTGATTAGTGCCGCATGTCGCAGCGCGTATGGCCAAGCAGTGCGGTCAACTTTCGACTTGAGCATAGCGATAGTCATGGTGACTAGAGTCCGGTTGACTCTTTCAGCTACGCCGTTCTCCTGCGGTGTTCGCGGATTTGTATGCTCATGAACGATTCTGATTCCTTTTAGATACGACAAGAACTCATCTGAGAAATATTCGCCACCACCATCAGTACGGAGGATCTTGAGTTTAGACCCCATCTGGCATTCCGCTTCGGCAAGATACTCTTTGAATCTGTCGAGTGCATCGGACTTCTTCATCGGGTAAATGGTAAGATAGCGGCTGAAGTCGTCAACAAAGGTGATGAAATACTTAAAGCCTTCTCGCGTTACAGTTTTGGTCTCGCATACGTCGGAGAAAACTCTGCCAAGGACTTGATCGGCGCAAGTATGAGTTTTGGAGGGGATAGGATTACGATGGTGTGAGGACACCTCGCATTCTGCGCAATATTTTGGTTCGTCCTGCGTTTCACTCCCAATCAGATCCATACCCTTTACCATCCCGCTTCTGATCATTTTGAGGATAGATTCCTTTGAGATATGACCAAGGCGTTTATGCCACACATCCAATGATGCGCTGGCAGTAATCGATCGTGCAATATTGGAGGAGTAGGAGTTGGCGGCGTGGGAGGAGGTGATATAAGCCTTCTCCAAGGCTATGACCGTAACAGGTAATCGGTACAAACCGTTCTCGGCGTTGGCAACAGCAATGAGCTGGTCCGCTGAGTCAAAGATCTCACACTTTCCGCTTAGGAACGTTGCATATGCGCCGGATGAATTGAGTTGGATGATGGATAAAAGGTTATGGGCGATCTTCGGGCAATAGAGGACATTGCGAATGATGGTGTTTCCAGGTGAGTTTCCAGTAAGAAAAGTCACTTTCACCTGTCCAATGCGTGGCACTAAAATTACCTTTTTGTTACCTAGGACGATTTTTCAAGGAGGATCAAGGGGACGATAGGAGATGAACCACTCGCGATTACCACATAAGTGCGTGGTGGCTCCAGAATCGACTATCCACTCGGAGCGTCGACATTCATTACCAGTGAGTGTTGCACTTAG